CAGATTTACCACCCAATTCTAGTGTGATTTTCTTTAAGTTTGTAGTCGATGAATTAACCGCAATACCCTTACCAACATCGGTGGAACCAGTGAAGGCAAGTTTTCTGATCTTTGGATGCTCAGTAATAGCATTACCGACCTCTCTACCAGAACCTGGAATAATGTTGACAACACCGGCTGGGGCACCGGCTTACTTATACAGGTTGGTAAAAAACAGACCAGTTAAAGGAGTAGCAGATGTTGGTTTTAATATAGAAACATTACCCGTTGCCAAAGCAGGAGCAATCTTCCAGGCTAGCATCATAGTAGGGATATTCCATGGAATGATTTGACCATAGACACCAATTGCTTACTTGATGGTGAAATTCATGTAGTCATCACCAGAGTCGATAGTTCTATCATTGACCTTATCAGTATATGAAGCAGCGTCTCTCAGACAGTCAATTATTAGCTCAATATCACTTCTGGACAATGCTACAAATTTACCGTTATCCACGGTTTCAATTGAGGCTATCAATTCAACATTCTCTTCCACCAGATCGGCTAATGTGCGCAAAATTTCGGAACTTTCCTTTGGATCCTGAGTAGCTCAATTAGTCTTGGTGAAAGCGTGCTCAGCAGAGTCAACGGCATACTTGGCATCATCTTTTGACCTAGACGAAACGGAAATGATGACTTCCTCGGTGGCCGGATTTGTTACTTCGGTAGTCTTATCGGTCGGGCCTTGTAGGAACTCATTGTTAATGAATAAACCAGTTGGCTGCTGATAAGTCAAATCATTTGGTAAAGTAATGGTAACAGATTCAGCTAGTTTGTTATTTGAAGCTTACATGGTTAAATTTTGTTTACTTATTCTTTTTTGCTGTTGTAGATTGTATTCAAGGATTGCATGGTCTGTTATGAGGGAGTATAAGAACGTAAATTTGAACAATCACAAATTGCAACAAAATGGACGAAGGTACCAGTTTATATATGATTAGGAAGACTTTGCATATTACCTAGTAATGCTAGTTCATTCTTAAACGTTACAAACTCAACTCATAGACAAGGTAAATAGCAAATTAGTTAGAAACAGCCATTAGGAAACGTCATTATGTTTAAAGGATTGAAGAGCATTTACAGCAAAATGAAGCAATAAAAAATCAGTTGATAACGGTGAGTTCTAGTCTTCGATATGGGGAGCTACGTAATTATTTGTCTAATCATGGCATGCTGAAGTACGGACCAACATGCAGTTTTCAAATTAACGGAGTGATAATTTCAGGATTGCGATACTAAGATAAATTTGAATCCGGTATTCATAGGAAGTCGGTTTATAATATACAATCCTGTAGCATGTCACAAGTTTCTATTCTTGACGGAAACAAAAACTTCACTGAGAGAGAAACTTTCTTTAAGTTTTGTTTTTATCTTCCCGTACTGATTTCTGGTCATCGGAGACCCATACGGAGCACCCGCCAAATTTTGCTCAGTTAAGACGGGACGAAAGCTAAGCAACTGTCTAATGACCAGTATCCCTTTATTATGTTCCCGGAAGTTGTAATACAATATAAACACCTATCCTTAAAAGATAAAAAATGAGTCTACAAACTATTTTTTTGAATTAATAAAAATCAGAAAGTTTATTCGTAAATAAATAACATTACACAGTTATGACAAATGTACATGTATATGCATACACATAGATAATACTCCATTCAGCAGCATGTTAACCTCTCAATGGTTGTCCTTCAATAAATACACAATTGAAATGGTGAATAATAGCGTTATCGACATCCCAAATTCCTTCCTTATAAAAAACATCTTGTTTCAATAACTTGATAGCATCCTCTTTAGTTTCAGCTCTTATAGTTAGACTTGAGCCAATTGGCTTTCTTGGGTTACTATCATCATTAATCTGACCCCCGAAAACAACCAGGCCTAGATCAATGATTGCTGGTAGAGCTTTGACATGCTTATCGTATGCTTCTGTTCTGTCAACACCAGGTTTATCATAAACTATAACACTCCAATCACTTAATTCTCCCATTATCAATAATATTCGTTTCGTTCAAGTTGATTATCTTGTACATTTTGAAAAAAATTATGTGATAAAAGCATTTTGAACATGTAATGCGTTGTGTTTTGGTCAGTATTCTTTTCCTTTTATATATATGGATATTTCTCTTGCCCCCCCTCCAAAAAGGAAATCCTTCTTGATATAGTTGTAAAGCCATTTTTATTCCATTTTACTCTGAAGTCCCTGTTCATCAACACAAATAAGATGAACGTTCTGTCCAGAAGAGGAATCCAATTACGTAACTACATTCAAAATTGTCCTCAGGGTGTTTCTGAGGGATAATTTGAAATTGAAGATTTTCGCGGCTTATAAATGCACTATAATGCCGACGCGATTTCTCCGAATATCAGCGCTAAGGGAAGAGGATAAAAGACTCCGACGCTTTTAAGGCCGCTCAACTAACAATTGCACCTTGATGGTATTAAATGCTTGGCCAAGTTTGTGTTGCAAAGTTTCACAGTTTGATGGATTTTTAATAAAGGAGAGCACTGTATTCCTTCTTATGAGGGTGAAACCCCACTATTAGCAGAACTAAGCCACTATGTTTAAAAACCCATGCAGATTGATAAATATGGTCTTGGCGAGAAATATTAATATAAACAATAGAAATAATCGGGTATAAAGAAAAAGTTGGGTTTGAATAAATTACTAATTGGTAGATTTAGCTTTAAGGTAAGTATTATTGCCTAAATTTTAACATTTCCATAAATTCATCCCGAGTCACCAAATAATTAAAAAATTACTTAAAACAGTCTACGTGAAAAGTCAGTTAAATTACTTTATGTAAAACTATAGGATTTATAAAGCATTACGCATATATATTAGTATTAGTATTTATGTGAAGATCACAATAGCAGTGAAAGTATGAAAGTAGTTAAGAATGTGAAGATACTAGTTTTGATATTGGATCCCACGTTTAGATTTTCCAATACGCTATGACTTGTAGTTAAACCTGATGACTGTTCGCTTGAAACAATTGCCACTGTTGGTATTTTCGAAATAGTCCCTTCACTTTGGACGGTTGACCTTAGAGAAATAGAAGTGTCGATTTCATTATTATTTGATAATTCTATAGTGGTAGTTATCTTACAATTTTCGCCACATTCCTCCGTAACCTGTGTTGTTTTATCTGTTGAGGGAGTAGTTTTAGTGGTATCATACGTATTATCTGGACAGCTTGTAACGACAATAGTAGTAGTTATATCAGTTGTGTAAGTAGATATAAAATATTTCACAGATGATGTTGGTTCCCCTGGAAGCAAGGTAAGTGTTGAACATAAAGTAGTTACAGTTTTCTTAATAACAGTGGTTTCTGTGACATATTCTGTAGATTGTAGAACATTGTTATTTGTTGCGGAAATAGAATCAGTGGAGCTTGTGGATATGTCATTAGTGTAAATGTTGGATATATCAATCATCTCAGAAGCTTTTGATGACGAGGAAACAACCTTTGACATGGAATCTTCAGTTGAAGTTGCACTTGCCGAGGACAATACCTGAATGGATGACTCGCCCACAAAATTAGAAGTAGAATATTCACTAGATATATCTGAGCCAGATGAGGTAGTAGTAGCAGATTGTGAACTTGGGGATGACGAATGAGGATTGGATTCACTTTCAATTGAAGAGACCAAATCAGAAGACACCACAGAAGATTCTGAACTTAAAGTGGAAATTGAGCTTGTTATTGAGGACTCATCCTTAGAAGAAGATGGTGGCATAGAGGTTCCGTAGCTTAAGGATTCATGTTCGGATGATGTAACCTCAGAACTAACAATACTTGAAGATTCTGTCTCTGATGAAACAACCGTAGAGGATACTGGTTCAGAAATAATGGTGCTAGAGTTTTCAACAGTGGAAGAACTTTCAATGGCTGAGGAGCTTTCAGTAGTTGAGGAACTTTCGATGGCTGAGGAACTTTCAATGGCTGAGGAACTTTCAATGGTTGAGAAACTTTCAAAGGTTGAGGAACTGGATGAAGTAAAAGCTGGAGTTTGGACAATATATAATGACTCAATAACCTTTGAACCAGCACTGTTTGTAGAAGTTGCGTATTGTAACGAAGTTTGAGTGTATGAACTATCCCACTCAACAGTCGTGGTAGAGACAACATTTATATAGGAACAATAATCTGCGTCGGCACCTGTAATCCTATGAAGGAACTGATCAATATCTGTATATGTGTTCCCATCTGGATCAGTCATTGTTAGTTGAAGTGAAGCATCTCCACCATTTGTATTAATGTATATCAACCCAATAGGGTAACGGAATCCTGCTAAAAGGTACACAGAATCTTCTAGTTTATTGTTTTCTGGGTCCGATTGAAGATCCGCAACATAGAAAAGTGGAGTTTCTTCTGAATTTTGAGAACCGTCACAACAATATGCATTAGTTTGGTTCGCCAACTTAAATAATGCACCTTCAGAAGCTGCTATGTTGAATGTATAGTATCCAGTTTTTGGTACGGTTAACTGAGAACCGGCACCAAAAGTGAAGTTTGAAGTTGTCATTTTAAGACCATAAACTTCCCCGGTTACAACAGTGTTAGAATCACCTCCTGTAACAATGTCGAAATTAAGTTGCGATGTAGTAGTTGTACCTCTATCACCATGTATTGTGAGATCGGTCAAATATTCCCATTTAGAATCACCAAGAGAGGCCCCGTTATCCAGATAGCATAGACCAAATTGGACAGTGCTTTGTCCTGATGATCCTAGTGCATCATCATAATTATATTGGGCAACAGAACAAGTTGGGAAAGTTTGTTCTTGAGAGTTGACTGTTGTAAGTAACAACGTCGTTATAAATGTAAAAATTAAGCAATTCATTTTGATTTTGTTTAGTTTCGATAACGTATTTTTTTAGAAACTTAATGAGTAAAGTATGCGATACAATTTTTTAAGAGAAAAAGAAAAGCTTAATAGGAAGTGTTTATTTAGAGAAAGATACTCTTGTCGGTCTCTATATATATGTATCTGAAAATGCAGGATGAAGGAATTTTGTAAAAATGTAAGATATTCATTGGCCTATTAAGTTTGCATCAACCTACGGAGATTGTTTAAATTTGGGCTTCCAACCTCCTCAATTCTTACTATACCATCACTAAAAAAAAATGATTTACCTAAAAGTATCAATGATAGATCAATGTTTCTTTGTTTTTGAGAGATTTGCCAATATTAGGGTATTTTAAGAGGATGGTACTTTTCCGTGGAAGGACCAACATTGCATGAGCATATCTCTATAAAAATTATTGGATTAGTACTTTCAAAGTAATTTTCCTGCAAGTAAATTAGGAAAGATCTGCACCGAAAAATAAGAACAATAAAAAAGTCCAGCCCATGTTTCCACTACAGCATAGTCAATGAAACTACAAAGAAAGGAGAAGAATAAATATAGATATCTACTAATCCCATGATGATATTTGCTTCTCACTAAATCTTACTGAAAAGAGCCCGTTTCCCAATTTGTCTTGAGGTCCATAAGTCGCACTGAAAATGGTCGACTTACTTCATGATTTAGTAAGATTTACAAACACCTCCTCCAGGGAAAAAAAAAAAGTTTGCTGGATTCTCTCTAAGAAGTTGAAGCACGGAACGGGAGAAAGTGAGATTACAGGAGGGTATGAACTGCCTTTGTTAAAAAACAACAAGAGGAGTCCAAATCATTTGCGGTTATTTCCGTAGCGATATGCGAAGTATACTTCCCAAAACGGTTCCATGAAAGGAATTGTAGTAGTAGTAGTAGTAGTTGCTTGTTCAATACTCATCGAGCTCACAGATCCTTTTTGTTTTCCCTCTCCGCGCAGTTTACTAGGGCTTCTGGGTTTCCCAAGCTTGTTTTCAGAATTGGTCGTACAACCCCTGCATGCTGGACTTTAAGCACGAAGGGGGGAACCAGCGATGAAGATTTGCAAGGAATTTGGAAGTTTCGGGATGATTGGCTGCGATACACCGATTTGGGTACAAAGGAGGTCTCACATAATATCATAGGTGGATCGTCTTCGCCAAGAACTTATATCTAAGATATTCAAAGTGGATCTCTTAGCCAGCATTGAACACATTACATTATCTGAAAAGGTACCATTAAAGTATTTTGGTAAGATATTTTGTCGGTTCTTTCTTCTATTTGTTTGTTTGTTTGTTTTGCACAGGGATAATTAAAAATTTCAGATTTATCTGATATTATTGATCCAAACGAGAATAATGCATATATACAATAAATAAAAATTACATCAATATACCATCCCTTTTGTTTGCTTGAGTCCTTTATCATAGGTATTCTATGGTGGTCGCATATATATTTATTAAAAATTATTTTCTTACCTGTTTTTGAACTCTGAGAATTTTGAAGCACACACACATATATCTAAAAACTGATAATATGAAATGAATAAAAACTATTTCAATTATTGATGACACACTTTTTGCTTTAAATAACCGCTATTAACTGAAGCCCTTGATATTTTGGTAACAGGTTCCCTTAAATATACAAACTTCCTACCTAACTTAAAAGGGATTATATAATGAAGCATTAAATGCACCATTAGATAAAATATCAAATAAAGAATCATACATTTCAGTAACCTTCAATGTACTGAATAATTAGGTAATTATTAATATCCTTAACGGAATCTCAAATTTCAACTATGCTTTGACAAATAGGGTTGTTAATTAGAAAACTAGCAATCTTAATGTCTGGAGAATATGTCGTGCTAGGAAAGTCCCCAACACCAATTAGGTCAAATAAAAACTGGTTTTGGAGTGAAATACCTTCATCAAATGACTGGAACCTATATGAAGTTTCCATCACAATACCATAATCATCATTGTGCGGATTCCACAACCAAAGGCACTTTTAAATACCACCAACATGTATACGACCGGGGATCTAAATATTATAAGCGACATTAGGAACATAAGTAAACAACAAAACAAAAACAAATATTGTTATCATCAGTTCTAGGATGAACTAAATGAGAATCGATTAGTTATCTTTTTGATAGATTGTCAATGAAAATATTTGTTTTTTCCATTTTTTTTCTTCTTATGTCCCCCCATGGACCCATTGGATATCGGTCAAAAGGAATTCAATCACACCTAAACGTTTAGTGTCATATCTTGCTCTGCAAATGACCAAAACTCTTCCATATAATGAGTTATTCAAACGTTTGTACAATATGTCAACGGCAACTTCCATCGGATCATCTTCAACATGTTTAAATGTTGTTTTTTTAACTTTGATAGTGAGATCTCATTAATCATATCATGTAGAAATAACCCACTGGAATTTTCGACCACATTAGTAATATCAGCAGTAATTCCAGCATATTTTAAATGCTTACCGAAATTTTTAACACCTATTTTGCCACTTAAAAACAAAGCGTTGAAGGCTTATGTGAACTCTAACATAGCCTTGTCGACTTTAGTTCTTCTGTAAGTTTCAAACCTTGGACTATGAATCATATCAACGATTACATATCTCAAGCGGATATCTTTGTAATAAAACTTCTAGTTATTAATCATAATTCTTAAACTGGTATTGCGTGTCTCTTCGTTGGACAAAATATGTACAACCGTGTTAATTCATTTTCTGGGAACACATTATTAATGCATGTACATTATTGAAAACTTTCGGGGTTAACCCTTTTAATATTTAGTCTCTAACGTGTGTATGTCATTGAACTGGTGCGTGAGATAAAACCGACAGAGACGTTTTCGCGATAAGCTGGAACATTTGAGATGGCACCACAACTGAAAAATTAGGAGTCATCAAGGTGCTAACTTCTTGAAGTTCTTGGTAGTTAATAATAGACAAAATATTTGGTTTGGGTTAGCAGCTAATTTATTACAGAGAATGTCTATGAGTTTTGCTTCCTTTCCTTCTTGATATGTATTGAATAAAATTGAGAAGAGGATTAAAATATTATTGTTAATTTTTTTCCAAAATGTCCTTTCATTTTACCATTGGTTTCGAATGGAAACAGGAATACATCTTGAAAAAGATTTAAAAATGTTCCCTCCACTAGTTATTGCACATTAGTGCTACCTCTTAAGTTCATAATGTGACGGTAAAGTTCGATATATTTGCAATTTTAAACGTTCTACTCTGTTCATCTGTACTAGACCAGAGTCTAGTATAAATTATGAAATTATTGTTGTATTATATCTACTTGAGAGTAATTTGTGCTAGCAACAAAATTAATTTTCTATTTGTTTTGGTTCATCTATTTTATCATTAAATAAATTTACTCTCCTAAGAATTAATTTCATCTTTTCATCATTTAGAAGCTCACGTTATTATCGCATTTGACGAGCTATGGCATTTACGTTTTTAACGACTTTTTGAATATAGTCGAACACATTAGAATTACATTAGTATGTATCACCCGTAGTATCAAACAAATTAACATTGTTTAGATTATGTTCCAGTAAGACTCCAATTAATATTTTTGAATTTTATTTTTGGGAGAAAAACAGCTTGAATGAGAATATAATAATGTTTTAAGATGAAGTTGATAAACAGTATAGATAATAATCTGAAATATCTTAAAATAGAAGGTTTATTAAACGGAAATTTATATATATTGTATGTTAAATAAATAGGATGATAAATTTTGAATAACGACCTTTACCGTTATACAATTTTAAGGAAAATATTCGTGAACTAGCCATTTTTTTGGCTCTTACTTGATTTTAAAAATATTCTTCTATTATATATATCACAAAATTATTTTTAATGTTCCTTCCCGGAACATTAAACGACGTGGAGGATTTGATGTGGAGTATTACAATCCATCTATAAAACAAAGAACCCAGATATTATAGAAATAAAAATGGCGCCAAAATCAAGCATTGACTTTGTAGCACTGTTTTCATTAAGTTCAACAACGTAAGAACTACTTGAGGTTCCTTGTAATTTTGATGTTCCTTGAATGCTTGGAGCTCTAGAGGTTTCTTGTTTCATAGAGACAGTAGAGGTTCCTTGCTTTATTGGAGCTTCAGAGGTTTCTTCTGTCTCTTGTACCACAGAGGCTCCAGAAGCTTTAGAATCGGTTGTTTTCGAGGCTTTTATTGAGCAACCACCTGGACAACTTGTAATTGTAGCAACTGTAGTAATCTCGGTCACGTATGTTGATAATAGAAGTTCCGTAGAATCATTTTCAGTAACTGAACATTCGGTAACAATTGTTGATGTAATAATGGAAGTTTTAGTAATATATTCTGTTGATTGTGTAGAAATGTTTTGACAATTTTCAGAAGTGCAAGGAACAGTAACCGAAGTCTTTTGGCCCAAATTAGAATCTCCCTCAGTTGACTGGATAACTTCAGATGATCCTGAAATTGGTTTAGAGGTGATTGAGGTGGTGGGTTTGACCGTTGAGGAGTTTGAGTAAGTGTATGCACTACTTGTGCTAGAGTCTGCTAGTGAACTAGATATTTCGTTAATAATTCCAGTAGAGCTTGATTGTGATGACAGTGTTGTGTTAGAGGTGGTACTGGATATTTCACCACCGTTATCGGATGAACTATAGGTAAAAATTGAAGATTCTCCCGAATTTAAACTTGAATATGCGACAGAAGTGGAACTTGATATTAAGCTTGAAGATAGCTCTGAGAGTGTGGTGACACCCGACACAGTACTTGATGATTGACTTGGGCTACCGCTTGAGTTTAATTCAGAGCTAGATGAAGGGTTGCTACTTGCAGATGAGCTAGCGCTCATACTTGAAGACAAGACAGAGTCCGTTGTTGAGCTGGATATCACACCAGTTAAGGATTCCAAACTAATAGTTGAACTTGATACAACACTAGATGGGGATCCCGAACTAACAGTTGAACTTGATACGATACTAGATGATGACACAACTTCTGAAGAAGAACCCAAAGACATAGTTTCAGGTACTTTAACATAATAAGTGGTTTGAGTATCTGGAACTTGAAAGATATCTGCGGCAATAGTGTTAAAGGCCGTTGAGTAAGTTGTACTAGATTGCACACTTGCTGTCTCCAGAACCTCCACTTCAGTATGACAGGTTATGGAATAGTTATCACCAGAATATAAATAATCTGTTAAATCACTTATAATATCGCCATTTGGGTCAGTGATTGTCATGCTATAGCTGGCGCCCCCTGATCTATTTATGGATGTCATTACAAGAAGCACTGGGGTGCCAACAGTTAAATATATGGTTTTCGTGGTTACATCGTCTGACGACCCTGTTACTGTTAGAAGATCTGTAAAATCTTCATAAAGATTTTTATAGAATCCTATTGGATCGCTTGCATCTATGGTATAATTGTGGCAACAATAATAATCATAATGTGATCTTATAGAGAGTATAGCAGCATCATCCGCACTGATTTCAAAGTTATAATATCCATCAAATTTTGGGAAAAAATAAACAGATGCTTTTAATGTGAAATTTGATATATCTATAGTGTTACCAAATAAAGTACCAGTGCTATCAGAATCATCATTATCAACATCTAGTTGATAATTTATGTCCGTGATTCCATTGAAATTACCAAAACCTTGTGCAGCATCGTTAACTAAAAAGCTGAGAATGTAATCATATGTCGACTGTCCTGACTCTTGAGGACTGTACTCTAAAAACTTACCTGAGAATGGGAAAAGATCGAGGTCGAGCAGAGTCATGTTTGAAGTAGAACATGTACGAGCATAACAATAATCTATCAATAGAGCAATAATAAATAAAAATATTTGTATCCTAGTATTAAAAATTTTCATAATGAATCATAAAATTGTGTTTGATTTTAATTAGTTTTCAATCTTAGTTATAATTCTTTGAACAGACAAAAGATAATAATAAAAAAGAGTCGATTTTTAAGGTATTCAAATTCATATCATTTTTTCAAATAACTATGGTTTTATATTGGGTTTATATAGCAGCTTTTAGAACCGACCTAGATAGGAAGGAAAAATTACTCTCATTTGATGAAACTTATTTTCACGTAAAATGATCAAGTTAACTAAGGAGGTTAATGTGTTAAGAATTTCATTGTATCGGGTAGATCTCTTTTGGCTGGTTCTTTCGAGTGCAAATCACTTTTCTATATTTTGCCTTCCTTCTTCTTTATTGATTGTGCTGGTTTTGTCACAGAAAAAGACGAAGACGCAAAAGGAAATAGGACGATCTTTCCTATTTCAGGAAGTACAAAAGAAACGACCGTACAAAAATAAAAGAAAAACAATGCAGAGACATCGATTACTTGAATCAGCTTCTGCGCATATCTCTTCGATAATCTCAGTCAATTTTTGAAGAAGACAAGCAAATTTGACAGAATAGATGTTTTGACAGTGTGTTTTGACGGTTTAAATCTTGTTTTGTCAGGAAACCACAGTAATATTGCCGTTTTTGGCTAACATATGGGAAATATGTTTACTACAGTGTTACTATGTTAGATCTAATATCTATTGTTATAGTCAGAGTCTTCATAAAAATAGTAAAACAATTTGCACATAGCACCTTTTTTTAGCTCAAAATTTGAATGTGTGTAGTGTATTGTTTAGGAAATACAGATTTGGAATCAGATAACGCAATATACGATCATGAAATTTAGTGAATAAGCAAAGAGGAAATGTTAAAAGAAGACATAGGGAAGGCACGTAAATTGTTTATAACTTTTGTACGTTATTTGCAACATATAGAAAATGGCATGCATATTATATTTTATTTACTTACCATTACAATTATACCATGAAAACCCCAAATTAATATAATCTTAATGCAAGTTAAAAAATTATAAATATAGATCAACCGATAAAGTTGTCAAAAAGTTAAAATATGTTTCGATTAAACATGGGGATAAAATTGATGGTTTTTATGCTAGACACGAAAGGGGCAAACGGATGGTCCCAAATAACGTCCTTGATTTTAATAAATTTTAATAATAAATCGTCCTCCCACAATAGTTGTCCATATCATCTAATTTAAGATATGATGAATAGGGATGAGGATCTTTAAAATTGAACTAATTAATATCCAGATTTGAAGTAACTAAGTTCAAACCAGCTTTGAAGTAACTAAGTTCAAACCAGCTTTGCCTCTGTAAAACTTTCTCTGGATATTTTTCTTTTTTTTGCTCCTCGGGATTTTTCAGTAAAATATACGATCCTCCCGTTCGAGGTTTCTTTATACTATGTAACCTCATTCAAAGATGGGTGTGACATTTTCAAAAATGGTACCTATTTATACGTAATCACATAAACTTAAAAAGAGATCAATAGTCATGGAGGCATGTTTAATGTTATGTGATGCTCTTTCATTTAACATTTGATAATACAACCTCAACTACATACATTCGAATCTGTATTATTAAAATTCACAACAGTAGCAATGGCTCGTCCTTCAATCAAAGAATATTTAACATCTAATCCTGACAAGGTTCTTGTGTTAGATGGTGGCCAAGGTTCTGAATTAGAAAAAAGAGGTATCAATGTTGCCACTCCGGTATGGTCAACTGCACCTTTTGTCAGCGATTCATTTTGGTCGGACAAATCCTCTGGGGATAGAGAGATCGTTAAGGGAGTGTTTAGTGATTTCTCCACCGCAGGTGCAGAGATTTTGATGACCACAACTTATCAAACTAGTTTCAAATCTGTCTCTGAAAATACCTCTATCAAGACTATTGAAGAATATAACACCTTATTGAACCATATTGTACAATTTTCTCGTGATTGTATTGGTGAAGAGAAATTTTTAATTGGTTGCATTGGTCCTTGGGGTGCGCATGTTTGTGCAGAGTTTAATGGGGACTATGGTAAACATCCCGAAAATGAAGATTACTATGAATATTTTAAACCTCAACTTGATAATTTCTTCAATAATAATAATTTGGATTTAATTGCGTTTGAGACCATTCCAAATATTCATGAATTAAGAGCCATATTATCATGGGATGAATCCATATTGTCAAAACCCTTCTATATTGGTCTATCTGTTCATGAAAATGGTTGTTTGAGAGATGGGTCTACGATAGAAGACGTTTGTCAGCTGATTAAATCATTTGGTGATAAAATAAATCCAAATTTATTACTATTAGGGATCAATTGTGCGAATTTCAACCATTCTGCAGATATCATGGAGTCAATTCATAAGCAATTGCCCAATATGCCACTGATCATTTATCCTAACAACAATGAAATTTATGATACCGTGAAGAAGATGTGGTTACCAAATAGTAAACAGTATTTCACTTGGGATACCTTGGTTAAAAGGTATATTGAGGCTGGTGCAAGGATCATCGGCGGTTGTTGTAGAACAACTCCGGATGACATAAAACAAATTGCTGCTGCAGTTAAAAAGTATTCAAAGAATTAATATGTGTCCTAAGAATTTCTATTACAGTAAAATTTTAATAATAAAGTATAATAAAAAAAATAGTTACAGATATATATTTATATAATAATTTCTAAATAAAATTTTATTTCGTAATTAGGATCATCAAAAGTTGCTTTTTCTACGCAAAGATTGGGAACTTCATATTCATCCAGTCCCATGGATCATTAAATCTTAAATTCTTGTTTAAATCGTTCATTTGTTTTAATTCATCATCGGTCAATGTTAAAGCCTCATCAATCTTCAAATTTGCAACTAATCTTTCCTTCTTAGATGATTTTGGAATGATTGCGACACCCTGCTGTGTAGCCCATCTTAATAAAACTTGAGATGTGGTGATGTTGGAACCATGAGCCACAGCAATCTTCTTAACAGTTGGATGTTCAAATAATGGAACGGTTTCAAGGGCAACATCTGATTTCAATTCAACGTACGATTGAGGACCAAAAGAGGAATAAGCAACCACTTGAATTTGATGTAATTTACAAAATTCAGTCAAATGAGGTTGAGTCAAGTATGGATGATGTTCAATTTGTAAAGCTACGGGTTTAATTTTACAATAGTTCAAAACATCTTGAACTAATCCACCATTGTAATTCGAAATACCAATAGATTTGATTAAACCTTCATCTACTAAAGCTTCCATAGCATGATAAGTATCGGCTAAACTGACATTTTCCGTACCAATGATACCTTGTTCTTCTTCTTTAACACCAGAATAAAACCCTGGTGGATATTTTTCTTCTATTGGAACATATTTGAAAGCAATTGGGAAATGGATATAGTAAAGATCTAAATAATCTAGACCCAAATCTTTCAAATTTCTCTTAACATTTATTTTTACATGTTCTGGATGATGGAATGAGTTCCATAACTTGGAAACAATAAATAAATCAGCTCTGGTAACGATTTTTTCATCAATGGCTCTTCTAATACCTTGGCCAACTTCGACCTCATTACCGTAATCGGTAGCACCATCAAACAGACGGTAACCCAATTTAATTGCTTCATAAACTTGTTCGGCACATACCTTATTTGGGATCTTCCAACAACCTAGACCAACTAAAGGCATTTTCAAACCATTATTCAAAGTAACTAGAGCAGACATTTTGTTTTCTTTCTTCAAAGTATGTTTTCTTTTCAAGGGAGTGAATATAACAAATTAATATTATATATTTGTTATTGCTTGATAGTCTTTTTCTTTTATTTTACCAAATTGATAACAAGAATAATTCCCTAATAATATGAATAAATGAAATATGTTCTTTGTTTATATATGAGTTTTATTTTTCAAGATAACTTCATCAGGATTTGTTATTGGCAGCATTACTAACATTTTATACGTAATTTGTTGGAAGTACCCCTTGAATGTTTGACAAGACCAAAATTACATCAAGTTCAGACTTTCTTCGCAGGGAAGTGCAAAAAAATTATATAATCGAAGAATTTTCGAGTTGAAAAAGTTTTGTTTTCGTCTTACACTAATCAATAGTCGGCCGAACTGAGCCTAATATACGCAATAGATTGGGCCAAGGATGATCTTTATTCGGCCGACGGGCCAGTGATGGTCTCTATTCGGCCGACGGGCAAATGAAGATTGTAGTCTGTTGATTAAAGTTGGTAAGAATGACAGTATTCCAAATATACAAATCAACAGGAGATTGTTCGTCAGACAAAAATGTGGGACGATAAGTTGGACGTTACTTTCATTCATGGTAGTAACGTTGTTTCCATTTCCGTGAGTGTATCGTTTACAAAAGATATTTTGCACGTATAACTCTACCGAAGACAACACCTGGGGAATAGCAATAAAGCATACTATCCGGAATAGCTTATTAAATATTTCATAGGTTGTAGTTGAAGTCATCTTGATTATGTCAACCCAAACTAATTAAGTACAAAGTAAAAAAATTTAGAAGATAATTAAATGTATATGATACGAACCTCACACTATATTTATATACATCGCGTATCAACTTTGACATGGTAACAACACTTAGCCTGATGAAAAGTATTAACAAGTACAGAATATTGGTCAGTGTTAAAATTTTAGTATGATACTGTCTTAATTTACCTTGAAATGAAACAAAAAGCATACTTTATAATAAAATTCCAGGATATTCGTGAAGAAACGACCCTAATATATCATACTAAGAAATTATTCCAGCCATTATACTCACCTTGAATAAGAGTGAAACGCCTATGGTTTTCATTCACAAAGTTTTAAAATTAATATCAAATAGAAATGAGGGGGCCACTTACGAACTTCTTAGTACTTGTAAATGAAACATTTTGGTTTTGGTAAAAAAATAATTATATTATAATATGAGTGGTATATAAATCTATAATGGTTAAATATTAATATATGGTATTAAACAGATATTTTAAGCACTATTAAGGTGGTATAATAATGGTATCCATACGAACAAATAGAATTAGGAAAAGTCTCATAATATTGCATTAAGGGTTCGGGTCTGTTAAATCATACATGAAATTCATAAACAAGAATGAAAGGTCATAAATCAGACTTATAAAAGTAGGATAGCCGCACCTAGGATAATGGCACTTAGACCTGTAGTTTTTTGTAGAGCACCATTTGCAGTTTGAATGGAAACAACGTGAGAAGAAACAGTATTACTGTTTTGAGTAACTTGGGCAACGGCTGGGGTTGATGTATACTTAGTATTTACTGAAGTAACCTTTATAGAAGAGTCTGGGCCATTGGTAGCTTTAACTTGTTCATTAGCTGAGGCAACAGAAGCAGCAGATGATCTGGATGCATGACAAGCTGCATCACAAGTGGTAACAGTGGTAGTAGTTAGTTGCTTACCTTGACCTTGGGTGTTGACAGAGGCGACAGAAGCAGCAGAAGATCTGGATGCATGACAAGCTTCATCACATGCTGTAACTGTAGTAGTGGTTAGTTTGTCTACTTGGGCAGCAACAGCAGCAGATGCAACAGATTTAGCTGAATGACACTTTTCATCACAAACGGTTGCAACGGTGGTAGTCAGGGATGTGAGTGTAACTGGACCAGCAGCGTTCATTGTTTCTTCGGTATTAGTACAGGTAGTGACAGTATTAGTTTCAGTCTCACTGTCAGTAACAGTCTTCTTAGCCTTGTCGGTTTTAGTACAAGTTGTAAGGGTGTCGGTTTCGGTTTCCATTATGGTATTAGTAACGGTTAGCTTAGTACAGCCTCCATTTGAACAAGAAGTAATGGTGGCAATTTTGGTAGCAATAACGGAATTAGTTTCAACAACAATGGTTCTGTTAGTAACGGCGGTGGAATGGGCGGTGATTAGATTGTTGGAAGTGACTGGTGCAGAAGTTGAGGAAACAGCGGCGTTGCTTGAAGATTCTGTACTGGCAACGTTAGCATTGGAAGAAGAAGCAACAGAAGATTCAGATGTGGCAGTGTTAGTAGCAGATGTGATTGGAGAGATTGTGGAGCTAGTTAAATCGGTAGAAGAAACTGCACTAATATCAGAAGAGGTGACTGATTCGGTAACAGAAATAGATTCACCTTCGATAGCAGATGCACCTTGACTAGATGAGGCAGGAAGAATATCAGATGATGACAAACTTGTAACAGTGCTGCTACTTTCTTGAACAGAGGTTGAAGATACAACTTGTGCAGAGCTAGAGGTTGCGACTTGTGAAGAATCGGCAGAGACACTTTGTGGGGCAATGCTGGAAACGGTAGATGATGGTAGGACCGAAGAAATGGAGGAAGTAGATGGAGCAACTGATGAGGTAGAAGAGGTTGATGGAGCAACTGATGAAGTGGAGGAAGTAGATGGAGCAACTGATGAGGTAGAAGAGGTTGATGGAACAACTGATGAGGTAGAAGAGGTTGATGGAGCAACTGATGAAGTGGTAGAGGATGTAGTGGATGTAGTTGGTGGATACAGACTGGCATCAACACTAGAAATAGCTGAAGCAATTTCTGCAGATAAATATGATGAATACCATGGAACAGCGGTAGCCATATCTAATAGTGCATCCATATCTAGAGCTGTGAACATGGTTGTGTAAGAAAGGTCACCGGATTTGGCGTTATGAACTGCAAAATAAGCATTGATGATACCATTTGGAATAGATCTACCAGAAGACAAAAACCAGGAGGTATAAGAACTGAAGTTATTGTTGACATCATTCAACAAAACAACTAATTCAGCAGTTTGTTCTGGAGTTGGGTCAGAGGCCTGGACAGCTAGTGCAGATACTAGCAAAAGAGTAGCAGAAGAAAGTTTCATTTTTTTATTTGGTAAAATTGGTTTCTGATTATGCCAATTTTTTGAGTAGTAGTAAAATATTAAACGTTAAAAAAAAGACAGATTTTTGATAATAATTCTACAAATATAATAATATCAGATGTTATGCTTATTTATATATGTGGAATAGATGTACAATTTTTGTTATAATCATTTGTGGAAGTATATTTTGTCACTACCAAGATATGTAACGAATTTCTGAAAATAACATACACAGGATGATACCATAATTGGAAGAAACTCCCACAGAGAGCTCTAGAAGATGGAGGTGCTGTAATGGTGGTCTTATTATTAATGTCAATGTATTTTTATAAACGATGTGTCTATATTTACCTTTGAATACTTAGAGTGCTCTCTGCGTCTTGATAATGGGTTAGATGGAATCTTATTCTAAACTTGGAGACACGCAAAATTATTCCAATACAGGATAACGAAAAGAAAATAGTAACCAAAGTATATCCAAAATAGGTAACAATATTCAGAAGAAAAAGAAAAATGTTATAATTGTAGCTTTTGCTCTTTTTTTAAAAAAAAAAACGCTATGTATATTGTTTGTTTGTTGACGTGCATCTGAAAAAATTTGGTACTGAGATAAATGACATCTTTCCTACCAACAGATCTCATGGAGAAGCAGAGAATAGCATAAAAAAACAAAACAGATGAGATAATAATAACAATAAAAATTACAGGAAACGCTTAGAAAGATTTTAGAAATGGATCAAGTATCTCAGGGAAAAAGAAACAGAAAAAAAGGTACCTAAACGACCATTAAAAAATACATATTTGGATACTTATTCTTAAAGAATTTTGTTTGGTTAACAAAGTACTATGATTTGCGATGGAATCATATGGAATGCCCGTAGCAAATAGTGATTGGGACCTGCGATGGTGTATCACAGACAAGAAATATATTTCCAAATTAGTATAATAACCTGTGTGTCCTGTACGACATGGAAAGTATAGTCCATGTTACAAACGATCGTCGCCTCCCCTTTCTCATTCCGTAGCCAATTTCAGTGGGAACTGACTTATAGGAACTCATATGATGAGTTCTGTGATTGCATTACATTCGTTCCTTCTTTCATTATTGAAGTTTGCGGAGCGTCACTCTCCTACCCACAGAAATACTCGCAGAAAGAAAGCGAAATTGAATTGAAAAAAAAATTTTCAATTCTCGAAGGTGCCAAAAAAAATTGGGCAAGTAGTGACAATTTGAAGAGGAAAGAGAAGAAGGGCATTTTGTTTCGTTAACTCTATTGTCTGTATCTCAGATCCCAGAATTGTTAAAGATTTGGTGTGTTCCGCCTCCTGCTTTTCTGTTCTTTTCCTTTCATATGTCGTCTATGTGTTACCTTTTCGTGGTAGCTAAAGCATCATCAATTTTGGGATTTTGTTTGCAAAATTCCATAACTAAATCCGGATGTTCGGGTCGTATGAAACATTACTCATATTCATTGATTCTAAATTGCCAATATCCTTCTTCTACTTTCCTTTTCTACCAATTGTGCGTTAATAATTAGTTTTCTACAGGTACGAAATGTGACCTTTACGGTAATTCGTTGCTCTTGCATTCTTCGCAAAGATTTTAACCAAGAACAACTTATAATATAGTTTGATTAACTGTATGAGTATAACACATTAAACAGCTTTGTTGATCTTCTTAGATGGCGCAGCTTTCGTGTGTATGATTGATAATGGATAGAAAACAAAAAAATGTACATATACGACATTCTACTGTTTATGTGTGTAAGTCCTTGTAAAAGCTGTATTCTTTGTTGCATTTGGGGTGGATATTGAATTTATCTTGATTCCTAAATGAAAATTAAAATACGGTATTAGTTTTTAAAAAGGAAAAGAATAATTACAAACATCAAGTATAGATAAGATTGAAACAATATCTAAAAATGGTAAGTTTAGTATTTGATTAGCAAGTTATGATAGTACACAATCTGGAGTTCCGTGTAATTTTCACTTGGATTCAATTGCTAAATAATTGAAAATTAGTTAGTTCTTCATTACTGTTTGCAGCCTTCGTCTCAAAATCAGAATAAAGTTGAAAAGGCATTTATTCGTGGGGGGAAAAAAGGTTCTTACTTGGTTTTAAGATGTATTCTTGGTGTATTTTTTATAATTTTCTACATAAACTCTTAGAACTCTTATAAATTTCTTTTTATTACCTGACACTTTGCTAACCGATTCTATAATTACATACTCATTTATTTGGAGGTATGTTTCAGTATATGGCATATTACACCTGTAATTGGAACTACAAATCTGATTCGTAAATACATAAATACGTATATTTTAGTTATTTTTATTAAGTTTGGAATTAGATAGACTTATTCTTTAACGTTTATACTGTCCGCAGTTTTAAAAAGCCTGAGAGATATCTTATATTGAAACGCGTATAGAATTGTTTTTTCCTATAACCTGTAGGTATTCGTATATTCCTTTTTGAATATTTAGTCAAAATAATAATAATAACATCATTATTGCGTACTTCATTGTCGATATGCATGTTACTTGGTTCAGCAACGCTTTAACTTCGGTATTTAATACATTTAAAAATTTTCAAATGTTGTTATTTTTACCATTTCTAAAATAAACATCTATTACTCTTGAGATATATACATCGAAAATACGGCAAGATGATCATTTGTAATAAGAACAGCCCTAAAAATAAACATAGCTTTTTAAAGGATATTATTTCTTTCATAAAATAATATGAATATCTATTCGTAACTCATAGTATTAAACAGTGATAGTGCTTGGTTCGTAATCCCCGAGAGATCATTTGTTATTCAGGAATCCATAATATCACACACCCCTTAATGTAGTTTCCCCAGTTCTGTTAAATTTTACAGTCAGATCCTACAATCAGCAAAGATCATTTCGAAGTTTTATATTGCCTCTAATTTACTCATTCCTCCTCCCAAATTCCACTAAACCAACTTTTATGGATCATTAATATATTTCTTAACATAAAAAATAATACTTTAGGAATTACCTAGATTTAGTATTATATCTATTGGGTAACAGAACACCGCTTTTCTTTTCCACTTGTACGCTATTTCAGTGTGTATTACATAATTCGTTGTTGGTGTCATTGTGAACGACTGCGAAAAAAAGGATTCTTGAAGATCTGAAAATTTTTTATTGCACCGATGAGCTTCCCCAAGGGGAAGATCAGCCTTTAAAGCTAAGTCTCCCTTCATCTCCCCCCTTGAGACATGACCATCTTGTCTTCTATTTGGAAAATTATAAAAAGGGAGCAGACGGTGACTTGACTAATTAACCAATTGGAACTTAACAACCACTTTGAATAAAATTTGTTAAAGAAAAGAAGAAATTAAATAAAACTAATTAATAGTTTACTTGCTTACAACTCGAAAAAATTCATTAATTGAAAACTTTAAATAAAAAATGCTACAATATCCAGAAAAGATTGATGCCATTGGTGTTGTTGATCATGCCGACTGGAAACATCCAAAGAGGGTTGCTTTCGAGCCAAAAAAATTTGACGACACTGACATCGACATCAAGATCGAATGTTGCGGTGTATGTGGTTCGGATATCCATGCAGCTTCTGGTAATTGGGGTGACATTCCAAAACCAGTTGTTGTTGGTCATGAAATCATTGGTACTGTTGTAAGAAAAGGTCCTAAATGTACTTCTGAATTTGAAATCGGCCAACGTGTTGGAGTTGGGGCTCAATGTTATTCATGTTTGAAATGTCATCGTTGTCAAACTGATAATGAATCTTACTGTGACAAATTAGTTACAACATATGGTCAATTTTTTGATGATGGCTATTGTTCTAAAGGTGGTTATGCATCTCACATTAGAGTACAAGAACATTTTGTCATTCCTATCCCGGATAATATCCCATCAGAATATGCAGGCCCATTACTATGTGGTGGTAATACCGTTTTCTCCCCATTGATTCGTAATGGTTGTGGTCCAGGTAAAAAAGTTGGTATCTTAGGCATTGGTGGTATTGGGCACATGGGTCTAATTTTTGCAAAGGCTTTAGGTGCCGAAGTTTATGCTATTTCTCGTAATTCAAAGAAGAAGGAAGATGCGTTCAAATTAGGTGCTGATCATTTCATTGCCACTAGTGAAGAACCAGACTGGGCAGAAAAATATTATGATACTTTGGATTTGGTCATCGTTTGTGCAGGTTCATTAAAGGATGTTGATTTTGAAAAATTACCAAAGATCATGCAAATCGGTGGACGTATTGTCTCGATCTCTGTTCCAGAACAATCCGAACAGATTGTATTGAAACCATTTGGTCTAATGGGTGTCTCAATTTCTAACAGTCATTTGGGTTCCATTGAGGAGATTAAACAATTATTGAAATTGGTTTCTGAAAAGAACTTAAGAATCTGGATTCAAAAGTACCCAATTAATGAAGCTAATGTTAACGAAGTGTTCGAACGTATGGAAAAAGGTGATGTCAGATACAGATATGTATTCACTGATTATGACAAGGAATTCAATTAATTAAGTTATGTATGGTATATATTAGATAAACATTACATTAGTAATTGTTTTATTTATCTTAAGCATTTTTGGTTTTATTGTTTAATATTTTTCATTCGGCCGAATTGATCAAAATTGTAGCACGTGAAGGTATGCTATTTCGGCCGATTAAAGAGATTTGCCGAGTAATTTATTATTCGGAGCGGAAGAATATTGAATATTTGTATTACGTAACAATATTTTTCACAATTAAAATTTTTCAATTGAGTGTAAGGGGTGGAAGTACATAGGAGGAGAAGTGGCACTATTCTGGTAAACTGTGAATCCCTTGAAACTAAAATTAAATTTTAATTGGAATATTGTAGAATATTATTACCTAATATTATGTTCTTTGAATTATAATTCGCGATCTTTTGATTTATGTGTATTTATCAATTCTTAAGGAGATTTTACGTAAACTTATTTAAAGGTTCATAAAATTGAAAAAAAAGTTTAACTAAAATATTCAAGAGATTTTTTTAAAGTTTTAATTCAATCTCAAGGAATTTAAAAAAAATACACGAATAACAACTTAATTTAATCTTAATCATGTCTGTCTTCGTCTCTGGTGCTACTGGTTTTATTGCTCAACACATTGTTGGTCAATTGCTAGATGAAAACTATAAAGTTATAGGTTCTGCTAGATCTCAAGCTAAGATCGATGATTTACAAAAAAAGTTTGGTAATAACCCAAACCTTTCTATGGTTATTGTTCCAGATATTAGTAAATTAGATGCTTTTGATGAAGCATTTAAGACTCATGGTAAGGATATCAAATATGTTCTTCACACTGCTTCACCTTTTAAATTCGACGTCAACGATTATGAAAAGGATTTATTAATTCCAGCAAGAAATGGTACTTTAGGTATCTTAGAAGCCATTAAGAAATACGCGGCTGATACAGTTGAAAGATTTGTCATTACCTCCAGTTTTGCTGCTGTTTTTGATCTGGGTCGTCTAACAGATGATGATCTTACTTTCACCGAAGAATCTTGGAACCCTGATGACTGGAACAGTTGTCAAAGAGATGGTGGTTCAGCTTACTGTGGTTCCAAGAAAATTGCTGAAGAGACCGCATGGAACTTTTATAATGAAAACAAAGATGTTGTAAAGTTTAAGATGACTGCTATCAACCCGGTCTATGTATTTGGTCCACAAAGGTTTGACTCAGATGTCACCAAAACTTTGAACACTTCTTGTGAATTTATCAATGCCGCTTTACATTCTACTCCAGATAAGTTACCCCAACCCTTTGCTGGTGGCTACATTGATGTTCGTGATGTTGCTAAAGCACATTTGTATGCTTTCCAAAAGGAAAACACTATTGGTCAAAGATTAATCATGAGTGAAGGTAAATTCAGTACTCAAGATATCTTAAACTATTTGAATGCTGATTTCCCAGTTTTGAAGGGTTCTATTCCAGTTGGTAATCCAAGTGAAGCATTAGAACATAATACATCTGGCGCTAAGACCGATAACCATAAGACTAAAGATATTTTAGGTTTCAAGTTTATTGGTTTGAAGCAAACAATCGATGAAACAGCCGCTCAAATTTTAAAGCAGGAAGGTAGATTATAAATAAATATATAATTATTTAATATACATCTGTGGTATTGTTGGACATATAGTTAATAAATAGGTAAACTACGAATTATTGTTTTGTTTATGAGATTTGTTTATTGGGTAGATCATAATAATTACAAAATTTTCACTTTGGTGTTTAATGATAAACTAAGTAATAGTCAACTAAACGTAAACAAATCTTTTATTGAGAGTTAACATACAAAACATAAAAAAAATAACAAATCAAGATAATTTACTAAGTTTGAGTAGGTATTAGAAGCAAGACACACGTAATGCCAAAGGTGAAAGACTCAAAGTTGCTAAGTTGTAATTGTTTTCTTCCATTCATCTTATTTTTAGCTTTTCTTATCGCTATTTATATGCAATGTCGTTTCCATAGTAAAGAAAGAAAAACTGACACGCCCATGTATATCAGCATAATAATTTATATAACTGCTGTCTTTCTTCGAAGACATTATCCTATTTTTGCATTTCTGACTCCTAATTCTCTATAGAGCAATAGCATACATAAGCTTATTAAGAGCAAAGAAATAAGAAACGGTACGACGAAAAGTCAGTAGTTAAAGATAATAAAATAGGCTTATCCGACTTGGTCTGAGATGAAGTGATTCTGGTATTAACAAGGAAATAAAAAAACGACAAACATATATAATGAGCATGGATTATGGAAGTAAAAAAATCTATGACCTAATTCTTATGTATATTAAATTTCGGGTTTGAAAGAGAACCACGAAGAATAAATTGTATTATATTATTAAATAACTTTTAATAAAAATAAAATTGACAAAATGGATTATGCCCTACAAGCTAATACTAGTAGCAATGCAAATGCTTATCATGCATTTTGCAAACTTAAGAGTTAAATAGGCATGATCTGTTTTAAGTTTCTCCAGGTTGATATTTAGATACAGTGAAAAAAAAGAAAAATTAAAGAACAGCAATTTGTTAAAGCGAGTCCAAAAAATTCAAATATAAATGAATAAGGAAATAATTCTATTTCAGTTAAGCAACAAAATAGTATCTGCATAGAGCTAACATATTGATACTAGCACAACTTCCAGTTCAATCCTATCACATTCTACTGTAAACTTTTAAGATACCTGTTCGTTAAACTGCATTAACGGATAACTTCTCTATAACTATGACAAAACAACAAGGAAGCAATAATAACGAGACAGACAACTCCTCTGCTCTAGAATTTTATAGGAAAGCCCTTAACTTTAATGTCATTGGGAGATACGACCCTAAGATTAAACAACTACTGTTTCATACACCCCATGCATCCATATATAAATGGGATTTTCAAAAAGATGAATGGACAAAATTGGAATACCAAGGTGTATTGGCTATATACTTAAGGGACATAAGTGATAATGAACCATTATTACACATGGATTATAACACAGACTCACAACTTAACAGCAACCAAAGAAATAGCAACATTTTTGAGAGTAGTAGAAGCAACATATCTGAAATGTCAAACTTAAGTGTGTTGGATGACTCCGCAAAATCTCAAAGGACTGATGTCTATTCCAGTAACAACATCATTGGTCAAAATTCGTCAAGTACGGTCCTTTCCGGTAAAGATATATATAATTATGGTCTTATTATTCTCAATAGAATGAATCCTGATAATTTCTCAATGGGTATAGCGCCAAACAGTGTTATTAACAAACGTAAAGTATTTGATGTTATAGAAAATAAAGCCAACCCACTAGAGTGTATGGGTGTGGAAGTCAAAGATGATTTAGTAATTATAAAGAATTTGAAACATGAAGTGTTCGGTATATGGATTCATACCATTGCCGATAGACAAAACATTTATGAACTCATCAAATATCTATTAGAAAGCGAGCCAAAAGAATCATTTGCATAAATAACTACAATATTTGTATTGTATAATTGTATATATAAAATTCAGATCGTCATACTGCAATCTATTTAGATTTCTAATGCCAAGTCGGACAAATAGTTTTCAAAATAATTCATATAGAAGTATATAAACCGAATATTCGTCTATCAATTCAAGCATGAAATAAGAACTCTACATATAATCTATTTAGGCGTTACTGTAGGTGGTGAACCAGTCGATTTAATACTAGAAGGTGTACCTGTCATTGAACCGATATCGTTCCCAGCTGGTGTACTTACTGTACCAGCAGCAGCAGCAGCAGCGGCAGCGGCAGCAGCCTTCTTCTTCGTCACACGTTTTTTCTTAGGGGTTTCACCATTCGCTGGTACCTTCTTAGGTTTACGAGGTCTCTTAGCCTTTGGCTTATCAGAATTACTACCTCGTTTATTTGTCCCTTTACCCTTTGCTTGCCCACCGGCCTCCTTCTTACCTCCTGGGCCCTTTTGTTTCTGTGCTGTACCATTTGTCTCAGAACCAGTCATTGCCATAGATATCTTCATATTGAATGGCAGAGTAGCACCATTTACTCCACCATTTCCGTTAACCATGTTTAATGCTTGTTGTTGTTTTCTCTTCTCTTTGTTTACACGATATTGCTCAATAAATTTCAATCTGCTAAATTGATTATTTTCGCTAGTCACACTGGATGCTGCGGCTGCTGCATTTGCAGCAGCAATAGAAGATTGACCACCATCTGAATTCGAAGATCCTCCTGTGTTTCTGCCACCACCTGATATACCCTTCGAACCACCAGATCCACTTGAACCAGATTTTGACGATTTCAATTCTGTTGCATGTCTTGCCAAAGCTGCTGCAAACGCCGAATTTGTTGTCGTCGTGGTTCTTTCACCCATGATCAACATCATTTGTTCATAGGTTGAGTTATGTTGCGGTAATTCTTCATGTTGGCTTATATGACCTGCGCCACCTCTAGTCTTTTCATCTGTGGATAATTTTCTATGAGGGAAATGTATTCTTTGCATTTCTTCATCCCATCTTGGTACTGTAAAATTAGATTCACTAATCTTTTCTTGATGTTCATATGGATTCAAGTTCACGTTAAGATCAATATTACGTTTGGTGAGTACTAGTAATTCTGCTTCTAATTGGTTATATATAGTATCAGAAAATCTTGCTTGATCTGCGTAAGTCATCATATCGTAATAACTTGACAAATCTGTTGGTCGTAATAAGGTTCTATAAACCCTTGGTCTTCTAAACGATGTCTTAACTACATTGGCTCTTTCTGACGAACTAGTTGAGTTTCCACTGTTATTATCAGGTGTTTCTTTCTTAATGTCGTTAGTAACAGAATTTAGGGTATTACTACTTTGTGACTGTGTATCAGGTTTAACAATTTGTTGCGAGTCTTGTCCCTGTGATTGTGGATTGGATGTGGTACTTTCTTTTGGTAAATCTTTCGGTATTATATCTACTGTGTTTGTATGATCATAAACTTGTAAGACAATATTCCCTTCATATAATTGTAAATTACAATCTCTTAGAACTTCCATTAAGGCTTCTGGCATTATACCTCTAGCAACATATTCTAAAAAATCCTTCAAGATTTCATTATTTTTATTTAATACAAGACCATCATTGGAAATCTCTGGAGATTTTTGTTGTTGTTGTACTCTTGTATTTGCAGGAGCACATATCTTATAATTATTTTCATAAATATGAAATTCAAAACTAGGTCTATACTTTTCATATTTTTTTAAAATTGAATCTGTATCTTCAACAAAATTATAAAGTCTCTTTGGTTTCTTATTAATTGTCATTAATAATTGATAAAATTGTGTTTCGAAATTGTGCATTGCTTGTTGTTGTCTTTGTTGTTGTAATGCTCTTTGTTGCATTATCATTTTTTGTTTCTGTTGTTGTTGTTGCTGTGGTGTTCCAGCTTGTAATTTTTGTTGCTGTTGTTGTAATAATTGTAATTGAGCTTGAGTCAATCTTGAATTTGTCTGAGATGGTCCTGTTGAAACATTCATAGGTATATTTCCTGACGTATTTATGGGACTAGTCATTGCTAAACCAGTATGAATCCCGGTAACACCACTACCTATAGGTGATCCATGAGTAATTCCATTATTAGTAAAACTTCCATTACTACTGGCATTACTATTGTTTCTATTATTCATACTAAGGTTTACAGCGACACCTTGTGGACTAAGTCCGCTACCTGGTGTATTAACAGGTATTCCAACATTTTGAGCATCATTATTTGGTGAATTAACTGCACTCATTATGATAATATATTTATGTCAAATTATCAAAAAAAGCAAAAAAATTAAAATGAAATAAAACTTATAAGGAAGAGACGATATTTCGAATATACTATCTGTTATTAATACTATCCAACTTCCTAAAAGTTGCGTTCTCTTTTTCAGTAATGAGTGACTAAATTATCTTATTCAACATATTGTTTATAGTTTCATTTTTCAGTCATTAATTTATTTCAAAATTACTTAACTATGTAGCCAAAAATTTATAAAAAAATTAAAAAACTGAAAAACAAGACGAACGAATAATAAAAGTATAATTACCCTGAAAGGTCTTTAACTCAATAACCAATAACGAAATACAATATAACAACAATTAAAATATATTTGAATACATATGAATATATACTATTTGAAATGTACTTATAGACAAAGGATCGATTCCAATCTCATATTAATTTGTCTTAGTGGCTTTCCACATATCGCTTAAACCTAGCATCGAGGTGACTACACCTGCTAAAGCTACATATTGTTCACGATTAGTTAGATATCCTAGATTGTTTAATACGATAAACATATCGGTAGAGTCCCAAAGTAATCTTCTTGTAGCCATGAATTTTTCTTTATATGTTGCTTTAACTAAATCTTTACGTTGTTTATCTGTAATTTCTTCCTTTGAATCCTTAACTTCTTTTAATTTAACATCTGAAATTTGAATATTACGTAAATCTAATAATAAACCAGAGATTAAACCGAAAAACCAAAACCAATTAGTCCAACGAGGTATTTTTTTACTTGAGAATGTTGTCGTAGGTACTAATTTAAACATTCTTAATAAATTAATTTGATCCAGAGTTAAATAACCTGCATAACATAAATTTTTAATTATATTTAACAAACGTACAATTGAATCACCAATTAATTTTTGATCATAAATCTTAGAGGCAGCTTGAATATGATTTAATGGTTTTAAAAATCTCAATACTTTTCTAACAATTGTAAATTGTGCTTGTAATTGTCTAGATAAAGTTGAACCTTGTTGTACAGCTAGAAACCTACATAAATATTGCAATAAACGTAATATTTTTTCTCTACCTGCTGTAGTATCTAAAAATTTAACCAATTTTGTCACCAAGGGGTGATAAACCAATGTATCACAAACCATAATTCCAACAAAAAACACAAAAAAACAGCTACCTTTCTCGTTATCTAGCAAGTTTTTTTCTTTTGAAAATATCAACAACAACAGAGAATAAAAATATGATTCCCATCATCAAAAGGTTCCTCTCGCACTCCCCTTTATATAGGTAACCAAATTTCCTTTAAAATTCAACTGATTGGCCCTTTCTTACTCCAACAAACTAGAGATGAAGTCCGCCGTGCCGAAATTGCGATGATAATATAAAATAGTGACGCGTTTAATATAATTATCACCGATTGAAATTTATTTCTTTATAGAAAAGAGAGAGACACGAAAGAGACTGTTTATTGACCAAACAACTAACCAGTGAACACAAAGGTGAAAGGGTCCATGACTAAAGGTGGAAGACAATGGGTTACTACGATATAGATGATATGCTCACTGAAGGAAGTGAGGTTCCTTGCAAGTTCTTACAGGATATTCCGGGACTTGGATATTTAGAGAATAATCCTGGGAAACCAATTAAAGCTAATGCTAAATTAATGTTACCTTATTGGCTAGCTCATATTTTGGCTGCTATCGATAGCATACCTTTATCAGAGGACTCGATGGCTGTAGATGAAGAAGAAGAAGCTGTGCCGTTTTTAGAGATGTCGACACCAGAAAGTTTTTCTCAAAGAGTAATAAATGCAATAAAGACAGATCCTAAATCATTAGATTTACATTCAATAAACCCACATTTTTATGAATTAGCAATTAAATGGTGTGCCATTTATTCTGCAAAAGATTTAGCAAAAGTCGTCTCTGATTTACTATTACAAAGATCTCAAGATATTAATAATTTTGCTTATTCAATGTCAACAACAAATAAAAATATTGATTCAATTGGTTCAATGTCAAATAATACAGATATAAAACCACATAATTTATTAGCATCTTCATCTTTCTTAATGACTTTAGACGAATTAGAAAAACAAATTTATAGAACTTCTCATGAATCTTATAAAGATTCAAAAAGATGGATGTTTCAAAATAAATAAAGAAATTATATATAATTAACAAATGCATATACACACACGTAAACAAACAAATTATTTACCATTATTTTCAGTATTATATTACAAAACAAAATGATACACATACACATAGATATATATCAATTAGAAGAGATCACCTTCGTCACTACTACCATCATTGTTGTTATTATTATTATTTTCGTTGTTATCTTCTTTGTCGGAACCTTCATCATAAACTGGTTCTTCTTCACTCTCGTCACTATCAGCAATAAATTCTTCCGATAATGTAGATCTTTTACCTCTGTGTTTACTTTTAGCAGATTTAATTATATCATCTTCATCATCGTCATTATCACCATCATCTGCACCACTCTTACGTTTCTTTTTCTTATTACCTGTAGATTCCTTTGAATTTTTACTTCTCTTTCTCTTTCTCTTTTGACCATCACTATCATATGATACATCAGAATCTGCACCAGCATTATTTTCATCAACTAGCATACTTTCACGCTCTAACACATACTGTTGTGCCTCATCTTGTAATTTCTTATATTCTGCTGCTTGTTTTTCTAATTTAACACGTTTTACTTCTTCTTCCTCTTCTTGCTTCTTTTTATTTTCAAGTTCTTGTTGTTCTAATGCCTTACGAGCTTCTTCCAATTTAATATCATTTTGTTTATCAAATACTTCTTGTTCTGATATACAACGTTCAAGAGCAGTCTTCATTGTAGTTTCACCTAATTGAATTCTTTGTTCTAATTCCTCCTTTGGAACAATAACAAATGATTCATTATCTTTTAATTCTTGTAATATAACTATACCATTTTGTAAACCAAGAACTGCTTCCTTTAAATCTGCAGAGGTTCTTGCAGTACCAGGTGCTCTTCTCAAAGTTTCTGCGATTTGAAATTCCAACAAAGCTAAATTATACTTCAAGGTGTTGACAAATTTGTTAGATTTAGTTATTTCTTTACTATCATTTTTCACTAATGATTCATTACCTTGAGCTTCAATCGATAGTTTAACATTTTCTTTAGATTTTTTCAAATAATCAACAGATTTTTCTCTCATACCTCTTGAATACCAAGCTTTACCCAACATATTATAAACATATGGTTTATTTTTCAAATTATCAAAGGTTCTAATTAATAATTCATAAATCTCAATAGATTTCACATATTCATTCATCTCTAGTAGACAATTAGCAAGATTAATATGAATATCTTCATTCTTAATAGAATCTCTAACTTTTCTTAAGACTTCTAATGCTGGTCCCATTCTCTTATTTTCAGCAAATACAATAGCAATACCTTGAGCTGCAAAAATGTTTAATGGATCAATTTGTAATACTTTTTGGAATAATTGAATGGCCTTTAAATAAGATTGTTTGGATTTCTCCATATCTTTACTAGATCCGGTCTTTTTGCCTTCTTTCGCAATGGCACAATATAAATTGGCCAATGAAACTAACGCATATAAATCATGGGAATCATATTTGACTAAAGTTTCTTTATTACTTTCAGTCTCTAAATCACTACTATTATGCACTGTACTTAGATACCAACTGTAAAATGAACGAATCTCCAAATTAGATTCATGTTTAGATAACAAAGCTTTCATAATTTCATCTTCTTTTTCAATATTATGCGTCGATGATGAAACATATTTACAGTATAATTCCCTTATCTTAGCTGATAGATAAGATGGATGCTCAAGTAAAATATTTCCATAAACTGCTTCGGAACCTTCGATATTAGTTAATTCATCAGATCTTGCTACATTATAATCTATTGTAATAGCAACACTTTTATCTTGATTTAATTCTTGTGCAGACTTGAAATATTTATTGGCAGTCTCAACTTCACCATTTATGAAATAGAAACAACCCATATTGTTGTAAATTTCTAACGGAACGTTATCCTCGTTAATAAACTCCAATTCATCTACTACTTTACTCAAGAATTCTAATGATTGCTTGTAATGATTTCTAATCTCATATAATTGAGACAATAGTAAGTAAGCACGGGGTGTCACTAATTGATTCTTTTTGGCAGTGGTTAAATTGACATATTTTTCTAAAAATTGAATCGCTTTATTTGATGTACTCTTCAATGCTTTTGGAGATAAAGTTTTTCTATTTTCTGCATCCAAACATTTACTGGAATATAAAAGACCCAAAATATAATTCAATTCCTGTATAGATTCATGAGTTTTTAAAAGATTTTCAAATGTTAAGATACTTTCTTCAATCAAATTAGTCTTAATTTGAGCTTGACCAATACCAAATTTAGCTAAAAGATTATCCTCATTTTTTCTTAAACTTTCTTGAAACATGGCAAATGCCTTACGATATTCACCAAGAGCATATTGAGCTCTACCACACCAGAATGTGGCATCAGATAAAACAGTGTTTGACAATAAATCCTTTCTTGGAGCTAATTTACTTTCATATATTTCTAAAATTTTGTTGTAGTCACCTTTGAAATAATAATAACTCTGTAATAGAATTAGAAGAACTGGATTTTCTTTATCTGCTGATAATTGAGAATCCAAATCCTTTAAAGCGTTAGTAAAATTTTCCTCGAATTGAGTATCATTATTTGATTCTGTCAAAGCGTTATAAAATTCTGTCAATAATACTAAAGTAGAGGCACCTTTATTATTTGGATCTAATTGGGCAGCTCTCTTCCATGATTTAATTGCCATCTGATAATCTTTCAATTGCCAGAAACACATACCAATCCCAATTCTAGGATCTGGTTTAATCATAGGGTTAATAACCAATAATTCTTGGAATGCTTTCAAACTAGCTTTATAATTTTTGTTGTGATACAAAAGTTTAGCTCTTAAAAATAAAAACATAGAGTTAGGTTTTGGAGGTTTACCAGATCTTCTCTCTTCAGCTTCAATCCCTTTTATAAACAAATCAGCTGTCTCGAGAGCCTTTTCATAATGACCTCTTTGATAATACAAATCTAAAGTGGCTAAGATATTTGCAATCCAAGTTGGATTAAAAGCAATTGCATCTTTCAAATTGTTTTCTGCATTTTGTAAAGCTTCTTCTCTTTTTATTATATCATTATTATTCGTCTTAGCCATCTTCAAATAAGCCCATGTTAAAAACGTATAAAGACTGGCTTTATCATAATCTGAAAATATATCAAGAGCGATTTGAATCAATTTGATACCTCCTTCCAACATACCATGGTTACAGTATGCAATTGCTATCATTAACCAATGTTCTTTATCGGAATTTTCTTCCACTAACAATGTTCTTAAATCGTTTGGATCGTCTGGTAAATCTGTATCTAAATCGATACTGACCAGTTCTTCAGAAGCCTTCAAAGGAATATCTAAGGAAGTAGGCCAATCCATCGAAGGATAATTTGCCAGATCTACTGTAGATGCATTTTTAGTAGGAGAACTCATGACTTCGTCTTTCTTTTTGCTTATTTGTTATTATTTTTTTCTCGAATAGTAGTTCTTACAAAAGTTAAAGCAAAATTATCAATCAAACCTAGTAAAATTGTAGCAATAGGTACGAGCTAGCAATAGTAACTCGCTGATCTAATTTAGGAGTATGTGGTTACAGAGAACTTTCTTTGTCATTCCCTTATTCAACACCCAATTTAAAAAAAAAAATCAACTTTTTCACCTTGTTTGCCCTTTCTGTCTCTTATTTTGCCTTGAAAATTGTTCCCGCTATATCTGAATACAAACGTCTCTCTCTATTTCTTTCTCGGTGAGAACAGTTTCAACTGTTTTCGTCACTATCAGCCAAAAAAAAAAAACAATAGTTGAAAGAACGTGAGGGTAATATGGAAATAATTGAAATGAATGTTTGATACCCATAGACATAATTCAGACATTAAATAAAAAGACAAGGATGTTTATATAAGTTTATTGAATATATTACAATGGATATAATGGAATTGTTTTACATTTGGAAAAAATTTAGTCTTGTCTAACCAGCTAATTGAATTTGTATTCTTGAACCATTCCACGTTGTTGAGTTCCAACTAGGACCGGTTTGACCATTGTTTAGTCACAACTCTGTTGTTTAACTTTTATATAATGTTATCTACTAGGGTGATCGGGACCGAATCTTAAATACAACAGTACGAATAGTACCTTCGATGATACGAACCGTATGGAATGACTGCGAGCTTAGGTGATTCACGAGGATATATTTTGAAGTGGGTAGCAGTTAAATTTATATTTTCCTCTTACTAAATAATTATAACATATATTTGGTCACATACAGCTGAAATAGCTATATGAAACGAAGTAATAAACGAAGAGCTGTATGCACTTTCGAATGGATATAATTTTACTGTCATATTATCATGACAAATGTCAAAAATTGCTCTACCTGCACGTGACTGAAAAATTTTTCTCTTCAAATTTTCTCTGGAAATCGATGAGATGAGATGAATTAAGAATAAATGGGTCTTTTATAAGATATTTAAGGACTAAGAACCCATCACTTTGAGGTTCTTAAAAACGCTTAATTGGTCTAAATTGTTTAATAGAAACCAAAAGTACATATATAATACAAAATGAGCAACGTTCAAAAACGAGTTTTTGTTGGTAATGTGCTAAATAATCAAGATGAATGTTTTGAAGATTTGTATAGACGTTTCCAAACGTTCGGGGAAACAAATAATGATACAAAAGGATTTGATGTTCATGGTACATTTGGTTATTTGAATATAATGTTTTTTGATGAACAAGGATTTCAAAAATTGAAGAAGAATTTCAATAAAGTTAACTTCAAAGGAAATATGTTAGTTGTGGATTTAGCAAAACCAGATTTTAAAAAATCCTGGGAAAGTCAACACGAAAAGGACTTGATACAGAATGGGTTAATAGAGAAACGAAATGCTAAGAGGGATTGGGAACATTATAAAAAATTGGAAAATGTTCAAAAGTCCTGGATAGATCATAAAGAAGTTATGCAAGGTAGAATGAGAAAAACACCAAGAAAGAAAAGAGATTTATCTAATATAACGTTTAGAATTGATGTGAATGGATCCTTAAAAGTATATAAATGTTATAAGACTAAACTATGGGGTTATGAAAGACACAAAGAACTGGGTGATCTTGTTTATAAATTTGTCGGGAACAAATGGCGTAATGGGTTTGATCATATCGTTGACCGTCTAAATTATGCTAGATCAAAACAATCCATACATTTCAATCACCCAACTAATGGATCGTCATTAACTATTTCTCATGATCCAAGTTCTATTCAAACTGCAGATGATGAACATATGTCTGAAGAAGAAAAATTAAAAAATAATAATGTATTGACGGACTTATTGAATGGATTTGATTTTAATGAAGCTTCAAATGCAGTAGATTCTGATGAGGCTGAAGAATTCGGGTTCAATGCTAAAGGTCAAAAAGAAGAAGAGGAATATTATGGTCAATATGATAATAACAACGACAATGATAATGAGTATTATGGTACGAAAGGTAACGATTATGATTACAACAATAATAACTACAACGAAGAAAATGATTATTATAAAAACGATTATAACGAGGATGATGGCTATTACAACAATAATGAAGAACCTTCAGAGTCCCATAACCTTGACAAAAAGCAAAGGAAAAGTAAAACATATCAGGAAGAAGACGAAGTACAAGAGGAGGAACCTATCCCAGTTTTCACAGATAAACCTGTTAATAACGTTGTCACAGGTACAGTCAGTAACACCGAGACATTAAGATCTCTATTTAACCCTGAAAGTGAATCTCAATCGACTGGATTCAGTTTAATGGGTGGTATTGAAGAAGATATAGCTGTTGATCAAAACAAACCTGAAGATACAAATGAAGCACAGACCAGAACAATTATGGAAGAGATTTCTACAACCTCTCAATTGAAGGAAAAGAACCACTTATTCTTTGCGCATTTCAAATCACCTTTCTTACTGGGTCAAACACAACTGACTAAAATATCTGGTGGTGGTGATACTGATTTGTTAAATAATTGGGATCAAGAATTTTGGGATAATAGAGGTACATGGACAAGAGAAATGAAGAACAAAAAGAGAGATGCTATGAGACAACTTCACAAGAAAAAAGCTAAAGAATCAAATCACATATTAATATAGTCAATTGAAACATTAACACAATTTCAATCACTATTAGAAAAGAATGCTATTTGTTTTGCTTCTTTATTCGTTATGCATTAATTATAATAAACAAATCAATAACCAAACACAATCATGTGAGAGGTATCTAAATATATACATACATTAATATTTATTTATATCCCTACCATTAAAAACTTGTATCATATATCAAAATAATCTTAAGCGTCTGGTCCGAATTTTACAGCCATTTCAACTGCGCATGCACCCCAGTCTTCACCATGGTTATGCATAGTATGATGCTCATCAATACCAGCTCTAGCAAGAGCTTGCTCTTCAGTCATACATGTTAAAAGACCGAAAATAACTGGTAAATGAATTTTATCTTGTAAGTTCATCAAAGCATGTGTAACAGAGTCGGAAATGTATTCAAAATGCATAGTACTACCTTTAATCAATACACCGATTGGAATAACGGCATCTAATGGTTTACCTTCCTTCTTTTGCTTTTCAACAAATCTTTTAGTACCGTATGGTAATTCATAGGAACCTGGAACAGTTTCAACAATAATGTTTTCTTCTTTAACACCTAAAGACTTCATTCTTTCAATAGCACCGTTAACCAAAGCATCAATTACTGATCTATTCCAACGAGCATGAATAATACCAATTCTTAACTTGGAACCATCGTATTGTTGGTCGATCTTACCTAAACCCTTAACAGCCATTCTAAATTTTTTTTATACGTATATATGTGTATGTGTGTGTGTGCAAAAAATACAAAAAACTAATTTTCAATAAAATGATATGATTATCAATTCTCAATCTTAGTTGATTTATCTTATTTACTAATAATTAGCTAGTAGTGCTAATCCTGTATCTGTCCCCCTTGCCATTCAAGTTTGCTCTCCTTTTATAATCGAAGGTTCCCTTTAATTGCATCGAAATTTTTCACTCACGGGAAACGGAACACGATGACGAGACGGGACTTCGTCAGACACCGTGAAAAAATAATAAGGTGATTGAATTTTTTTGCTTAGTAATGTCTGAATAAGCAACCATAATTGCTCAGGGCACTGGTGCAGGCTGAGGTACTATCGGGTGTGCATTTTGCTTATTAATATGTGATATTAGCCTGATGACTAGTACTTACTATGATACTGATTTAAAGTTACTACTATTATTATTATTATTATTATTTGTTACATATTTCTTTATTGATTGGTTTATTTTACAGAACGCTCACTCAGCGATAACCTCTTGATCCGGATGACAAATAGGGCTTATCGAGAAAAGATGACGTTTGGCTTAGTAGAACTCGTTTTCTTTCTCAATTATTTGATCCCTAGCGTATTGTGACCCACCTTTTGTGTCTATAGCTTCAGCGGTATCTTCTTCTTCGTCACCTTTATCCTCAGGATCACGTGGAACGTTGTTCAATTGAACACTTGGAGCATATTTAGTATTTTCTAAATTACTGAAGATAGAAGTCATAATATTATCGAGATATTCTGGAGAGTTTACATTAAACATATTAGAAGATCTTACTTGTAATTTATAATCTGGACCATAATATTCATAATAATCATTATATGGCAACTCTTCATCTAATACGACATTATTCAACAGACCTGTTTCAAAACACCACGTTCTAGCAACATTTCTCATTGTATAACCACCACCACCAACAACCATCATTGGGATATTAAAGGATTTCACATAATTTACACAATTAGCATGACCTTGCATAGATAAATTGAAGCAACCAAGACGATCACCAGATAAAGAATCACCACCACACTGTAATACTACAGCAGATGGTTGATACCATTCCATAATTTTACCAATTACAGGTTCAAACACGGACCTGTATGTAGCATCATCAATACCATCTCTTAAAGGAACATTAACAGAATAATTTTTACCTTTACCGACACCAATATCTCTTAATTCACCAGTACCTGGGAAAAATTCACCATACTTATGGAAAGAACATGTCATGACACGGTCTGTGGTATAAAATGCTTCTTCAACACCATCACCATGATGAACATCAATATCAATATAAAGAACTCTTGGGTGGTATCTTAACAACTCGATAATCCCAAGAACTATATCATTCAAATAACAAAACCCTGAGGCTTCAGATTTTTTAGCATGGTGTAGCCCACCTGCATAATTGATGGCAACATCACATTTACCTCTATTTAATCTTGCGGCACCTTCCATGGATCCACCTCCTGATATACTACAATATTCATATAACCCATCAAATACAGGACAATCATCACCTACATTGAATTTCACACTTTCTTTCTTAAACATTTCTAAGTTATCTGGTGTAACTCTCGATAAGAAATCAATATATTCATCAGTATGGAATTGACACATTTCTTGTTTGGTGGCAGGTTTAGCTCTGTAGATTTCCATCTTCTTGTACAGACCATAGTTCATAATTAAGGAATGCGCCATTCTTATTCTATGAGGTTTCATAGGGTGGCCAGCACCATAGGCATAGTTTCCCACATCTGCATCATAAAAGTATGCTACTCTCTTCTTTTCGTTGGGTTTAACGGTAATCGGATCAAACGGTTTAGCTTCGTACACCATCTTATTCTCCTACCTATATTTTATATTATTCTTTCCACTAATCCTACACAGGAGCAAATTCTAGTAAACAAATCACTAAATAAAATATGACAACTGTGCTAATTGTTATAAAAAAAGGTGACTTGTCTCTTAGTAAAGTTAACTTGTTTCGATATATTTTTATTTATTAAGTAACGATTATTTTTGTTTAGAAATTCGCACTTATCCCTCTCTCCCTTCTCTCTCTTATTTTCTAAGAAAATGCGACAAAGTAAAAAGGGTAGAAACACCGATACTATAAGTTCCACCAAGAGTGTTATCATGTTTTACGAAGTAATATGCATTAAATATATAGCAAGTGATACATAGACAGATATATATATATATATATATATTTATATTTACAGGCATGGTCTGTTAACCTTCGAAATCCCTTTTAACTTTCAGGTAATGGTTTAATTCATCTTGTGAAACACTTACCGTCAATTCTTTCTGAGCATTGACAAAATCTTCCATTCGGACAGTCACAGATGTGTCCTCCTCAGTGGCAACTTGGTCGAACCAGTAATTCAGAGAGACCGACTTTTCCTGAGACGCATTTTTCTGCTGGTTGTACTCAGTTAATTTTTTATCCACAGTATGAGCAATTCGTGTCATTGCCTTTAACATAGCATCCGAACAAAGGGCATAAAAATCTGCCCCCGTGTAGTTAAATGTACAATTTTCAGCAACTTGCAGTAGGTCAACATCCTCATGGAATTCAAATTTACGAGTCAATGCTTTTAAAATGTTTAATTGTTTTTCATTAGTGTCAGGTATACCCAAATATAACAGTTTATCAAATCTACCGGGTCTCAAGAGGGCCTCATCAAGCAAATCCGGTCTATTGGTAGCACCAATAACGAAGATTCCCTCACTTACAGAACCATCACTAGAGCCAGAACTCATCCCATCTAGCTCAGCTAATAATTGGGAAACAATTCGATCCATTACACCACCAGAATCACCTTGATTACCTCTCTTTGGAGCCACAGAGTCAATTTCATCAAAGAAAATGACACAAGGTTTAGCCTCCCGTGCTTTTTGAAATATACGTCTCACATTAGCTTCTGATTCACCTATATACATGTTTAACAGTTCGGGACCTTTTACACTAAAAAAATTCAACGAAAAGTTAGTGGCTATAGCCTTTGCCATTAGAGTTTTACCTGTACCAGGTGGACCATAAAATAACAGACCACTTCTCTTCTTTAGACCGGATGCAAATAACTCAGGATGCTTTAATGGCATATCAATAGTATCCATAATTTCACTCTTAATTTGATCAACACCACCTATATCATCCCATGTGATATTTGGAATTTTTGGAGCACCAATAGATACCGAATATTCATCTCTTGCATTGGAAATTGCTTTATCTAATGTGGCCATATCCAATTCTATAGATAAGTTCTGTTTTGACTCACAGACCTTCTCGATAGAGTCTTCTCTTGCATTACTGACAATTGAACATATATCAATAGGGGTTAAACCAGCAGAATGAACAGCTAGATGTTGCATATCAACGTCTGAACCTAGAACGAATTTTTGTTTCTTTACCACGGGACTGTAACTTTGGTTCAATTGTTTCGATGAAAGGTACCATTCAAATATCGATAATCTTTGTTCTTCTGTTGGCACTGGCACACCTACTTCAAACTTAAAGAAAGCTCTAGCTGTACTTGGTAAATTATCTATTTCATTAACAGAGGCAACAAATATTACATTCCTATATTTTTTCATCACTGAACCAATACTGTTAAGTAACCCTAACTCCAAAGTTCTTGCTATTTTCGTTGTATTTTGATCTTGATTTGGATCAATAGGTGGAAATAAAACATCAAAATGGGACATATAAACAATTGTAGAGTCAACGTAGGGAAGAACTGCTTCAAGTTTTGCCTTGAGGAAACCTATAATTTTGGTGATAGAATCTAATGAGCCTTGACTGTACGAAAAAGAAATACAGTCAAAATCAATGAGATTAATTTGAAATTTTGTTGCAATGCGTTTGACTAACGTTGATTTACCAACATTACTGCTTGTAGAATGAAGTAAAATCTGAGTTTCTGCAGCAATACCCCTTTTAAGACATGCTACAGATGACCTAATGATATTAGAAAAATCATTATAGTATGGAAAGATACCGGGATGGTAGTTAAATGAAGATGGTAGTTGGTAGTAGGCATCATAGTCCTCATTAAGTGTGACTTCTGAAGATTCACGAACTATGTTGCTAGTACTGACTTTGGTATTCACGGGATCTATTATAAAGTCTCCTTCAAAAATCTTCGAAGAGGACCCAATATCATCACCATCAGATAATTTTAATTCTGCATATGTAATCTTAAACCATACCAACGTATCAGAACCATCTTTTACCTCACTAACATTCCAGTCACCCCATTCAGTAATGGTCTGTTCAGATGTCAGAGATGACAAAGATTTGTCAAATGTAATAGGTATAAGATCATTAATTTTAAATATTCTATCCTTATTTGAAAAAAAAGCTTTTAGGCTTTGCAGAATAATATCTTGGTATATCTTTTGGGTCTGAATCCAACCACCAACTCTTGATACGATCACTTTTGAAGCAATTGGCAACGTTTCTTCAATAATACATTTTTGAATATGGACATTTTCATGGCTTGGATATAAACTTTTTACTCGAGGATGTAAATATATTGTGTTATTAATAAAATTATTTGGTTGAAAAAGTACGAACAGTCTCAAATGAGTCGACTTACCATAAATTGAAATTTGCACCAATGAACCACTACTAATCTTGAGCTTGGTAAAAACATCGTGATTGGCATATGCAAAAAGCGTATCATCATGATTCTTTACGTAGACATTCGGAGTTATCAATTCTAATGGTAAATGATACGGAAGACATGCTATTTGAATGTTGGAGCAATCAATATGTGAGTCCTCTTTATTACCGTTGTTGTATTCTTTTTCCTTTGTAAGTATAATTTTTGTCCTACTGAAATCAATTATACCATATGGATGAGGTTTACAGTATGTTACACTACATAATTTCTGATGTAGCCATTGATTCTTGTATATTATCGATTGTTTATCCCTAATATCAAATTTCGTTGCTAGAAAGCTTACTTTATCATTGTTCGAAGGTAATTGTGATATTTTATCATAAAGTATTGGATCTAATGTTATTCCGATAATATCTAAAGGTGATACATATTCATCGAAATCGTTTTCTAAAGGTGTAAACTCACAGAAATCAAAAGTTGGATCATAAGGTTTAATTTCATAATGGTCTATGGGGATCTTAACGGTTTCATAAGGTAAAGATTTATCTACAGAGTACCAATATATAAATGTTTTTTGCAGCTCTTTTGAGTAACATGGTAGTGTAATTTGTGCAAATGTGGAGAAAGAAGGTATGCTGGTTGGGTACAAATCTTCAGACACTTTAATTTGTCCTGGAGAGCCATACGGATCGAATTCTAACTTAACTTTCATATTTCAGGGTAGCAAACATATATTCAAACAACGGACCAATAATTCTTATTGTATATGTTGCCTATAAAGTATGTGTTGATCGAGGTAAGTTAAAGAAACGGTTTCATAGTAGTCTGTTTCTCTTAATATTTTTAAGCGAAGTTTCAAAATAAGTGATGAGACCCAGAAGGTCAAAAAAATATTCACATAAATTAATAATAAAGCAAAAAATGGCGGAATATGTGTCTATTAACGAATTATCTATAGAAGAATGTTTATACTTATTTATTTAATTATCTCGACTAGAGAATATGCAATTGGTATGAAGGATTTCTTTATCTTTGAAACGACTTAACGCCCTTTCACTAACGGTGATTTCAAAATAATTTCTCTGGCTTCATTTATCTTTGCTGTGATAAAAGGGGAACCACCTTTATCCGGATGGTTTCTAATTATGGCACTACGATGTTTACTTTTCACTAATTGTGTATTTAAATCCCTGATTTCATTAGCAGAGATATCTAATATAAGTAATGCTTCAGCTTCAGTCATTCTCGAGAAAAATCCACCAATATTTTGTTGTTCTAAATTAGATTTTATAGTCTTACTAAGTCTATTACTATCAAAACGTAAATCATTATGAAACTTCTGTCGGTATGATTTATCATCATCCAATCTAATATTATTAAGTCTTGCAACCATCATGGGGGTCAATGTCTTGTATACAGACCAAGCTCTAAAACCGGACCTTGCAGATACTGCTAAGAGAGTCACGCCTACTCCTATTATTAACGGCAAGACCATTTTCAATCCAAACAAACTTTAAATGACACAGTAACACTATTACTTCCCTGAAAATGCTACCAGCTTCTCTTTAAATTACTATAATACCCATTTATGTACCTTAAAAGTAATCATATCAATTAATGAATACCAATTTCAACAACTTTTATGCTTTTTTCTTTACTGTTTTTTTTTTTAATTTTCCCAATTAATCGTGTGGAAAATTATTCTTAATGGCTAGTTTCAAATTCGAAAGAACAAAGAATACAAAGATTACTAGCTAATAAATTGAAGTAGTTTACAAACTTACCGTTCGATATAGTGTTCCCTACTTCTAAAATGCTTATCTATTTAGGTTATTTTCACTACTCGTGTATGCGTATTAACCTGCTCGGCCTGATTAATTTAGAAGAACATTAAACTTAAAAAGAAAGACCGGAAAAGTTGTACATGACGACTCGACCTGCTTGCTAAAGGGAGACAAAATTATACCCATACATACACCTGTCTCACTAGAGAAACCAAAAAGATGTATGTTCGGAATGTTCCTGAGTTACTGCCTCGAATGCCTAACTTCTGCACATTCCAAACAAATAATACACAAGAGCTATCTCTCCAAAAAATAAAAAAAGAGACTACGTAATAATTTGAAGTCCCCACTCTCAACAACCCAGCAACTGCGCTTTCATTATCACTATTGTCGTCGAGTTACAACCGACTGGTAGCAGAGCCCAACATACTCATCCTCATCAATATTTGGCAAGGCTTGCTTTTTCCAACTTTGACAAACACAGCCATTCCATTCTCGCGATGCGTCCTCTGCGCTCTCTTTCTCCCTCGCCCCGCCATGCGAATATCTCTTTCCATATTATTTTATCGCCCTGTTTGCTGCCAAATGATGTCAGTGAATGCTCGAAATTGAACCTTTTGGTATTGAAATAGATGGGAAGGTAATAGCGCCAGTATGTCGAACTAAGATGGCTTACGTTTGTTGAGTTAATCTTGGTAGTCGGAAAGTATCACAGACTACAAGTATGTCTTGAATAGGAGTTTTCCCTAGAGAATTCAAAGTAAAAATGCTGCGCATTTTATGATATACTTGATGTAACCATGGTGATTTGTTCCATGGAGACTCGTTGAAATATAACATAATACCACGATAATTCAGAGAAAGAGCTACAATTTCTCCAGAGCATGCTTAGTTCTATGAAGTTATACTATATTTGCTACATTACTTCATGTTTTTTTTTGCTGGGATTTCCTTGAGCCAAGGGGACAATAAAAGTTAAGTACACAGACAATGAACTTTAAAAGTATAATTTTAATAGTCGTAATTACTTAACTTGGTTAAATCTATTTTATTTTATGGTTTTTTGCTACGCAAAAAAAAATAATTTAGCACAATACTTATAATGTTAATGGTATAACTAAATTTATCGTACGACACTGTTGAAGTAAATCATCATTATATTTCTTTTCTTACCGTTTGATCTTTATCAAATTATATATAAAGGTCGAAAATGATAAACGTTTTAAAACTTTTGATGTTTTTTTCCTTCTTTAATTACTTTTAATTTATTTACTTATTAAACCTAATTATATGAAATAATAAACTAAATACAATAATCTATTAAAGATATCAAAAAAATAACAACAAAAATATTCATTCTATATGAAGTCGTTTAGTAAAAATATTTTATTTGCAATTACATTGCTTCTCTCAGCTCTCTCGACAGCTATTGCTGCTTCTGTTCCATATTTCTCAGATGTCCAAATATTGGATAGTTATACCGAAACTACAGATTGTACAGATTTAGATCACTGGTTTATAATACAACCTACTATTACTATTCCTGCACAAAGTGAAACTTCCGAAATTCAAATCACTATTCCATTGGCTTTCGAGTCCTATTCTTCCGGTTCATTCGATTTATTATATGGTTCGACTACCATTGGTACTGTTAATATCGTTGATGGTTCAAACACTTTCACCGTTTCATTCAATTCTTATGTAACTAGTTTACAAAATGAAATTACAACAAATTTCAACGTTTTGGCTAAATTCTCAGATAGTGCTAAAGAATTAGTTAATAAACCAATGTCTTTATCATATGCAGTTAATGCTACCGATGATAAAACATTTACTCCAACTATTAATTTTGTCGGTACTGATTTGACTTCTATTACAACTGATGGTGGTGTGTATGACTCAAACAATACTGCTTGGTTTGTCATTAACATCCCTATTTCTATGTTAGATGGTGCTGTTTCTATCAATGTTGCCCCAACTGGTTCCAATTCTTTCTATTATGAATACTTAGAAACTACTTTTGAAGTAGTCACTGCTGTAGATGCCTTTAACAACCCTCTCTCTTCCGTTCCATTCACAGCAGTTAAGGATCAATCAACTACTGCTGCTCTAACCTTCAATATTACTTCTAATGTTAGTGGTGGTAAGTATCTACGTATTTCTTACTCCACTGGCCCATTAATTTATGATGCCATTACCAATGAGGTTACTATCAATGATAACACGGTTTTTGACTCTACAGTTTACACCAGTTCTATGACTAATGTCGAATTAAACAGTGCTTCCAGTGCATTAAATCTTGATATTGGTTTAATTAGTTCCAATAGAACCACATCATCTGTCCTATCCAAAGCCATCTCTTCCCAAACTAGTCCAGCAGCTTCCTCTGAAACTACATTAGCTACTTCAGAATCTACTGAATTTGAAAGTTCTCAATTACAACCAGTCGCTGCATCTGAAACTTTAGATTCTTTATTTGAAGAAGGATCATCCGATGATACTAACAATAGCACTTCTTCCTTTATCGTCTCTACAGTCTCTAAAGCTCCAACTTCTTTACCAACTACCGTTGAAACTAGCTCATTGATCGTTAACTCAACCTCCAGCTCAGTTACTGCTACTTCTTCCACCACTCAATCTGACAGTAATGCAGTTTCAATTATTTCTAGTTCAACATCTCCAGATACTACCAGCGCTTCTACAGTTTCCCCAGTTGTCGGAGAACTCTCTACCAATAAGACATTGGTTTCATTTTCTGCTTCAAGTCAAGAAACTTCCACTACAAGTGCATTAGATCTTGGTTCAAACATGACTATTTCTACAGCCTACAGTAATGCCTCTGCCACCACTTCTGGTAATGACACCTACGAAACATATACGGTACTAAAGTCAACCAGTCCAGCAGATGTTACTGAAATTACCAAATTAGTTCCTGTTGCTACCTTATCTGGTTCTACTATTTCGTCAGAAGTTGTCATTACATCTACAGTTACATCCGACGATATCAATGACGAAAGTAGATTTATTAACTCTACCTCCACTGTTAACACAATTGCCAATGCCACAGCTGTAACTTCTACAAAATTGTCAACTAAGGTTATAACTACAACCTCGTGCTCCAATAATCTATGTGTCTTAGCTACTAGTACTGTAGTAAGTGAAGGTTACGTAGTTACTACTGAGTCCTGTAGTGAAGATGCCACTGTTTTAACCAATTTAGTTGCTGTCTCAACCTTACCATGTACTAGTTGTATCAAATCTGAGACTATCAAGAGTAAAGGTTATGTCGTCAATACTGAATCCTTAGGCGCTGAAGCTACCATAAAGACTAAATTAATTCCTGTTGCTACTTTATCCAGTTCCACCACGCATGCTCCAGTTGTTCACAAGACCACTACTTTAACTGCTTCTGTCGATGAAACTGTTGTTTCTTATACTACCGAATCATGTAGTACCACAACTCTGCAACCAGAAGTTTCCGTCGAAGCCGGTTATATCAAAAGTACAGAAACCCAAAGTGCATCTGTCACTTCTTACTTGGATTTCTTAGGTGAATCTTCAATCACAAAATCGGAACCAACTAGCTCTACTGTTCAAGTATTAGTTCAAAGTACGACATCATCTTCTGAATCTTCAATTTTTTCAATTTCATACTATGAGGCTGGTTCCACACATCTAAGCATTGGTTTAGGTAGTTTCATTATCGGTATCGTTACTTTATTCATTTAGAGAGACTTTCGAAATATCTTTTAATGATAAATAAATACAAACAATTATGGACAAACATTCAAACACATCATTCTGCATCACTACTTTTTTTAAAATGGGTAACTTTCATCTACTAACCATTATTCCTTATACAATATTATTATTATTATTCTTAGCATTAAAAACAAAATTTATGGTTCTTTCTTTTCACTTCAATTTGTAAGAATATAATCTTACCCTTTATATGTTTATATAAATTATAAAAGTTTTTAAAAAAATAAATTTAAAATAAAATTAATTGAAGTTATATGTCTTTAGTTTAGGACTACTAAAATTTTATACTAAAGTTTATATATATGCCTATATGCTAAATTCTTGTTTACAGTTATGATTGATTATCATATATATCTAAGGATGACCTGGGTGTGACTCTTCTCGTGAGTCGGTCCTGTAGATAGGAATCATCTAGTAATGCCTGAGTGGCTGGTGAGTTATGTACATTAAAATAAAGACCGTGTTCATCTAAGGTATGCCTACTTCTTTGGCTTTTGAATGGTTTAATCGGTAAGATCCATTCTATGAAAGAATTACCCATCACTTCTTTCCAATTAGCTGAGCTCGAGCCTAAGTCAAACATGTTTATATCACTTGCTGGTAGCATACCATGTCTAATCTCGAATTCCCTTCTATATCTACGTTGTCCGTACATCTCGATGGTCGTCTGATTCTTTAATAATTGATTTATCGTAAACCAAGAGAATACAAACATTGATGTTGTTACCGCGATTGACAGTAACCAAATTTGCAATACTCTAATATTAATATATTCTTCTGCGTATTTTCCCGAATGAAACCATCTATACAATTGTGTTGAGGTTATAATTAATATAAATGTCGAATAAAATGTAGTATAAAGTAGAAACTGAATAAAGAATTTTTGGTTTGAAAATCCAATGCATTCAGCAAACCAAGGACAATGATGATCCATCTTTAAAATACATCGTTCACAAGAGGAACAATGGTGACAACGATCTGGTTTCCAGTGTTTACAAGTTTGACATACTCGAAATCTACCATCGTGCTTAATTGTGACTGATTTTTGTGTTAAATACTCTGGTGGTAATTCCGTTCCGAGTTCCACATTATGTAAATCTCTAATAGATAAATCCTGGAAATCTAAAGGAGAACCTGGACCAACGTTAATTACTTTAAAATACGTATAGAGGGCTAATGTTGCGAGGGTAGTAACTACTGAAAACATGAAGTTATACGGTAATACCGTTACCCTGGTTACTGTCACATAATAGGTCCAAATATATAGTCCAGTGGTAAGCACCTTAGGAAAAAGTGAAGCTACTGAAAGGTTAGGTATACTCATTTTATCAATTATTCATTGTAAATTAAGAGAGTGTTTTCCCTTCGAGTGCAAAGTAGTTCTATATCCGAGCTTTGTGTTTATTGAATATGAAGGTATGTACATGTATGCATGTAAGTATGTATGTGTGTATGTATGTATTCGTACGCATATTTTTTTTGATTATCGATGTCTCTATTTGACGTGCTATGAAATTGTTCTCATCTTTGTTTTCAACCGTGTCGATTTGCTAATATACCATCACACGTAGCGAAGAGTAGAACGCGCAAACTTAGCCGGTAGTTGGACACTGCTAAGCAACATGTGCATGAATCAAGCATCCGCTAAGAAGGTGATACCAGAGCAATGCTGATTTTATCGACATCGATGGTACAACTCCATTACTGGGTATTACTAATCAGATACAGTTATTTCCTAGTGGCCATTGGTAATATCTTTGTAAAGTAATAGATCATCATTATCCACAGATATCGTAGAGGCATCAGTATACTGAGCATAGTCACTGGACGACGACAAAGATGCATTTTGCATGGTTTGATAAAACTCTTGGTCCAAATCGACTTTCTGGAAGAATTCTCGAGATTTCAAAATGCTAACGTAGTTTAGTTCAGTATCTTTTTTAGAAGATATGAACGTTTCGGTTGAGTCATTTGGTATGCTTGCAACTGTCGAAGTATTCCATGGACGTACATCTGGGCTATCAATTCCATCTTGCGCAATACTTTGGGTTGCACTATGTTCTCTAGTACCATGCAGGATAGGGTCATTTCTTAATATTTTGTCAAAATTTTCATTAATTTCATTCTGTGATTGGACTACATCCTGTAAATATTTAGTGGTAAAATTTAACAAATTGGAATTTCTTAGTCGAACTATTTCCTGAGAATAGAAAAGGTCTATGTAATTATCTCCTTTATTAGAATTTTCGACTTTATTCACATGTGAATTTGAGATAACACTTCTATCTTCTTTTTCGTCTAGAACAGTCTTTAGGTGTTTATTTAGCCAACTTTGTTTCCTTGACACGAATGGCGACAACTCGTTACCTAACTTTTTTGTTTCTTGATATCTTCTTGTTGAATTCATTGTAAACTCGAATAGTTCATCAAGCCATGTATATGTCCTTGGAGTATAATACTCGTTCCAATAATTATCAACCGCTCCCGGGTATCCTCGAATATTTTGTTTTATCATAGTCGGTGTAATATCGTTATGTGTGTCGATAATCTCATGTTCTATCAATTGTCTCGAACTTTCAATATGGTAGTTATTCCACCAATGTGTGTAACTTCTCCTAGGTCCATTATTAGTATAGTTATTATGTAGATAAAAATCTGTATTCATTTCCCATAGTGATGGATACCCTTCTTTCCACACATAATGGCCTAAAAATAGATTGATTGCATCCTGTCTTTGTGAATCAATGAATGAGTTACTATAGAATCGTTTAATACTTTCAATCATATCTCTAGAATGGGAACTCCATTGATTAATCTTTCTATATGTTTCCATCGTGTTTACTAAATGGGATCCACCATATTGTAACGCAATTGTATCCCCAAGGTCGTGAAATAATTCTGTCAAAATATTCACAATGTCGGAATCATATTCAAGAAATGGATCATTTATTATTCCAAGGGCTTTTAATTGTTCGCCAAGAGCTCTCTTACCGATAACAAACTGAGCGGCATTAGTTCTATCCAAACAATCAATACAATTAGTACGACAGATTCCTTCTTGCATCTTTGTATTCTTAAAATCGGATCCATTATGAAAGATACCCGTCTCTTCAACTGTTTGTAATGCATATTTTTCTAAAAATTCAATTACACCTTGGCCATCTTGTTTTGAAGCTCTACTCATATCCCACGATTTGTAGATAAGTTTTTTATCATCTGGAAGAAAAATATTTAAATAATTTACACATTCTTCAAACTCCTTTAGTAGTTTAGTTTCCCTGGGAGTCTTTTCTTTAGTTTTGATTAAATTTAAGATATGGATAACACCACCGCCATATCTCTGAAATAATTTATCAAAATGTAATGCAGCAGGTGAAAAATATGGATCTATTACGTTTATTTCAATTGGTGGTTTAGCAGTTAGATTTGAGGCAGCTTGTGTCCAATACAAAGGAATAGAACCTCTATGTTGAACAAAGGAAGTATACCTATCACTATCAAAGTAACCTGGTCCTGATTTATGAAACGACGTTAATAACATGTCCGTAGCGATCTGTTCTGTTTCCACCTCATTAGCCACATATCCCTGATTATTTACACCTCTCTTCAAAAACCGCGCTCCTGCAAAGTGATGTGATCTTCTTGCAATTAATGTAATGTAAAGATTCTTACCAAATAAAGATATACTAATCTGATCTATAAATCCGTGAATAACACATTGAAACCAATCGTATACTGTTTCGATGCAACTGAAAATAGGTTTTAAAAGAAATATATTCCATATATACATCTCATTAAAATCATGTATATCACTTGGTATTACAATATCATTACGATTGACAGCTTTCAATTTTTCCCTCAATATATTAGTTTGTAATGTATTTGTTATATCATAGGTGTAACTGAAATAAAAAGTTTTTGTCAGATCAAGACCCTGGAAAGTTGCCATTAATTTTGCTTCTGTAGAATATTTATCAGGTTTCTTATAATTATTGGATATGGGTACCATTTCTGTACCGTCGATATGAAATACAGAGTGCCCGCCAATTGTAGCAACTTGACTAAATTGAGTAATGGTTATTAGATAATAACATGTAGTAAATCGTATAAAACCTAACAAACCAAACACTGTTAATTTTTTCTCAATACCACCCTCAGTAGTTTCTTCTAACTTTGATAAAATACTCATAATTTCATTCCTAGTGAAAAAGACATTGTCTTCTAATACATTTAATTCATCATCCGGAACTGTAAGATCTATTTCTAAGATTCGAAACATAGTTTCTCTCTTGTTTGAACCCACAATATACATTCTTTCTTTTGTAGTATATATTGTATACTTACTTAAAATAAATTTCCTTGTCTTTAATTGTTTACCGATCCCAATAGTAGGTGTATCTCTAGGAAATGACATTGGCAATATATCATTGGTCTCATTAAAATGTGTAGTTTCCATAGCGCAACAAGTAATAAACACTAATAACCTGACCTAAATATTTTTTTTTTATAAGGTGGTTAGTATATTTATAGTGGTCTTGTTTAATATCTTCAAAGGCATAATTGTACCTTTGAAATATTGTTTGTTTTGATTTCGATATATAAATAAAATATAAGGCGATGCCGAACAAAGTATACTAAACAAACAGGAATGTGAATATTATGTTTATGACGTAGATGTATATTTGTATTTTTTTTTATTAGATAATATGAGTATTTATTTAAATTTATATTTATATATATATATATAATGAGAGAGTTTTTTCCCCTGTGAATGTTAAGACCTGTTATTGCGTGTGTATGTTTCTGTTTAAAGAATGATGTTGAAATAGATAATGAAAAATTAAAGATTTAATGTTTGTTTGTTTTTCCATTATTCCTACTTAAATCAAACATGAAATAAATAATGTGAATAAACCAAATAATGTAGTAAATCCAGGATTCAATGATGAACCATTATTATATTTAATTGTTGTTTTCATATTAGTCTTAACAACACCAATAGTACCAGTTAAAGAACCTAAACCAATAGAACCTGATGAAGGTACAGCAACGGCTGTATATTGACTACTAAATCTTTGGGCAAACGTAGTAGAACGAACAATAGTTTGTCCACTAATCACTACAGTAGCATAAATAGTAGTATGAGCTCTTAATGATGTATATGTTTTTGTTGTGCCTTGAGTAACAGTATAAAATGAATCTAATGATAAAGTTGTTACAGCGGTTAATGGATAAGGAGTCATTGAAGTTGAAGGATCTGGTCTACCATTATTAATATAACTACCAGTAGTTGTCTGAGTAGTTGATGTAGAACTTGTATCAGTTGCGGCTGCAGCTGCAGCTGCATCTGTAGTAGCAGAATTCAAAGCATAAGTAGTGGTTCTAGTTAAAGTAACACCATTTGGGTCCGTGCTAGTATAAGTTCTAGTTGTCATACCTGTTGTAACTGCAGTACCTGCAGTACCTGTTACACTACTAGATGAACTTGTTAAAGATCCTGCATTCAACGTAGTAGTTCTTGTCATTATAACACCATTTAAATCTGTACTAGTATAAACACTAGTAGTCACACCTGTAGCAGTAGCAGCAGTGGCGGTAGCAGCGGTAGCTGCACCAGTAGTAGTAGTGACAGTTTGAATCACTCCATTAGCATCAGTAACTATAGTAGCAGCGTTATCATATATCGAAGATCTAGTGACTGTTGCACCTGCAATATTAGTAGTGGTTATTAACTGTGTAGTTAAAGCAGCTAATGTAAAAGGTAATAGCAATAACGATACAGATAATTTTGAAATCAACATGTTATAATATGTATGTAAATTTGTATCAGGCTTATTTTATTATTATTATTATTATTATTATTATTATTATTATTATTTTTTTAAGAGAAAGAGAGGGGGGATATGAATAACAAAAAACAAAATAGAATAAAGCGAAGAAATAATTTTTAATAACGATCTATCTTCTTATATGTATATATCTTTCCTAGTTCTCTATATGTATGTCGTTATATGTCTAGTTCTGAATATAGTAGTTTCTTTTCTAATATCAATATGTGTAGTTGAGATCACCAAACGTTTATGTAAATGCTAAAATATATTATATTTAAATCTAAATAATTTTTTTCTTTTGCAAATTTCTTTTAATAATGTAGGTGCATCATAGTGTGTGTACCATATATACAGAAACGCGGGATGGCTCCGCCTAGTTTCCCGGCTTAAAAGATGGAAAAGACGCGATTTAAAATAAATTCTTTAATTTATGGAAGACACAGAAACTGCCGGAGAGAAGAGAAAAGAAAAATTTTGGTAGATAGTGAGGGTAACCCCTCACGTGACTGCTTGAAATTAAAGCTGCAACAGCAACCAGACTGGTTGTTTTGCGGACCCTAACTGAGGGCTCAGTCAGACCCACACATATATTCGAATTTTGAATTAAATGTGAAAGTTTCTCTTTTTCTCACAGCTGGAAAAACAGTCAAACGAAAATGAGATTTGTGAATAAGTCTTGTTGGGGGGGGGTTAAGGAAGGGTAACATGGTCTTTTGTTACAGGGTGATCGTCAATTCGGCGGCTATTTCAATACCACGATATAGAGATATATGTATACTGAAGGTGGCGCGGGAATGGGATAGCCGCCGAGTCCTTCAAGTTTGGGAATTCAATTATATATAAAGGGAGCGGAGGGAGCAGGGATTATAAATTAAATTTTCTTTCTTTCTTTCCTAATGTTACAGTTGTTGTTTTTATTAAACAAGATATATAAATTAAATAGTCTTCTAATTACAAGCGTGTTACGTTGAACCATGCTATTAGTGTGAAAGGTTATTGAATGTGGGCTGTTCTTATAGCAAACTAGTATGTTATACCGAATTTGTGCCTTCTTTTTAACTTATAGTGTTAATAATGGAAGTTTTTTTTTTAATTTTTAAACCTCTATAGTTTTATTTCTCTTTATCAATAAAGTAGTTAGGGTTTTAACCTCAAACCACTTTTATTTTATTCTATTATTGTTTTTTTTTTTTTAGAAAACATTCCGCGATTTATTCTATTGTTTGTTTACATTTTCAAGGTAAAAGCAAGGGGGAGAAAATATTCAGAGAAACAGGAAAACTATCAAATGTATACGGTATACACACACATAGATATATGTTAACAGATCATCAACATTTTTCTATTTATATATATATGTATATATATGGGTATGATTTATTAACTGAAAGTTTACTGTTCGATAAATTATATTTTATATCTGAAATATAATTTTTAAAAAACATAAATAGAGTTATTAAAATCACTATTTAACTAATGTCTAGGGATATCCCGACTACTACACACGATCATAGTGTTCATAGAGTATTTAGTGTAGATGATGATCCAAATGAAGTGGAAAATGATGTTAGATATTTAGAAGGTCTTCATGATGGTTTAAAATATGCATTACATGGGAATAAATCATCATCAAAATCATTTTCACCATCAACAAATCATATTGATTCAAATTTTGTTTCAGGTTCAGATATATCATTACCTGGTAATTCATCAAAACCAAAAATTAATATAAATTTACAAAATGATAATAGTATGATTACAAATACATCAAATAATGAGCATGAAAGATTTATTATTCATCATCCAATTACAGATTCTGGCCATGATTTATTAATAGAGGAATTAGGACCTCATGGTGTTAGTGGTGATATTCGTGATATTAATATTGATAATAATGATGGCAATGAAAATGATGATGATAATAATAATAATAATGAAGAAGTAGATGATGATGATGATGATTTTGTAGATAGACATTCAAGAGCATCATCAATGGAATCACTTACTTTAAAAGAAAGACAAGATGCTATTAATAAGACACATCCATTCGGTATTAGAATTTGGAAGCCTGCTTTATATAAAAAACAAAGATCTGTTCAACGAGCAGCCGATGAAGATATTCATGAAACAAAATTTAAGACAATTACATTAGGAGTACATATTACTAATATTATTTGGTCAATTACATGCGGTATAATATTATGTATCATTTGTTATATTGCTGCTTTTTTTGTAATGATAATTGGATTTGGTACAAAATCAACAAGAGCTTATGCTGGAGTCTTTTGTAAATTAGGTAATTATTTATTATGGCCATTTGGTAAAGTTGTTTATTTAAATCCAGATGAACATTATTTACAAGAGGATAAAGATGAAGGAATTAGTGTACAACAATTTTATGGTTGGGTTACATCATATAGTAATAAATTATTTTTTCATAAGAATCAATCTATGGAATCAAATCATTTAAATCCATCTGGTAATAGTATTAGTAATAATAATAATGATCAAAATATTCAACCAGTTAATTCTTTGAGTTATCCTTCGTATGGTTCTATTCAAACATATATTAACAGTCAAAATCAATCTTCAGGTAGAACTGGTAGTAATATGGATCAAAATACAGGCAGTGTACATCATAACCCTTTGGGTCAAGGATCCTTTGCTACAGATAATCAAAATATGGTAGATTCTACTAACTTTTCAAGTAATCCAAACCAAAGAAGATATTTTGGTAGAGGGGAATGGACATTAGGCAGAATCTTGTTCTATGCATTGTTTCATTTGGTATTCGAACCAATTACCCTTATAATTTGTCTGTTTACTTGGTTATTTGTATTTACTATTCCAATGAGTAGTATTTTATGGAATTTATTATATCATTGTAGAAAACATCCATTGGCTTTGGGTTTCAAATATATTAAAACATCCTCAGATCAAACTAGACCGATGATTATGAAGAGTAATAACCATTTACCAACAGTTCGTACTTTACGTAACGAATTAAATAGTCATTTGACTGGAGGAGCATCAGCAACGAGATATTCTTCTCAACAACACCAAGGTAATGAAGACGACTACGATAATAGAAATATTTTATTATGTACCTTCCGTTGTGCAGGTTGGCATTATTACAAATATACAGTTGATGGTACGAATATCATTGTGGTAAATTTGATATCTTTAGTGTTTTTCACCATCTTCGATTTCTACTTTATGAAGGAATCCTGGAATCTCAATTTCTGGTTCACCAATGAATCGTCAATTTTTATTCTTTGTCTTGCATCAATCATACCGTTAGCATTTTATATTGGTCAAGCTGTTGCTTCCATCTCTGCACAGACTTCAATGGGTGTAGGTGCTGTTATTAATGCATTCTTTTCAACAATTGTAGAAATTTTCTTATATTGTGTCGCTTTAAAAGGTCATAAGGGCCAATTGGTTGAAGGTTCTATGATTGGTTCCATCTTGGGTGCTGTACTATTACTACCAGGTTTATCTATGTGTGGGGGTGCTCTTAATAGAAAGACTCAAAGATATAATCCAGCAAGTGCAGGTGTCTCTTCTGCGTTGTTAATATTCTCTATGATCGTTATGTTTGTTCCAACTATGTTATATGAAATATATGGGAGTTATACAGTTATATGCCGCGACAAAAATGGTAATACACTATCTGAGGATTCAATCTCTATGAAAACCATTACGATGGCAGTAACTCTGTCACAATGTTATTTCACTCGCCCACCTTTAAAATACAATAAGATGTTTAGAAACGTAATCCAACCAATGTCTGTTTCATGTGCTATCATTTTATTCCTTGCTTATGCTATTGGATTATGGTTCACATTAAGAACTCATGCGAAAATGATTTGGCAATCACCAATATCTGACCCTCCAAAGGAACAACATTTAGAAGAGACATTACCTTTAACATCCACTCAATCAAATATTAAAAGTAAGTCAGCTATTGATAATAATGAACAAGGTGGTCACGAAGCACCAAATTGGTCAAGATCCAAATCAACATGGATTTTATTGATTGCTACATTGCTATACGCTATTATCGCTGAAATTTTAGTTGCATGTGTTGATGCTGTTCTTAAGGATTTCCCAGGTTTAGACCCAAAATTTCTTGGCCTGACTATTTTTGCTTTAGTTCCAAATACTACAGAATTTTTAAATGCCATCTCATTTGCCATGCATGGTAATGTCGCATTATCCATGGAAATCGGTAGTGCATATGCTTTACAAGTATGTCTTTTGCAAATACCTGCATTAGTTCTGTATTCAATCATGTACACATGGAATATAGATCAAGCTTCAATTAATATTAGAGAACAAATGTTTCCGTTAGTCTTCCCTAAATGGGATTTAATTGGTTCTATGGCAAGTGTCTTCATGTTCACATACTTGTACGCCGAGGGTAAATCTAACTATTTTAAAGGGTCAATGCTAATATTACTCTATGTTATTATTGTTTTTGGCTTTTGGTTTCAGGGCGTTATCGAAGAGTTTAGAACGTATGAATGAATTATCTGACATTTATGAATTGATCTCCTCATTAACGATAAAAGTGTACATTACTCATAACAAAAATAAAATACCACGATCTTATACTTTTATATAATTTGCATGTAAACGTTTACATATATTTAATGAAATAATTTGAATGACTTTACCTTTTTTTAATCGATATATCGGTTCAGCTATGGGTTCTTTAAGGATTACTCGCTTCTCAGTCGATAAAATTATATAAGGAGAAAAATATGTAAATACATAGACAAGACACCCTCTTTAAAGATACAAAAAAAACAGAAACTAGAGACAAAGGTAATTATTAAGTGATTTCAGTGTAATCTTCAGCATATTTATTTATTGTGTAAGGTTCTTTCTGATACCATGTTTGGGAAATTTTCAAGAATATTGTTTGGAGGATTATTTACGATATCGACCCTAGCTGTGGGGTCTCTATACTTATTTCAAAATAAGTTGGTGTATCCATCTTGGGCACAGGGAGCTAGAAATCATGTAGATACTCCAGATATACGGGGACTTCCCTATAAACGTGTTAAACTGACAACTAGGGATGGGTTGAAGCTTGATGCTTTTGATCTTCAAAAGGAAGATTCTACAGCTACTGTTGTAATACTATGCCCTAATGCAGGTAATATTGGTTATTTTATCCCAATTATGGAGATGTTTTATCGTCAGTTTAATATGAGTGTTTTTATTTATTCCTATAGAGGTTATGGTCTCTCTGAAGGGTCTCCTTCAGAAATAGGATTAAAGATGGATGCGGATTGTGCGATGTCATACCTTGCTACTGATGAGTTTCATAAAAAGAGAAAATTAGTATTATATGGGCGTTCAATTGGTGGAGCAAATGTAATATATATTGCGTCGAAATTTGGTAAGTTGATTGATGCGATTATTCTGGAAAATACCTTTTTAAGCATTACAAAAGTTATACCGTATATTTTTCCTTATTTATCAAAATTTGCATTCTTATGTCATGAAGTATGGAATTCTGAGGAAGAAATTCTTAAGGTTCCTCCTGAAATACCGTTTTTGTTTCTAAGAGGTTTAAAAGATGAGATAGTTCCACCTCCTCATATGGCAAAATTGTTTTCTCTATGTCCTAGTAAAGATAAGGAGATGTTTGAATTTCCTTTGGGTCACCACAATGACACAATTTTACAAGATGGGTATTGGAATATAATTAGTGAATTTTTGATCAAACGAAAACTCATTAGCAGCTGAATATGTATATTAAACATATATATATCAATATGAAATATTATTGTAAATAGCATGTGTATATATATGCATGCATGTATTAACATTTACAAAACAAAAAGATGTGAATTAACCATTTACACGAATATGTATATGCGTTGGAATATTGAACTATTCCATGCAGGTTTGGCGAGATACATTAAAATATAGTGAAACCATGACAAGTGTGTCTGTAGGTTCTTAACAATAAAGTAAATAATGGTTTGTCACTGTATTGAATTCTAGAAAAGGGCATAATGATGTGGCCATGCAAATATTCATTACTGTACATTAATTTGGCTAACATGGAAACTCTATCAAAATCACTAACATATGAAGAATATGGAAAATTCAAGATTATTGATTACAAAACATATCTCGTGCTTTTATTGAAAGGTGGAACTTTGACTAAAATTTTCTATTATTTTAATGTGGTATGTGTTGCATTTCAATGAGGAATTCTTATCCTTCTTGTTTCATATATTGAGTGTTCAACTCAACCCCAAAAATGGAAACCCCATAATCTACTATTAAAGTAAGTTTCCCGGTTGTTACTCGGCTTAGTTCTACGTTATCATAGAGTAGATGATATTTACTTGTTAGAAGTAATGCTAGAAAAGTTGAGCACTTTATGTAGAAACAATTGTTATTGTCTATTACTTTTCTGTCGAATTTAATACAGTACTGCATTCAGATCTTATATTTCTTGACCTGAGCTGAGTAAATCTAGATGTTTTGAGGAAGAAATAACATCTGGCTACTAAATCATTAATAATAGATCCGCCGTATGATAATATATTAGGGTATAAGTCTATTTTTACTGAGTTTGATGAATCTAGATTTCTGGTAAGATGGAGGATATAAAAGTGAATCATAAAATATAATTGTTTTAACAAAATCATATCCTGATTTTGAGAAAAAGGACGTTCTTTTGTTGACCTAGAATTACTTGGAAACATATTACATATTTTTGAACCCCATTTTATGCAATGTATCATATTTATATTTATCATTAGTGTTAAAAGCAAATTTTCCATACAAGGATCATCCGTTAAAGATTTTAAAAACAAATGTGAAGTTCTAACCCCGTATGCAAATGTGCAAATAAATTTCCCTACCATGGTATGGATGGGATTATTTGGATTCAGGTGTTGAATAAATAATCCAAGGCTTGAAATTCGTAAAACCCAAATCACTGTTATTAAAGAATCTATATTCTTAATATGACGTATATATCTTCTATATGCACAACCAGATATGATACCTCCAGCGATTGCAGTTACAAAAAGTATACTTACCATAGTTGAGTTCCATAGTTTCTCTGTAGTTTTCTCATCTATAAAAGATGAGTGTGGGGAATTAAACCTATCTGCAACTACAGTAGGGTTGTCTATTTCCAAAGCTATTAGAATACCCATAAATAATAAATTTATTGTTTTTTTTGGTACATTTGTGAATAAATCTATAAATTCAGAAAGATCACCCTTATTTTGTGAAGAATGACGATCCAGATCGTTATCGCCAACAGTATCAGTAAGATGTGAATGGAAGTTAAAAATATCTATAGCAGCTCTTCTATGTTCTGTACTTCCATTATTATCGTTATTATTTCTACCAGTTGCGAAATCTTCTGGAAACTCTAATATTTGAACTAAGGGAGACCTATTTAAAAACTCTAATTCTGGAACTCTCTCCTTGAACTCCAGTTCATGCTTGACATTTGGTGGCATGTTTTTATCTTGATGGCTTTCTATAAACCAATAAAAAATAAAAAGATAGAGAGAGAATAATGCTTCCTGCTACCTATTAAATATCTAACTTTTCTTTCCAACTTTTCTATATAATTGTCTTATAAAGATTAGTCGTTTTAGTGGCTTCAAATCGATGTACATCTCTTTAAGGGCAAAAAAAGAGCACAGCCGCACTAAACAAAAGAAGCTTGTGTGTCATTGAATAAAAACGAATATATATGAACAAAGAGACCAATAAGATGTATTTCTTTAAGCTGCTTCTATTTGAATACTTTTATGTACTGCATATATATCCTTTGTTATATTCCGTATAAAGTTCTTCTCTATATTTACCTAGTAAGAAGCGTACCGTGTAAATCGATAGACTTGATATTCTTCATTGGTAATATTTTTCATTTCTTGGAAATGACCCCCATAGACACCACTTAACACACCTTTCATTAATCTCCTCATAGAATGTCTTCATATTAGTATTTTGAGGATCAGAGTCATATTCTATATAAAAAATATATTGCCATTTTCTATCATTTTGTCCGCTGTTGTACGGTCTTGAGCTAATAGAAGACATATTTAACGAGTATTCTTTAAGAACATTTAAGACATCTACTAAGGAACCAGGATCATCTAGTTCTAATGTAAACATTAATAAGTTCACATGCATTTTACTGACGTTTGGTGGTTGTGGAGGATATTCCTTATCATCTAGTTTCTTTAAAATTAAGAATCTAGTTGTGTTTCCTAATCTATCATTAATAGCATCATCTACAATGTGTGCGTCATATAGATGTGCCGCAGTTTCTCCTGCAATGGCAATATTTAAAATGTCACCCGGTTGTGATGTTTGATCAGTTTTTTGTTTCTCGATAGCCCTTAGAACTGCATCTGATGTGGAACTGGTATCTATAGTCTCAAATTTTGTATTAGGACATTGATTTTTCAATTTACTCATATATTTGGCAACTTGACCCCAAACTTGAGGATGACTGAAGACTCTAACTAATTTGAAATCTTCAATATTTTTAAGTTTGATATCAGCAACAGGAGAAATTAAGCAATGGGTAATTGCAACATATTGTTCTCCAATTACTTCTAATTGAGGAATTATACGATGTCCATCTATAGTGCATGAGTCATCTAACATTCTATCTCTTAAAAGATCATAAGAGAATACAACCTGGCCATTAGTAGAGTTCTCTAACGGAACAGCAGCATATGATACTGATGAGTTAGTTTCTAGTTCACTGAAACATTCTGGTATAGTACTAGTAGGTGAATATATGATTGTATCTAAATGACTAAATTGTTGGATGGCTGCTTGGTGAGAATACGTTCCTTTGGGTCCTAAAAAGACGACAGTCTTCTTTTCTGTAGATGTAGTAGACATTATATTTTAAGTTTACTTGTATAGTCGTGTATATGTGACTATCTTGATTGGGATGAATTTCTCTCTCTTCAGCTACTCCTTCCATCTATTTTATTCTTTTATTGATAAGAGTCATTGAAGAGATGCTCTGAAATTTTCACGCTTTCTTCATTGGTCGTTGTTTGCCTCTAAATAAAATAATTTTTCAATCAAAACCAAAACTGTGCAACAAGAAAACGATCGATTGATAAACATGTTAAATATTACAAATTGTATCCCTAGAAGTATGTATGGAGGGTGGGATTATTTGAATACGTAGATGTTACTAAGATCGCAGGATATATTTATACATATGTGTGTGTATTTACAAAATATGGTAGTTAAGAGGATGCGTTCTCCGGATGTATTGCACACCTCTTATCCACCAAAGTAGAATTAGACGATTTTTCAATTTTCCAAAGATTGAGCTAATTCGATCAGGGAATCAACGCTAAAGTCTACAGAACCTTTAGTAAATCCGTTTAGTAACTTAATTCTTTTCTTTGCGATATCAGTATCTTCTCCGAGAGCCCCATAGAATCTTTGAATATTTAATAATAATAATTGAGCATCATGTGGTTTGATGTTTGAGTTTGGTTCAATCGTACCCTTCATTAAGATGATGCCTTTATCATTTGACAGGTCTGTGAAAAATTCCAATGTTGTATGAGGTCTAGCATATTGATTGTGTAATTTAAACTCTTCTAATGAGGTCAATATACAATGAACAGTAGTAGGTCCTACAAATTGCCATTGGATATAATGAAGTTCCATTCCTTCTTTCTTGGTGTTTGTCGCATCGGTTTCTGAATCAAGCTGTCTGGGTAAAGGTAGCACAAAGATAGGATTGGCCCTAATGTTTTTGTACATTCTGTTATATATTTCTGTGCCAACTACGGCAGACATAACGTTTTCGTTAGACCCCCATTTAGCTCTCCATAAAAACTCAATTTCTTGCTCAGATAAATTTTTAATTTTATCTAAATTTAAATATGAATCTAGTGTCTTGTAAGGTGTTTGTTTCAAACTAGGGTCAATTGCCGGTTGTGGTTTAGTCATGTTTCTAGTATCATTCCCTTGGGATGCCTCATATTCTTCAAGTTCTTTTAAGGGATCAATCTTGTTCAGCTGTTTTTTTTTCTCCTCGATAGTGCCCTTCAAATGATCTTTCAACTCATCTACAGAATTGAAACCGAGTCTCTTTGCATTATTAAGTAATTTATCTTTATATCTTTGCTCAACATCTGAAGAATAGAAACGTAATCCATTGAAACAACGGTTTTTTTGTACCAAAATTCGGAGGGGATTGTATCCCACAAATTCTTTCTTACCAATAAGCCTTACTAATGACATTTTTGAGTCGTTGTAATTCTATGGATTTAACAAATGATAAATCTCAGTTAGCTGGACCACTTATTGTATCTCTAGATTACTCCCTTTATCAATTTATACTTTTTTATATTCTCTGTTCATGTTTCTAGTACGAAATGGGACTTTTATATGCGTTAAGTTTTACTTTCGCTTGGAGAACTCAAAAGCCCTAACTCCTCCAACCATGTGGTTACCGTATTTAACAAGTGAATTTGTAGCGAGCGCCGGAGTTAGGGTTTCCCCATATCGATAAGGAATAGATAGCCCAGATAGTCATCTGACCTTTTGATAGAATTGGAAAGCGATGAGTACGCATTAGGTTATTCTCTATTCGTAAGGCAAGGTGGATCTATTTAATAAACAATTAAGTGGATTATCATATAAACCAATTGAAGGTTTGTAATATTCTTTCTGTGTATGTGTTTCTTTGAAGGAGAGACGTATTTTTACTAAAGACAAGAATTACTTTGAACCCAGAGAGATATGTCATTTAAGAGTTCAAAATCTATAGAATCCATTGATCTGCTTGTAGAACTATTGGAGGTACATAAACCACATTTGAAGCCATATTCAGAAAGGTTGAAGAGTTGGATAGATCTGTTAGAAGAATACAATGACGTAGCTGGTACACATTATAAACAATCTAGAACATTAAAGAAAAGGTTTGAAAGGGTAGTAGACGCGTATCGTGTAGATAAGAGTTTACCTGCTTGCCAAAATACAGATTTATTGTCAAAATTGATTGAAGAGTATAACAAGCCATATAGATTGCTGCAAAAATCAGACTATGGACAGAATAACCTAAGCCGTTCTCGTCTTCCTATACAGGTTGATCCATCTTTATATCAGGTTTCAAATAGTGCGAATAAAAATAAAAATATTGAGTTGCAAGATGATAATAAGAAAGGAGATTCAACCACATTTGATGTGACATCAAATTATGATACTCCACTACAAACTATACGTGAAGAAGAAAATGAACCAATGCATAACACAATTAGAAATCATATAACAAGAAAGAATTTAAAACGAGCTAAAGGGAGAGTTGAAAAGATTTCTGGATCCATACAGGGACAAAAATCTGGTGCAATGAATGATATTAATAGTTTTGATATGGATGATTTATTACGTTCTGAAGAACAAAGTAAAGAATCTTCAACACAACCTCCACCATTAGATACAATCGCGTTAGGGATGCCCCGAGCGTATGAAGATTCCGATGAGAGAGGCTGTTCATCAGATAGTGCAGCAATGCCTTCTGTAGCGGCAGGGCCCACAAGATATTATTCAACTTCTACCAATACAAACAAGACAGGATCAATGTATTATCAGAGCACCAGAACAGATCTACCAAAATCTATTTTCTTCATTGATCAAAATAATAAATTGGTGGAATTAACATCCACTAATGGTTCTAATATGGCTGTTTCCGGTACTGCATTGGATCCAGAACAGCCACATCCAAGAATAATTGATAACAATGTAACTGATAGTTTAATAAGGCACTCTGAGCTATCAATACCCATGTCTCAAAGTGCAAACATTATATTACCTTCGAGAAGGCAAGAAAAGTTACCATCAGGAAAGAGATATGATAAACCTTCGAAACCATTTAAATCGACATCGACATCTTCTTATACCCAAGAATCATCAATTCTAATTGAGTTGAACGAAATCAGAAACGAGCAACAAAACTTCCAGAATACAATTAAAGCAAGGCTAGATGTAATCACAGATTTGTTATTGAAAATAACCCAACAAGCGAAACCAATAGCAACGACTAACAAAGTACCTGCAAAAACCAAAAATATACAACAACCACACAGATGATATATCAAGAATTTGATCTATTGCATCAGTTCATCAAATAGCTATCACAGATATTTATATGGAACTCAAAAACAAGCTCCCATCGACTGTTCTTACTTCTATCATCATCATTATCATCATTATTTCGGATATATGTATTTGGTAATCAGTTTTCCTTTATTGAGAGATCGGCCCGAGTCCTCCGCTTAGCTAAGACGACCCTTTGCGGATGAAGCAAAACAAGGGAAATTTTGAGTTAACGATTTTTCAGGTGAAAGAAATTGGCACTAAGGGAAGGGAATGGTTCATTTGCTATTTAGTTTCAGGTCTAACATTTGTTGGCTGTTTATTTTATGGTGGTTTGGTTTGCAATTTGAAAGGCATTTCTAATATTCTTAGGTCCAGTTATATAAATACCTAATTTGTGATATTTTATTGAAGAGGAAGCACATACATTTTTCACTTCATACAAGCTAAATACACAACGGTTTAGCAATTCGCTTTTTTTAATGTTATAGCTCTGTATTATATAACAGAATCAAGTACTAAAATAATTATCATCTCATTTTATTTGATTTTACCTTCTTTTATTTGTTTATTTTTGACTCCATTACTATGACGATAGAAAACTCTTCTGAGGAGAGGACTACTTCTAAGGCAGACCCCAGTAAATCTAAAGGCAGAACAAAAATCCCAGAAAGCAAAACTAATAGTAGGTATATGCAAGTAGTGACAAGTGCATTTAATGAAGCTATTATTGATTCACCTACTTTTAGAGCTTCGGTCAATTACTATGATACCAAAGTGAATGAACTTCAAGAATGGCTAGGAAGTACCTTAGATTACATCGAGTATAATTACACTAAACCAAAGGCTGATATTCAAAAAGCACAAAATATTCTGGTACAGCGTATTCTACCTAGTCCTACTTTGTTAAGTAATGGTTTGGTATCGAGTCAATCTCAAGCACCCAGTATGGCAGAAGAATTTGGAAAGAACTATTCGGAGTTTATCAGTACTTTGGAAGGCATTTCACTCCTTGAAGAAAAAAGTTATTCCGAGACTTTGCTAGGCTTGCAAGTTGGTGCCATTGAACCGTATCTTGCAAAACGTAGAACTTTTGAAGAATGTCAAGAAAAGTATGATAATATGGTTACTCAAATTCTATCCAAACCTGGGTCAAATTCAAATATTAAGGCATCTTATTTAAAAGATGAAGAAGAAAAACTGTTTGCATTAAAGAAGGAATATGTTGAGGCCTCTTTTACGTTGGTTTGGGCGATTATCACTTTGAGACTGGGAATGGATAAATTTATGGTAGAAATTATGGGACAATTTAATAAAAAAAATGTCTACACTTTCAAAGAAGATGGGAAACAAATAAATTTATCGCCCATTATTAATCAGCGTTTCCATAGTTATTTCAAATGGGTTAAATACTCTATGTCTTCCTTCAAAACCATTCACGAGAATATGTCTAGGGGGAAAGAACGAGTCTACAAGGGATTGTTGAAGGAAATTACACCTTCGACGGACCAAAAGGATTACATCTTATCAAGTTTGGAAGGATTTAGAAATATATCGGCAACTAGTTACATGGATGAACCAGTAATGAAAAATGGTTGGCTCTTAATGAAGACTAGCGTTGGACCCTCTGCTCATACACTTTGGGTGAAAAGGTGGTGTTCTGTAGATGAATTTATGTTTGGAATGTTCTTATTATCAGCAAACAAGGCTTATGTAGAGGAGACAGATAAATTTGGAATTTCATTGATTAATTTGCAATACCCCATCGAATCTAATAGAAGATTTTGTTTCAATTTGGAAATTGCGAGAAGAAATGCTAAAGCAAGCCCAATGGTTATTACATTTCAAGCTAAAAATGTTTCTCAATTGAGAGAATGGATCCTAGCTTTCACTAAGTCAAAATTGAAGTTTGAAGCTTTTATGAAGGATAAATCAAAGAGGGATGAAACAGCATGTGGTCTTAGAAGATACTCTCCAAGGTTTGTAGAATTTGCTTCATCAGCTAACACATATTACGATCAAATTCTTACGACAAAGGATACTGATACGATATCACTAATTGAATCATTAAAGGGGATACTGAAACCTGAACAAATTACAGATACTATCGAACAAAAAACACAAGCACATAAAGCCATTTCTACACCTTCGCAAACACAGCTAACCCCATTGGCACTTCTAGCTGGTCCGTTCAGAGAAAAATCTTACAGAATGTTAGATGCTATCCAAGCAAATATTTGGGGGTTAAATCCTTTGAATCAAAATGGTGCTGTTTCCACTAGAGATAGTGATCCAATCCCTATTCCCGGTCACACAAAGCCAAAGAAACTTGTCTTCCCTAAGAATTATACTGACGAGCTTAAAGTTGACTACCTCCAATTTAAAACACTTTATGAATCCATCAATTATAATTATTCCAAAAAATATTTAAGTAATGTGAACGAATATGTGCTTTTAAAATTTGCAGACTTTTGGTCTCTTGGAGATGGTCAAATTTTTATGGGTATTTGTTATATCACTAAGAAATACATGTATAATTACCTATCTGCAGGTGGTCTATTTCATTTATCAAGACTTCCAATAAATGGGTATGAAGGAGCAGAATTCACTGAGAAGAATAAAAACCTAATATGTGTTCGTCAAAAAGGAGGTGCTAAAATCACCCTTACTGTACCATTTTGTAACTACAGAGCAGTAGCTTCAAAAATTCAATATTTAATTGAATTGAATGAATCAAAAATTGATAAATCTGTTGATGACATATTAGCAAAGTTTAATAATATCGATAGAGTATATGACGAAATAGCTCAGAAAGAAGAACTGATTAATGATTCTGGAACTAATAATTTGATTAAAACTGAATATAACCTAGGTAAAACGTTTTGGAACATGGATCCATCGGAAGAAGAGATTAAGGAGAAAATTTATGGGATTCAAAATAATTTTGGAAAGACTTACGTCAGAAGTTATAATGTCCCCAGTAAAGCTCTACTGCATATAATGTTTGGTGACCACTCGAATGTGTTCCCCAATTCATTATTCTTGGCTGACAAAGAGAGTAATTATAATAAAACAATGTATTGGAAACAAGTTCAAGATTCTAATAATAAAATCGAATTGGAAAGAACTATTCAGTTTAAACAAAATAGAACCAACAACTTTGTTGCTGATAAAGAAAAATTTGTGGCACTAAAACAGCGTATTACGGAAATGGTAGAAAATAGATATTACGAAATTGAGCAAGAGCCAATGATACTGGATATTTCTTTTTGTAGACCTTTAAAATTGACAGTATTGTATAATATCACTGAGTCTCCAGATGCAGAAAATCGTGCTGCCTCAAAACTTCACTTATCGAATAAGGGATGTCGTTTATATGTTCATTATAAACTGGAATTTTTAAAAGCTGGTGATATATGTTTCTTTGAAAGGTACACCCAAAATCTTGTTTTCCAGATAACAGAAATGGAATTCAGCTTTATTAGAAGATCAATACACTATTATTTGGAAAAGATTGGGTCTCATGGACAAGTTACAAAGGCTATCAAGCTTGGTGGTTTACTAGGTGTCTCTATGAACGATAAAATCCGATATGAAAAGAATGAAAGCATACCTAGTACTGATGACTTCCAACTTCCCGGACAATTAAGTGGGGATGAATCAGAATCCACGAAGAATGACAGTGCAGACAATAATCCAAACGGGATGATTGATTTCAAAACTACAGACAATGAAAAGAATGAAGGCACCAGTGTATTGAGTGTGAAGTATGACAGCCTACCAGTAGTAAGATATGATTGGAATTTACTAAGCAAAATATCTTTCACACTAGTAATTTATAGGATAATAAACGTTGTTTTTATTTTTTTGAGGTTCATTTTGCTCGCAATCTCGTTTGGTATAAAATGCATCAAATACATCAATTATGTCTTGTTATGTGGATTGAGTATTTCGATTGTATTGAACGTAATGTTAACTTCAAGATCTACTATTTCATACTGGTCTGTTAGAAAGGCGAACCATATTTTTGAGAATGCTCTAAAGAGTAAAGATAATGTATCCCAGACGAAGAGTATTTCATTAAAAGATTTGGAAATTTTAACTGACTATTTAAGTGGTTCTAATAGTGATATTGTATTTGCAAAATATAAAGAACAGTCTGTGTCGAAGGAGAATAAATACAGAAAGACTAGATCCGAGATTGGTGTAAGGAGAAATGATCTGCTAATCGAACTTCGGATGTTACAAGGAATGGAAAAGGAATTAGTTCAAGGTGATTATAGGTCCTTCTTAATGGAAGAAATTGAAAACTGTAAGAGGGTTACGGTTGAATATCCGTTACTTTGGGAGGATGATGAGCAATTGCAAAACTATTGCAATATATGCTATGAGGAGTACGAAAATTTAAATATTGAAATTCTGTAAATAATAAGATCATGTTCATATTGCAGACAGAGATCTGATGAGGAAATTAGATATCCTGTTGGTTAGATACATAGTTTTATAATTTATGTGTTAAGTAATAGTCTTACATTAAGAAAAATCTAAGCATGAAATATGTATCCAATTCTCTAATTTGTCATCGTCACTTTGGAATTTTACCAAAACTTTCCCTCTGAAATAACTTTTATTCCAGTTATTCATCTCTATTGTCGAATAACTTTCGTGCACCACGTCTAGATTTTTCATCCATTTAAAACACCACAATTTATTTTTTGGGTTATCTGGCTGTACTTCAGAAAGTGATTCTTCCTTTATTAGCCGTGATATATCCTCTCTTGTGCACTGGTATATATTTTTGAAATCTTTTTGTTCCAGAATATCAATTAAGTCGGTGATAAAATTTATCCCATTCGAGATATATTTTTTAGTCATCTCGTCCTTAGTGGTCTTCCTCATCTTATTTAAATCGCCTAATGTAGTTAATACCGTACCTTCTTTTCTAATGAAGTATTTCAGATGAACCAACGCATCTTCAACCATGTAATGCCTACTTCGTTTTCGTAAATCCCTAGTTTGTTTCCTTATGTATGCAAATTGTTTTTCTTTTGATAACTGAGCACTGTTTACGTCTGAAGTATTATCGATCCATTGGTCCTGCTCATTTGAAGAGTCGTTTGAAGAATCATTCTTCCTTATATAATATCCATCTTTATCAAAATTTCCATTTTCAACATCCTCGTCGAGATTGAAAGCTTCGATTTTAATACTATCATCGTTAATGGTTATATTTTCGGTAGGGTTTTGAGAGCTTTTTTCTTGGATACTATTTAGTTCATTAGTTCGATTAAATTTTTCTATATCCAACAATGGAGAATGGGATTGTTGAGTACCATCAATAACAGAATCAACCTGTTCCTTTCTTATTTTATCTCCCTTAAAATCATCATCAGATGCAAACATATCACTATCCTCATCGTTGTCTTGCGCCTGCTCTTGGACTTCATTGTCTTTGCTGGACAACCGATTAGTTGTATTGTTATCACTTGAATATATTCCATCATTCGGATCAGAATCTGAGTCATATGAAGACAGTAGTTTCAAACCGTTCTTAGACTTAACTCTTTTAGTAAATCCAACTTCCTCATTGGTGCTGATATCTTCTGATATTTGCCTTTTTCTCATAATATTATTGGTCATCGAGCATTTATGTTCTGGTTTATAAAATGCTTTTGTTCAGTTGGACATAGACTTTACACTCGGTTGTTATATGTAATTGTCTTTCTCTTCGATCCTGCTTATTTTAAATAATACTTGTTTACTTTAGTTACTTATTGAGCGCCTTCTGTAATCAATGCAAAACTAAACATAAAAACTTAATCCGTGAAATTTTTCTTCTCTCAAGAAATAACAAATCCAATTTTATAAGTTTTATCTCACAATTTGTAATATCAGTGTTTGAATGAATATATAATTTTATAAGTGATAAGTATATGCATTTTATATACGTGATGGTGTTACAATATTAGAGTTATTTTTCTTCTGTCCAACAGTTGACAAACCATACGAGTACAGGATATAGCCGTCTCTTTCCCTCACTTCAATGGGTACCCTGACATTTAATACAGGTTTCAATAATAACTCCCAGTCATATCTCGTTCTTGGAGTGCAGAAAAGCCATTTACGCAGCAATTGTATCTTTACTGACTTAAACTTCGATAATTGTTTTAGAAAACAATATAAGTTTACATTCGGAATGTCCATAAAATTTTGATAGTTCTGAAAATTATCAAAGATGTTGTCAATGTCCAAATTGCTTATAAAGGCTTCAATATCGAGATTCTTATGTTCTGGTTTTTTCTTCAGTTGTACCAGACATTCCTTTAAACAATTTAAGACAGATTCATCCCATTGATAACTTCTACTTGGCGCTGCATCATTATCGGTATTTTGTGACTCATTTTCATGCCCTTCGTTTTGATGATAAGCAATCAATGTTTCTTGATCATTAGAAAGAATTTTGTTTAATATTTTTTCCCAATAACTCAATGGTGATAGAGGGAAAACATTAGTGAAAGGAATATTGATGACATTAATATTTACATTTCGTGAAGGAATTCTTTCAAACAATTTTTTATAATAATGGTAACAATAATGGAAGCTGGGAACTCTTGTCATATGGAAAAAATCACTTTGAGAATGTGTGATCATTGAGGGTTCCTTTGCTGACATCGCTGAACTTTTATCAATAGTTGTCCTTGAAATATAGTTTAGGTTCAATGATAACACTACTGCAGTAGTAGGTGGCGGAACTTGTAAAATATGTTGAACTGGTTTATCTAACAAAGTTTCGGCAACAGAGGCTGTATCGTCCTCATCAAAGGGTTGCTGTTCATTAATTTCTTTGTAGTAATATTCGTCATTTACCAAAGATGTATGTGTGAAAGATCGACTATTACAATCTATTGTTAAATCTTTTAATGCTGGAAAACAATTACAAAGTAAAAGATCAAATTTACTTGTAAGACATAATAAACGCACATTTGTAACCCCTTGGAAGTAACTATGGAACAATCTTAATATACCATTCCCAGGTACTATGTGACATTGTCTTAACGTGAGGGTATTATAAGTAGAATGTAAATCATAAATGTCTTTCTGTGAAGATGATTTTTGTTCTTTTCTAATATATAACGGGAGAAATTCCATGGGGGTATCTAAGGATTCAGTATCAATTATTACATTATCCAATATTAATTCATTAATAATACCAAAACAGCATAGCATATTAAACCTCAATGGGACAATTGGAACACCTTTCTTCGTTGGATCAGATATGGCTTGAATCTCTAAAGTTTTAAATCTTTGCAAAGAATAAAATTTTCTTTCATAATCATTCAAGAAATCAGGAGATACTTGGAAAGATCTTAAATCGTTATTGTTCAAAGACTGTTGCCCTTTAATAATTTTCCTAAAGAAATCTTTTGAACCATCATTAAATGCTGAATACCACAATGGGATTTTGAAATTTGGTTCGACTTTACTTAATATAATATGGGATAAATTTGGTAAATAATCTATTATATCTAACATCAACTCAATATATGTATAATGAGAATATTTGTACTCTAATTTATTCAATGTTTCTAAGAATTCTAAAGTTTTTTTATTTAATTTTGTACAATCATTAGATAAAAATGAGGAGTGATTATTCGATTGCTCATGATTAAATTTTATTGTATCGTTGTTATTTATCAAAGTTTTTTTATTGTCTGTATTTGAAGATCTAACTTTTGGAGATGAAGCAATTGGATTAGCTGTATATGAATATGATCCTCCTATAATTGAATGATCTGCACCATTTTTGTTATGATATTTACTATATTTTAATAGAGAATCCTGGCATTGAGGATTAATAAATTCAATAGTCTGTGTAAGGAATCTTGCATTTTGAGACCCACTTGTAATAGAAGATGTTGTATGAAATTCAGAATGTATTAAAGCGTTAAATTTTAAAAGAGATAATTTAGATTCTAATTTAACCACTTTATAAATGAAATTATCTGTAATAATTTGATAAAGGAATGAATTCACTAAACATAATTTTGTCAGTGTTTCATTATCTAAATCTTCTAAGATCATGAGTAAAATCTTTTTAGGCAAATTCAAAAGACCAGATCCATAAATTGATTTTAAATCTGAATTATTATTATTAGTTGTAACATTACTGTTGTTACATGGTTTCTCTCTCTCTAAGACTTCTGTTTGACTTAAATCTTTATATTTGTTTGAACTCTTTAGGAAATTCTTTGATTTCCCTAACAATTGCAGTCGCCTCATCTAATATAGTGGTATTAATATGTATAATATATTCCAAAAACGGGAGGGGAAGTATCGGCTATAAATCGAGGTGATAACCTTAGTATTAAGCTTCTTTTCAAATATTAGTAACTAATATTCTATTTTTTTATGCCAGCACAAATGTGCTTTTTCTTAAAAAAGATCTAGTTATTTTAAATAGCTAAAAACACACAAACTTTACTGATATCTAGAGAGTGATAACATACATCTATATATATATCGAACCATCTGTTAAATGTGTGTTTTGCATTATAAATTTAAAGAAAAAACCTGACTGCCTCAATTCGACTCTCTTCTGACTTTTTCTCTTCGATGGTCACCGGAAAACACTCCATCTAAAAGTCACGTGCAATTTGAAATCCATCCTTCTCTATATACTCATTGCGACCACAATTCATTGTCTGTTAGTCACTCCGTTTTGCAATAACTGTAACTGCCATCATGTTGTTTCCTTTTCTATACATCTATCTATATACATGTCTATAACTATCCTTCCACCTGCCATTCTGTTTTTTTACTTAGTGTTATCATTAGATGACGATTCGGAAGATGGAGGAGGTAAATGATTTATTTTTGTATTATCCAATTTTTTTTGTTTTAAGTCATTTGGTGCATCCTTAGCATAATGTCCAATCAAGTTTTTTAATGAGTCTGGAATATCATCAAATATAAGATCATCAGTAGATTGAGATACAGTTTCGCCTTTTGCTTTCATAATATCTTCTATTGTAATATGATTATCATTAAAAATTTTTAAATGATCTGCAATTAAATGTCTATTATTACATTTAGGACATTTTACCATTACTGTACCATGATGATATGCTTGTTTTGAGATTGTATGCGATGATCTATGATTACATTTTTTACATGTAAACGCAAGCATATATTGAGGTTTCTCAACTTTAAAACTTCCAATATGGTGTGTATCATCGTTGTTACTACCATGATTATCTGATTGTCTTGAATATAGAGAACTATGAAATCCTCTCGTTCTTAAGTCTATAAATGGTAATAATCTATTGATTAAGGGAACCATCATACGATATTTGTCCACTAACATCGATCTCAGTTGATATTGGCGAGCCACTGAACGCACAATTCCATTACGACCTAGCCTATACATAATTTTCTTTTCTTTTTTTTGGTATCTCTCCCTCTCCTCCTTGACAAATCAAACAGATGCCTTACCTGTCTATAGGCTATCGGTTATATACTGCCCAAACAAGATTCAAAGATATTTATCTTTATATATCAAATTTACCAACTTTTTTTTCTTCTTCTCTGTGATGACAGAGAAGAAACTGACAAAATGGCAAAAAAGAAGTGCGGCGCGTGAGAGTTGAACGGCGGCCATTTTTCTTTGTTTCCGTACACTAAAAAGATGAAACCCTAACTGCGGTTTGTATGGGGCCGAAGACATTTAGCGCCGCGCAGGGAGTTAGGGCACGCCGTGTTTTATGACAACACGTGACTATTTTCCTATTTGGGACACCCCATTTGGAATATATTTTCCTGATTAGGAAATATAATTATTTTAAATACCAAAAAAATTAAAAAAAAATAATAATGAATTGAAAATTAAAAATGATCCATTTTGGCGAATTTACCTTTACACGTTTTAAGTTCAAATCAACGTAGTATATAACAATAACAATAGTTAAATAATTAGATAATATTCTAGTTTTTATGTTCATTAATAATCAGAAGTATACATAGATATAAACTGGGTGCTATTGGATCACTTGTAGTAAACTGGAAAAGCAAAACATTTCTTTATTTATTTATTTTTTAATTAGCTATTTTACACATGACAGAAGAGAATAGCAACGACCTAGCCTCTAGAATTCTAGAGAGAGCTCAAATGGCTCAAATGACGCGTCAATTGAAATTAGGTTTAAGCCAAATTCCAAAGAATCAAAATAATAATGATGATAAACTTAATACTCTTAGTACCACAACAATTTTGAAAAATAACAATAGCAATAATAATAATAACAGTAATAAACGTGCTGGTGATAATAATTTATTAAAGAAAGAAACTTCACCATTAAAGAAACAAACAACAAATATAACGAATAAAACTATTATTAATAATAATAACAATAATAATAAGGAAAAATTTCATAAAAATGAAAATAAAATTATTGAACCTTCTTCACCAAATACGTCTTCAACAAATTCTCCAATGAAAACCATGCCTTCAACACCTGGTAGATCAACAAATTCAAATAATCATAGATTCCTTACAACTCCAAATCAAAAAACTTCAAAGAGAAATAATAACAATTCAACAAGTGACGATACAGGTGCTGATCTTTTAATGTATTTAGCTACAAGTCCATATACAAAACCATCAACATCGTCATCAATAAATCAACAAAAATTAAATAATTTGATGAAAATTCCAACAACTCCGTCATCTTCATCGTACCTTCACCATAATAATGGTAACGATGAAGCCATACGATTATCAAATATGAAACCATCACTTTCGTCACCTCAATCAACTTTTAAAGTTCCTCATTTAGTGGCTCATAATGGAACATCATCATTAGCATATCAGGATGTCCTAATGGAATCACCTTCACTTTATATGAATTCTATGCATACATCAAATAATGGAACAAGTCCACAAAAGAAAAAGGCAAATTCTCAACAATCACAATCACATGTACCAACAGTAGTACCGACAACACCATCTCGTGAATCAGCTACTACAAATGGTTCAAATAATAACAGTAACGGATCAAATATAAATCAAAGAGATCAATTAGGTCTACCTTCAACAAATAATTCACAATCTACCAATAATAACAACTCGACTACCTTCAATAACTTGAATTTGTTAAAGACGCCTAATTTTAATATGGGAGACTATATTCACAATTTATTTAGTCCCTCTCCAAATGTATCCACTAGTCAGGCAAGCCAATTTAATAACGTATCCGTAAGCTTAAATAAAACGGGAATGGTAAGTGAATCAGCAAGCGACGCATTCAATGGTTTGCTGGCAGCATCTTCAAACAAACAACAACAATCAATTGCGGCAACAACATCCGCTTCAGCATTATTAGATAAAACTAATCGCGATCTATAAATAATAAGACATTTAAAATCTGTTTTGGTTTATTTTTATTTTAACCTTCTCTTTGGTTATTTTCCAATATATCATTCTAAATAAAACAACAAACAAACTTTAACATAATAGACTCCTCTTTGGTGATCATAATTGTAAAAAAAAATTTACATATATATATATGGTACAAGGATGATTTGGTGTTTGTTTTATGTAAGTACATATGTAATTTTTTGTCTGTATTCTTAATATCTAATAGCCATATCGGATTACAAATACTGTAAATGAAATATTTCAAAAATGAAACACGACCTAAACCGCTATGAACAACAACTATGTCCCCAAATCATATCTAGATCTTATGATAGAAATAGATAAGCCTATCTATTTCTTATGACTTTTATGTTTTTTGTCCTTCCTATGACGGGAATGACGATCATCGTGTGATCTTTTCTTACCATGCTTTTGTTTATCTGTATGTACTGGAATATCTTCGTTAGGTTCTCCATCTTCTCTTAATTGTATACCGGCTTCATTGTTGAATACCTTCTTTCTCCAGTCTCTCAATCTCTTAGACTTAGTGACTTTTCTTTTATCCTTGGCTATTAATTCTTTAGCTCTGTATGGTGCAAATTTCTTTAAACTGATAAAGTCATTTAGATCAGCATCATCTGCAGCAAAAATTTCTCTGTGAGTTAAACCAAAACTTTCTGGTGATACTTCACGGTAACGGAATTTTACATCATCTTCAACATTTTTAGATCTACCTCTTTGTTCTTGTTCCTTTTCGACCTCTTCGACAATAGCCAACTTATTTTGCTCAAGAGCTTTTTCAACCATATCATCTAACTTCTTCTTTTCACTCTTTTCCTTTTGTTTTATCTCTTTTTTACTCTTCTTGGTCTTTTTTGGTGTGTCTACCTCTTCGTTTTCCTCTTCAACAGTATCTTGGTCAACAGCATCTCCTTCTTCGTCATTCTCACCTTCGTCATAAACATCCTCGTGCATTAGATCGTCGTCCCATTCAGGTTTCTCTTTGTCATTGTAGAATTCTTCATTAAATAATTCTGTAACGACATTATCCCAATCGTTCTCAGAATAATCACTGGTTAAGAGAGTTTTACTGATCTTCTTGACAAGTTTTTCATCTATTTCAGCACCGAATTCTTTCTTCAATTGATTTAATACATCTGTTAATTTATTTGCCTTCTTTGTTTTCTTCTTTTGAACAGCAATATCTTTCTCATTTTTCTCATTTTCTTTCTCTTGTCTTTCATCTTCTCTCTTTCTTCTACGAGAATTGGTAGCAGATCTTCTTAGAGTAGCTTGATTACGAGCATATGATACAATTTCAGCAGAGTTTGGATCTTCATAACGGAAGTTATACGCATTTTCGAAGGTTTCTGCTGCTTTATCAAACTCATCATCATCTTCATTATTAAAATCAACGTCAATGACTTTGTCACCTTTTCTTGGTAACCATGCTTGGTTACCCATAAATTCGTTTAAGAATTCATCTTCATTAGCTGGATCTGGTAGTGCAATATTAACGTCTTCATCGTCTTCTGTAGCAGTTTTATTTTCTTTCTTCTTCAAGAAACCATCATCACCATCGTCATCTTCATCATCGTTATCACTCTCCTCTGCTTTAGTTGTTCCAAACGCATCATTAATTTCAGTTAATAATTGATTTCTTTCATCTCTTTGCATAGCAACAAATGATGGTTTACCATCGATTGTCTTTAAGTCCTTACCTTCACCATTTGCTGTTTCATCATCTTCTTCGTCATCGTCGCTTCCAACATGACCTGACAATAAGTTCATTCTGTGATAATCCTTCAAATAAATTGGTTTATCAGTCTTTTTTGAAGTGATGTTTTTGGCTGCATCTTCTGGGTTGCCAAAAAATTTAACCTCAGGGTTTAATAACTTGTCGGTATCATTATTTCTAATTGCATTTAAGACTTCGTTAATCCCTTGTTCAACATCATCTGTCACTAGATCACCTAATTCATCTTCATCTTCAGAAGAAGAAGAAGAAGACCCATCTGATTCGTCATCTAAATCTACTTCAGGTAATGGTTTGGATTTAGGTTTCAATGAATTTTCAGAGGATACCTTCTTTTTAATATCTTGAATTGATTTATCTTGTTCCGGAACCTTATTATGTTGGCGAGCAGCCTCTCTAGCTTTCTTAGTAGCGGACTTCTTTCTTGCCATATTTATTTAGAATATTGGAGATGTAGGTATGATTCTACTTTTTGGTTAAGTTATTTATATTACAGTAAACCACAATTTATAACTATGTTTATCTTTCAAAAGGTTTCTTCCCAATCACTTACCTTATAGCTCATCTCATCTCATCTCATTTTGAGATTCAATTTGAAAAATTTTGAAAGACCCGAAAAGTCACGTGGAATATCACGTCTCACGGAGTGCTTCCCATGGATTTTCTCTCTCCGAGGGAACAAAATACATCAATTTTAATTAATTATTGATTGATACGTTAAAAAGGGAAGTTAAAGTCCCTTATTAAAGAGAAGAATAGACGGAAGGAGGAGTAATTAAATCTAGAGACCGTTCAGAGATCTTTTAAAGAGTACGATAAGCGGAAGTTATTATATGAGTGATTTGTAAATAGGATTTACAAGTCGTTGTTATTATTTCATAATTCGTAACAAAGACAAATGCTTCGTTTCAATATTTTAAGAAGTATCTCACGGAGATGTGAATCTACGATATCATTTGGTAAAAAAGATGCAACTGGTGCTATTTTAAGTAATGTGATTAAGCCTAGTATCTTAGGAAATAAGAATCCAGATAAGAAATCCAATGAAAAGAATGAAATAGTGAAGAAATATGTATTGCATTGTAATTTTACCAAAAATAATACACATTTCACATATTGCGCAGTGATGGAAGATTTAAATTTCCTTCAAAACAATGCACAACTATCATACAATGATAAATTGTTATATTATATGAAATTACCATCAAAAGTAAGATTGAAGTTATCAACAGGTTGTTTAGGTTTCAGAAAAGCTGCCAGAGGTGAATACGAAGCAGGATTTCAAACGACAAACAAGATCTTTCAAATGATTCAAGAAAAAAATATGCTAAATAAAGATATTGAGATCGTAATGAAGGATTTTGGTAAAGGTAGAGCTGCATTTATTGCAGCATTAAATGGTAAAGAAGGTACAGCTATTAGAAAATATGTCAAGAGTGTTAGTGATTCTACACCATTGAAATTCGGTGGTGTAAGGTCTCCAAGAATCAGAAGACTATGATATATTTCTCAAACAAGATTCAGGGTGCATTCAAAATACATATATAAAACATGTACCCATCCAATTCCCCCATACTACATTTACCTTTCTGTCTATATCTATATTTATATAAATATTCTCTATACATATACTTGTAAAAAGTCATTCCCCAATAATTAATTGTTTATGAAATCTGGTTACAGGTTTGCTGATATTTATTATCTTTGATTAGCGATGTGACTGCTTCAAAGTGTTGTTTAAGCGGCGGTGTAGTGATGCTTCATTACAACATGTGGTGTTTGGGTTACCTGGGTCTAAATTTTAAAAATATTAGAAATATGAAAAAAAAACTTTTTTTTCCCAAAAAAATGAAAATTCAGAAAAAACCGAAAAAAAATTAAAAATTTTGGAAATTCTCATTTTTTGCATGGTGAAACTGGCCTCATCGATAATCCAAAGCTCGGAAATCTTTTTTTCCACTATACTGAGAGAGATGTGATAGAGTTGTAATAATACACTAAATAGAATTAAATAGATATACATATTAAGAGGCTTTAATAAGTAGAAGTCATATTTAATCTTCAATATTTTATTTAATTCAACATTAGATCATAAAATCGAATAACTATAAGACAAAATGGCTCCATCTAGTATGTACTAACTATGAAATAAATCTAGCAGTTTGAAGAAAGCAGGAAACAACAGAAAATAAGATAATGAAGATAATGATAAATTTAATTGACAGTGGTATTTACTATCGATATAACTTAACTACACCTGTGGAATAAGGCATCTTACTGATAATATGAATAGATAAAACTCTTTTTCTATTCGGTTATCAGTAAAATAAAAATGAATGAATATAAAGACTTCCAGATTCGGAAAATAAGTGATATTTTTTTATAATGACATTATCAATCTCACATGGGTTGTTGTTACCTTTAACTGATTGTTACAAACTAGCTCAATAAAATTTCCGAAAGCATTCTCATTTTACTAACAATTTAAATTTTTGCTCTTTTATTATCTTCTAAATTTTGTTATACTTGTTGTTAATTTGTATCGTTTTCAGATATTTATATGAGGTTATGTGTTTGCACTGATAATAAATATTTAAAATGATCAATGAAAATAATAAGAATAAGAAAACAAATAAGAAAATTTTCATAATGGAACAAATTTCAAATATTTTTTGTACAGCTAAAGCTACTGCTGCTAAGAAGGCTGTTGTTAAAGGTACCAACGGTAAGAAGTCCCTAAAGGTTAGAACCTCTTCTACCTTCAGACTACCAAAGACCCTAAAGCTTGCTAGATCTCCAAAGTACGCTTCCAAGAGTGTTCCACATTACAACAGACTAGACTCTTACAAGATCATTGAACAACCAATCACCTCTGAAACCGCCATGAAGAAGGTTGAAGATGGTAACATTTTGGTCTTCCAAGTCTCTCTAAAGTCCAACAAGCACCAAATTAAGCAAGCTGTTAAGGAACTATACGACGTCGACGTTATGTCCGTTAACACTTTGGTTAGACCAAACGGTACTAAGAAGGCTTTCATCAGATTGACTGCTGAGTACGATGCTTTGGACATTGCTAACAGAATCGGTTACATCTAATCTATTTCGTCATATTACTTTTAGAATCATAAATTTTTTTCAACAAAGGAAATAAGGAATTTTTAAAATCAAATCGATCTTTTAAACAATGAAAGAGACCCTAATATATATATATAGACATATTCATATATATTATTTGTTATATATTAGAAAATTTTAAAACCATAAAGATTTAATATTAAAAACTATATCAACATTGTTTTATTTGTTTGTTTAGTCATTAATTTAAGATGATGATTATAAATATATATTTATTATATGTATACCTTATTTAACTATCATCACTACTATTGTTTAATATTCTCAAAATAGATAAGAATAAATTAATAATATCCAAATATAACATCATAGCACATTTAATCTCTTCATCTGGATAAACTTTCCTAAAGATTAATTGAGTATCAATGAACAAATATACAGTGAACACAATAGCTCCTAACCAACCATAAAATAAGTTCATCTTACTACCTAAGCCAAAGAACATGGAAGAGATACCAATACCAATAAGTAATAATAAAGCCCAATTGAGCCAATAGTAGATAGAAGTAGCAGAATTCAAGACATTTGAGAATCTTGGAGATAATGCCATAAGCGATACACCAATAACAATCACAGCTGTGATCAATAAAGCACGTAAAACAATATCTGGGTCATATACTAATGTAACAACTGATAAAGTATAAGCTTCACAAAGTGTAAAAATAGATAATAATGCCAGTTTCCCAGAACGACCTAGAACGTACCAAGGTAAAGCTTGTGGATCCTCGTTATCATTACCAGTATCCAATAAAGAGGCACTGTATTCGACTTCTTCTGGACGTGGTGCCAAGGATAGCCAGATACATGACACTACAGATGCAATCATGGCAATCCACCATAACGCCATATGATTAAACATAAATGTCTGTAAGCCACCATTACGTGCCACTGCATAGGAAAATGCAAATGTAAACAATAATTGCGACGAAAGTAAAGAGTATACTTTCATCATGAAATTCTGTCTAATTTGAGGTTCACATGACCCTACCTTTGTAGAATACATGAAGTCATCTGGGATATATGGCCCGTCACGATTTTGTTGTTCCAAATCTGCCATTTTAGATATATGTTATAGTTCAAGTATGTATTGATAGTTTGTTTTTTTATTCTTATTGTAGTTTCTTTATTGCGTTTCTTCAAGTCATCTGATAGGTGTTAATATATATGCCTATTCTTATCCATCCCTGAAACTTCTTGCAAGTTCCTCAGGAACGCCTTCCAAAAGGTGAATGGCGCCGCGATGTCCCAAATATTAATAAAAATGAGTAATTGAGTGTGACACATACTTCGAAACATAGCATATATGTTTCTTGGATGTGAAAACAATTACTTTATCTGGATCTTTTGAATTGACCCAAAATAAATGTGTATGTGGGACTACAGTAGAGTTACTTTTAAATACTTATAAGGATAAGCCATTGAGCTTCATAACGCTTTCACATCTTTGAATAGAGACACTGAGGGAATTCAATCATGGCATCGGTGGGAAGAAGGAAAACTTGTACAATAAAGATTTAATTCATATTGAGAATGCTATGAGTATATAAATGAAGAGTAGGAACAAAGCTTCGGTTATTTGTTGTTTTTTATTTGGGCATTATATGAGTTTTGTAAAGCAAAAAAGAGCAGAAGAATATGTCTATATGTAACCAAATATAGAGAGAGGGGGCATAGTATTGATACAGCAACAAATAGATTTGTGGATGGGTATCAACTAAAATAGAGTAAAAAGAGAGAGAAGAAATGTAGAGATGTTGGCGGTATGTACTTATTAGGGACTCGTTAAAATATACCTAATTAAGGTCAATGTCCAGAGGACTACCTGAATCAATAACAAAGAACCAATAAACCCCATACAAATCATCGAACTAACTGAGTAACATAGCATAAAGAAAAAAGTGCCCTTGACAAAAGTAATAATTGAATTGGCTAGATATTTTTCATCTTCAGCTGGACCCATGGCGGAGAATTTATCATAGTCAACGATTTTAAACTCAATTAGGGATTGTTTGACAAATTTTAACAGTTCTAATAGTTTGTTTTTATTTATAACTTTAATGGTGTCTTCTTGAGCCTGTAAAGCGAATAACGTTTTATTTAATCCTTCGTTAATATTGATATCGTTGTTTAGGTGATGTTTTATGTAAGTCTCGACAAACTTCCCCAATAGGATGGATCTTAATTTATGAGTACTTCCTTGTTTGGAAACAAGCTCAGAGATACGTCCTTTAGTTAAAACAATATTTTCAATATTTTCTTTACATAATGTGTCACATTGCTGGGTATTATTCAAAGTTTGTAGATGATCCATAAATTGATAATGGTCAATTTTAGCTGCATTACGGAATACCTCGATAGTCTCATAAAAAATATCCTTTGGAGTTTCGGTAGCGATAATACAATCAGTAAGCACGAAAGATAGTATGATTGTTGTAAATAATTTCATAGTCTATATTTCTGGATGTGGCAATGTATTGGTTTTATTATTATTTCTAAATTATTTTGTAAGTTGTTAGAAATGAATGGAATGGATACTCATTTGAAATAAAAAAAAAGGAGTTTAAAATATCTTTCCAATAGATATATATATATATATATATATATATATTCATTATACTATGTTATCAGTTACAAACAAAAAAGATATATGTATTAGTTGGATATTTTTACCTACTTCATAATTCAGAAAGAAAATTTACTACCCAGAATGACTCTAAAACACCTACGGCTTTACCCATCTTGTCATACTATATAGTTTCGATTACCTTTTCTCTATGTACTTTTACCCTTTTTATCCAAATAAAAAGGTAGGTGAGTGTTTACTGAATTTTTGGCATTTCCCTTTTCAGTGAAAGGTAAGACTAGGGTGTCATGATATTGTGCTGTCGAGTCAATACAAGAAGGAAGTATCCATACAACACAATCCCCTCACACGTATGGGTCACTGCTCAAATGCACTACATCTCCAAGTATGACTAAACAAACAAAGTACCATCTTCACCTTCAAACTCTTCCAAGACCCTTAAATATCCTGTTAGATTCGATATATTCGTTATGTGCGAGAAAGAGAAGGCCTAAACGCGAAGAAATTGCTGGACGGCGACGCGTTTCTTTCAATGCGAGGAAGAAATCTGACACTTAATAGAATGACAGCTATACAATAAATCGTGGTTCAGTAGCGATGGATCTGGAAAGAACAAAAGGAACAAGTTAAAGAGTGGCTATCCTTATCCATAGTTGGTTAATTAGCACTTTAGGAAGCAGTGATCTTGTCTTTTGCACCAAAGAATGTCGAATGCACGCAAGCGGTACTCGATGAACTTTCCGCCGTTAATGACGCCGCAAACTAGATCTGCTGGATCTCCAACACTAGTGAGAAGAAGTCTCAGTGGAAATATTAGAGACACTACATCATCATTCCAGAAATGGAGGGATCGTTCTTTTGCCACTATGGGAGTAAATTCAGTGGTTGGTTCGACGATTCCATCAGATATAGACCCTTCATCAATATCGAATTGTAAGATACTTCTGATAGGTGATTCTAATGTAGGGAAAACTGCAGCAATTTTAGGTTATTGTGATGAATTAATGACTAGATCTCAATGGCAACGGCAACGACAGAGACAAACCTTGATGAAACATTCCAATTATAGTCAACCAAATATTGGTACCAATCAAATTAATTCCATACCAACAACTAGTCATTCACCAATCAATAATACAAGTAGTAACAATTCATTAGGATTAATACAAAGAAAGCAAAAATTACTATCTAGGGATAAAGCTACATCTAATAAGAAACGGTACAGTTTGAATGATTTTGAAGAATTGGCAAAGAGACGATCAATTCTGTTTCAAAGGGATGGATCTTTACTTTCACCTAAACAACATTCTACAGAAACTTTCTTACCCACAGAAGATCCGCTTATTGTAGATGACCTGGCAGATGACTTGACAGATGATAATGAATTAATCATTGATACACGAGCTACTATTGGTGTTGATATCAAAACGAGACTTCTGAATATTGATAATCGTTATTTCAATTGTATCATGTGGGATACCGCCGGTCAAGAAAGATTCCAAAATGCAATTATCCCATCATTATACAAGAATTGTAACGGTATACTACTTACATATGATATATGTGATTTTGTATCATTCCAGCATTGTTTTACTAGATGGCTTCCACAGGCCCTACAGAATATGAACTCGAGGGATCTTGTTGGGGCTCGTTTCTATTTATTAGGTAATAAGATTGATCTCTATAAGGATCGAAAAGTAGAACATGAAGATGTACTTCGATATATTGCCCATGCAGAATCGCAACATGGAATTACCATATTTGGGAATTTCGAAATTAGTTGTAAATGGCCTCAATCCATTGACTCGACATTCAATAATATTATACTGGACTTGATAGAAAACAGTTGTTATGAGGATAATCGGTCATCACACTCCCCACCACCATCACCGCCACCATCTCATTCCCTTTCACATTCGCCTAGACAATTAAAACAATCCCAAGGAGAGTTAGAAACGTTAATGACAAATGTTCAAGAGGAAGTGTCATCGTCAGATGATGATGCCTCCGTTTACTCAGCTAGTAGTCATCGTAGTAATGACAGTAATAGAACTTTGCGACAACGTAACCCCAAACAGACAATAGATTTAACAAACCCATTACCAGCACAGTTGCCGGATATTCCCGCATCCAGTTGCTGTACATAGCATTCATACCACGTATATAAATATAAACAGTATATGTACATATCACATTCATTAATTTCAAGAACATTATTTTATTTCCACAGTCATAAGGTTAGTAGTTAGATTAGACCCTTCTAGTTGGTGTTACCCAGCTTGTCATGTTACACGAGCCTCACCACTTTGATCGAAAAGAAAAGAAAAAAATTCAAAACAGACAAATAAAAAATAGACAGAATCCACAGTTAAAAGAGATATCGTTGTAAAGACCAATAAGACAAACGAGCTAGAAGCCATAGATCATATATTTGTATACGTATATTCAGTAGTCTGAGAATTAGTTTTATTTTTATAGCGACTGCAGTGTAACACGATATATATACAGACAGATAGATATAGATATATAATCCAGAAAGGACGTTTTATAACCACCCGCCCCTTCACCACATAAAGAAAACATAGATATATACTTATATCCAGAATGAGTTCAGACGAAGAAGATTTCAACGATATTTACGGTGACGAACCAGAGACTAAGCAAGAACAAAGTACTGCTGTCTCTGAGAAGAAAGAGGAGCATGTAGAAAAGAAGCCAGAGGTAAAGGAAGAAGCTACTGAGTTGAAGAAGGATGAGATCAAACCATCTGCTACAAAGATTGACTCTTCTGCAAACGAGCAATTGGCTGCTTTACAAGCACTAACTTCTTCTATAAATCAAGCTCAAACTAGTTCATCCCAAGGTATAACACCAGTTGTAAATGAACCTATTGATAACTCTAGAGAGTCTTCTACTCAAGCTAACGCCAATTATAATGCTACATCAACTAGTAGTTTACCTTCTCAAGCTAGAGGGATGAAGGCAGATTTATCTAAAGAAAGTTCAAAGTTATTCATCGGTGGGTTAAACTGGGAAACTGACGAAGAAAAATTAAAGAAATATTTCTCAAAGTATGGTAATGTTGTCGATTTAAAGATTATGAGAGATAACACTACTGGTAGATCTAGAGGTTTTGGTTTCTTGACATTTGCCGAACCACATAGTGTTGATGAAGTAGTTAAGACACAACACATTCTTGATGGTAAAGTTATTGATCCAAAGAGAGCCATTCCAAAGGATGAACAAGATAAAACTGGTAAGATTTTTGTCGGTGGTATTGGTGCCGATGTTAGACCCAAAGAATTCGAGCAGTTCTTTTCTCAATGGGGTAATATCATTGATGCTCAATTGATGTTGGATAAAGATACCGGTAGATCTAGAGGTTATGGTTTCATTACGTATGATACACCAGAAGCTGTGGACAGAGTATGTCAAAATAAATATATTGACTTTAAAGGTAAGAGGATAGAAATCAAAAGAGCCGCTCCAAGACATTTACAAAAGGGTGGATCGAATCCAAGAAATAATAGTTCATCATATGGTGGACATAATGATTCGGGTAATAACTGGAGTGGTCACGCAGGTACAGGTGCCAATGCTACCCCAACAGGTTCTGGTCCAAGTGCCAGTAATAATAATATGTATGGAAATTCAAACATGATGAACATGAACCCAATGTTCAATCCACAAATGATGCAAGAATACTATCAAAAGATGCAAGAATATTATACACAATTCCAAAATGGTATGTACCAACAACCAGGTGGCGCTGCTGGGCAACAACCACAAATGCCAGGTATGCCAATGATGATGCCAGGTATGCCAAACGCTCCAAATATGCCAAATGCCCCAAATATGCCAACTCAACCATCACAATCATCATCTCACGAATCTAGCGCGGATAACGCTGTTGCAAGAAACAGAGACAGCTCTTCTTCTCGCCAAGGTCATAGGACGCATCCAAGAAGACAACAAGATAACCATGGTTATCATCCATACAATAAATGATTTGATAGTTGGTTTACTATTATTTTCAAACATTAACCTAACGTCTATACTATTCAATAAGTGTTTCTTCTTTGTTTTTTTCTAAATTCATGATAGATAGGATTTGTGAATTTAATAATTCATTCATTTGTATAAATAAATTACATATATTGTGCAACAATTATTCAAAAAGAGAGAAAGCAGTTGTAAGTTTATCTAAATAAAATCACCTTCCAAGGTATTTGAATGATAGAACAAATATTCATAAATGTCTTTATAATCGGGGCATTTGAACGTCACGTTAGTTAATTTTTGTAGTTTATACATATATATATTAGATTGTAGTTTAAAATACTTCAGATTTATTTATTATATTTTTTTTAAATAACTAATAAATGAGTTATATATGGTTATGAATAGTTTAACTTAAGAGGGAAAATAAAGGGTAAATGTGTGGGCAATATAGAAATATATGTATAATAATTGTCTGTATGTTTTATTACATTTATTCTTCGTCTTCTTCCAAAGTTTGAGCAGCAATACGATCCAAATCTCTTTGACCATTTTCAGAGATTCTTCTACCACCCTTTGGAGAGATTTCTAGAACACCAATCTTTTCTAGAGCTTGTAGAACTCTTCTGTTGACAGAACCGGAAGCATCGACGTGCTTGGATGGTCTAGTACCTCTGGACTTAGCGTTACCGTATAGCTTGTTTAGAGCACCAACACCAACTTGCTTTCTTAGGTAGATGTGTCTAGCGACGGAAGCGGCACGCTTGTAGAACCAACCTTCAGCGTCTTGTGGTGGCATTTCGTTACCAGCAGAGGTCTTGACAATGTCAACATAACCTGGAACTTCTAGCTTACCTTGTCTTTGCAAGAAAGAAGCATAAGCGTTAATGAAATCTTGAGCAGCAACGTCTCTGTATCAATAAACATGTATTAATCTATATTTCTTGCTAAGATGAGCATAGAAGCTAGTCTCATTTCAGAAAAATCATAAAATAATGTATCATTTTGTTAGTAAATTATTGTTATTATAATTGTGTGAGGTCTATCATATTAGAGTAACTGTCTCTGGTTCAATAAATTCATTCTTATTAAGCATGTGTGCATAATACTATTTTTCAACCGTAATTATTTACCACTTAACATAATGATATATCTTTTGAATGAATTATTAGCTATAGAAAGTATAGCTCACAGCAATAAATTATCAATTATAGTATCACTTCATTGCAATCGGTGTCATATAAAATACATTAATTCATCACATTTTCATTCTTTCTCTCTCTATATCTTCAACTATGAGGCCCTGTTGGTAAGAATCATTTATTGGTTATTGTACCAATTACTACATAATGCATCTTCTCGATGTTTAAAATAAATTATCATCATTTGTTGTTATTTTTTATCTAGATTCTCCCATTTAGAGCTTGTAACATATCCACTAATATCCTTTCCATAATTCATTTATACACATGTACTTGAACCTATTAATTACTTTATTTGGGCACTCTTTTATCAAATTTACCAATCAGATCCAATATATTCTTCTATTTCAACCATTTCAACTGGTAACATACCTAACGGAAACACCTGGCATTTTTTAATTAATTCTTTACTGTAGTCGTTTTACTTCAAAGAATATTAAAAGAAAATATACTACAGTTAAAAGACGTTATCTTTTAAACTAACTACTCTTCAAGATTTGTAATCTTTCAACTACTTACCTTGCGATTTAGTCAGAAAGTTTCGTGCAGTAAGGCCTCTGGTAGACAGTATTTACTCAAAGTAGTGAAGTTTCACCAATGAGGTTCCCTCTCTCTCCCTCTCTATCTGTTACTGGCATCCGTTAGGTTCACATCATTTACAGTGGTAAGCTCAAACTGAAATTTGTTGATGAGGATAGGAATGGACTGGGACGAAAGAAGCTCAATGGCCGATGGTGGTAGAGGGAGAGGAAGGCTACCACGGACAGAGATTAATTATGGAAAGCTAAGAAGCCAAAAGGATTGGTTCCATCCCCGTCGAATTTGGTGGAAGGCGTTGAATGAACATACACCCAGGCAGTTAGAGAGAGTGCCAGTCTCGCAGCAACTTTCCCCCTCGTAATATCTCACACGGTAGAGATGGACCTTCTGCGGTCTGAAAAAACCATTTTTTTAATTCTTCGTAAGCATCCATAGCTAACTGAAAAAATAAAAACAAATATAACTTTTAAGTTATATGCGGTGTCCGGATGTCCTACAACATGTATGGGTGTTTTCTAAGCAATGAGCAGTCACATTGTAATATCAAAATTCATACTTCTACAACATTATTATAATTAACATAATAAATAGATATAAGATTTAAAGGAACTGAATTGATTGAGATTGTTGAATAGTTACTATACTAAAGACGTGTCTGTGTTTGTTTTAATGTACAAAAGGTTTTGTATATAAGAATATATCTAAATATATATAAAATAAAAAAATAGAAATTTTCTATACACCTTATTAAATGATGATTAAGTTGAAATTCTTGTCTTAAAGGTTGTTTACACCTTGAAGGCCTTGGAGTTTCTTCTACCTCTAGCTCTTTCGAACTTTCTACCCTTAGATAGGATTCTTGGAGCCTTGTTCTTGTGTGGACCCATACCGAAGTGTCTAACAGCTTCTCTGGAGTTTCTTGGACCTCTTAGAATTAAGGTGTTTTGACCCTTTGGAGCTCTGACAGCTAATTGATCTAGAGTGATACATTCACCACCAGCCTTAACAATTCTAGCTCTGGCACCGGCGGTGAATCTTAGAGCAGCGACAGTGGTCTTTGGTAGTTCGAAAACTCTGGCATCATCAGTTACAGTACCAATGACAACAATAGTCTTGGAAGCAGCACCTTCTTGCTTCAGAGCTCTAGCAATTCTAGAGACAGAAACAGGTGGTCTGTTGATCTTTGATAGGAACAAAGACTTTAGAACAACCTTGTTGAATGGAGCATCAGTACGACCTATTTGAAAAAAAAAAATTAAAAAAAAAATTATTCTTGTTAGTAAATCAGAGGATTCAAAGGTAAAAAAGATATGACATGGCCTCAAATTGTAACATAATAACCAATAACAGGTTATTGTAATCACACATTGAGGGTTGACGATATCAAAGCATTATATCTTAAAATATAATGCTAGAATTCTGCTCGTAATAATATCTATTGAGGTTCGCGCATACAAGTATTACCATTCCATACCATTACTGTTTTGCTTTGAAAACTTTCATAAGAAAGTACAAAAAATAACTGTAATGTGTATGATATTATGAACAGTAAATTTAGTCGGCACTCGCAGAATACAGCAATTTAAAGAAAATATAAACACCTGTAGTGGTGTTTTTTAATCTCAATAAATGCAATATGATTGAATTAAAGCATGATAGTTGTAAGGAAATTAATCATTACGGTTATCCACTGAAACACAAATCATTATATTATCTTTATTATTTTGCTTTTAGATATACAGACCGTTAGCATCTAAACGCTAAAGAGTCTAGTATATCCCAAAATTAAAATAAAAAAAATATTTGAAATTGTTAGAACAGAATCCCTGAGATTGTTTATAATTTTTCACATACGAGCTAAGAAAGAGTATAGCTTAACTAATTGCTTTAGGTAGACGTTGTCAGACTTTGGAGCGGTTCTGTGACCGGATCTTTCGTGTTGCTTTGAAGTGTGATCGATACCCATTGTTACTTATTTGTTGGTTAGTTGATTTTATGATGTTAATAGAGAAATAATAACTGCAATTAAGTAGAACAAAAAAAATGAGAGAGAGAATAGAAATTGTGAATTTCAATTCCATTCAGCTTTATATAATCGACGAAGACAGAAAGCGAACGTGTGTGCGTCTCAGCGAGACAAAATGAAAAAAATGATTTTTGTTTGCGTCGCTTCTCCAAAGATGTAAGAAGGTCTTATGCTGTCGTGTATAGTGATAAATAGATGTTAGCATCTACCTATGAATAAAAGATGGGTAGAAAAGGGGAATATCAACTGTTATTTGGGGTAGTATTATGAATAATGGTTAGAAGTTATCAATCATGTGTGCTATTTCTTGGAAATCAATAGAATTTAAATTTGTTTACGGAGAGCTGCTAGGTTGGAGCATCCTAACTTGGTTTGGAAGAGACTAATTTTTAGATTTTTTTTTCATATTTAGTCAAGAATTTTCAACTTTCAGAGTATAATTAAAATAGTAAAAAATATATGTAATAAACTCAAGAACAAATTTCCTTGAAAGAATCTAATTGTAGTAATTATAAAAATCTTAATTCATAACACTATGTTCTTTAATACAATTAGAAAATGTGTGACATAATATTCTTTAATTAAGGTCATCTAATTTTTATATTCTAATGAGAAGCGATGAGCGAAAAATTTTTCTTATTTTCTTTTATTAAACCATAGTTAAATACGTAAATATTTGCAAGGAAATACCATCACTATTAGTCTTAAGTAAATTGAAGACTATTGTTACAACCGTGAGGGTTAGAATATCTCTAAACTAAAGTTTAGGAGGGTTTCAATTTTTACAAGAGTTTACTTTTTTTTACTAAGTATTTTGCTTTTATAAGGTTAAACAGAAATGAGAAAGAAAGGTCAAAGAAAAGTTGGGAAAAAACCTTTTAAAAGGATGAGAAAATCATCATTTAATAAAATTCAAAAGAAATTTGATGTATTCCATGAAGAAATTGATCATTTTAATAATTATGAGAGTCTGACTTTGGATATAAGTGACCCAGAAATTGTTTCAGTTTCAGATAATGAATCATCTGACGATGAACCAATTTATAAAGTCGATGTAGATAAGACAAATCATAAAAGTATACCTGAAGTTGTTGATCACAGAGAGAATAAAATAAACAAAAATGGTGATGGGATTAAAGAGGATCATTTAGGATTAAATAATGATTTTATTCCATTTTCTGAGAGTGATAGTGAAGAATATGAAAATAATGAAAATGATAATAATGAATTAGAGATTCTTTCAGTGTCTCATAAACAGATATCTATTAAGCATGAAACCTATTCAAGGAGGACCACAAATGAAGAATTTCCTTGGTTGTTAAATCATGATCATTCTAGACAGAGAGATATATCAAAATGGATAACTTTAGAAATGAAAGATTTTATTTCCTATATTTCCCCAAGCAGGGAAGAAATTGAGATCCGTAATAAAACTATTCAGAAATTACGTAAAGTTGTTAGAAGATTATGGCCGGATTCAACACTACATGTATTCGGATCCTATGCAACAGATTTATATTTACCAGGGTCAGATATTGATTGTGTGATTACTAGCAAGACAGGGAACAAAGAACATAGGAGCTATCTATACGAACTGGCTAGATATTTGAAAAGCAATGGAATAGGGAAACAGATTGAAGTTATTGCTAAAGCTAGAGTACCGATTATAAAATTTGTAGATGTCGACTCTGATTTACACATTGATGTTTCCTTTGAAAGATTAAATGGTATTGAAATTGCTAAAATAATACGAACTTGGCTACATGAGACACCGGGTCTTAGAGAACTGGTATTAGTGATTAAACAATTTTTAAAATCAAGGAGATTAAATGAAGTTCATACCGGAGGACTTGGTGGTCTGAGTATTGTATGTTTAGTATATTCTTTCCTTCATCTCCACCCCAGATTACGTACTGAAGATATTGATGCCCGTGAGAACCTTGGTGTATTATTAATGGATTTTTTTGAATTATATGGGAAAAACTTTTCCTATGAGAAGGTTGCATTATCTTTTCAGGACGATATTCCAACTTATATTCCAAAATCACATTGGCGAGCGCTACCTCCCAGTAGAAGTTCATTAACGTTAGCAATTCAAGATCCACTTGACGTGTCAAACAATATCAGTAGGTCTTCTTACAATGTTAGTGGTATTAAGAAAGCTTTTTCAGGCGCCTTTAATATTATATCAAATAAATGTTATGAATTGAATCAAGCAACTTTCAAAGATCGTGTTGGTAAGAGCATTCTGGGGAATATTATCAAATATAAAGGAGATGCCAGACATTTCAAAGATGAAAGAGAGTTAGTCGAAAATAGGGCCATTGTTGAAAATGAAGTGTACCACATGAAACGCAGCCGGTCTGTACTAGATTTAGAAAAGAATGAAGATATGTTTTTAAACCCTAGTGATGACGAACTCTTGACTGGAGGCCAGGATGAATTGAGCATATACAGGGTCTCTGAACCAGCTAAGAAGAAACAAAGGAGGAATGTGACAGAGATAGCTGACATACCGAAGAAGAAAAAGAAAAAGATAAAGAAGAAGCCTGAAAATATTACAAAATTAATTCCTAAAGGAGCTCCATCAAAGAAAATTGATGAATTAATGGGTATTGAAGACGACGATGACATTAATGACAACGACACAATAATGATCAAGGAAAATGACGATTCAGCAAACCCTCCAAGGGAGTCTACTTTACAGAGTACCAGAGTTGATGCCCAAACAAGAAGAGATTACTGGCTCTCGAAAGGTCAGACTTTGGCAAGTGTCAGTATTTCCAAAAAGAATACATAGATAGAGCAATATATACTTTTTTTTTCCACGGTAAATAAACTTTCAAATAGAATCGTAGATATTATCAAACTCAAGGCTATAGTATGCGAGGACGAGTCCCCAACGTTACGATTCGTTAGGTCACCCTTTTCAGCATAGTTAAGTCGTTATGCTGACCTCTTCAATTTTATTAATAATTTATCTTTCTGACAGAACATGAAATTTCCCTATTGGATTTGGCCAAGAAAGAGAAAAAGAGACATTCGAAGTGTCATTTGTATTCATTATTTATAAAAAACCTCAACGACCCCGAAGTATCCATTCGAATGAGGTAACAATCACAGCATTCAATGTCACAACATTGGTCACAAGCTGCTAAATATGTGAAGAAGTTTTTGCCTGCACGTGATCCGCGACGCGTAAAATTTTTCTTAGAAGTTTGGCAGCAAACGAATGTATTGACCGGAGAAGATCCTTTCTCGAATGCTTTACAGTAGGTTCACCTAACTACACGTAATATTGGTAAGGAAAAGATGTAGTCTACAGTACATATTATCTCTTGTTCTCCACGTTTGTCATTTTTGTTTTTGGTTGCTTGTACCACATCTTAATTTATTAAAGTGCAAATATAGATTGATTGTTGGCTATATTCTAGAGTTCTCACTACTTGATCCGATCGATTTGACAACTGAAAACAACTTCGATCTTTGTCAAGTTAATACCTGCTCCATTTTAAAGAGGGAATAACATATTTATTCACAAAAAGAACTCTCTAAGAATAAAGCTAGTTATTCAATTATATTTTTGTTTTTAAAACTAATACTCTGCTTAGTTTATAACATATACAATCAAGAAGTTCCATACATAAATTGTGGTAAGAACAGAAATTGCAAAATATCATTTATATTGTAAAGTACCGAGAACCAAAGGAAAATAAACAAAACATAATCCTAACTGTATGTCACTATCAGCAGCTGCAAATAGTATGTCTGATAAGGACTTCCAAAACATTGGACCCGCACCTTTACCCCCAAGTGCGGGCAAGTCCAATGCAAGTACGGCTGCCTTTAATCAAACACAACCAATATCTAAGATGATGAACGGACTGGATATTAATCATAGAAAATCTATCCCAGTTGGAAATCAACGAGTCGGTTCTCATTCGTTATCCACAACAAGAAGAAAAACTGGTTGGGTCTCTTACAAAGATGATGGTCTTTTATCGTTTCTTTGGCAAAAGAGATTTTTAGTATTGAATGATTCTTATTTGGCTCTATATAAGAACGACAAATCCCAAGATGATCCTTCTTTATTAATATCTTTGACAAGTATTATCAGTGTGAGTAGAACACAACTGAAACAAAATTGTTTTGAGCTAATACGTAGCAGTGAGAGAAATTCATTTACAAATTCTAGTAATAATTCTTTATCATCTTCAAGTTCTTCATCAGATTCCTCAAAGAAGGCCATTTATATTTCAACAAAGACAGAACATGAATTACATAACTGGCTAGATGTAATTTTTGCTAAATGTCCTTTATTGGGAGGTGTATCTTCGCCGACAAATTTTACTCATAAAGTACATGTAGGGTTTGACCCAGAGACTGGTAGTTTTGTTGGTATGCCTACAAATTGGGAAAAACTGTTAAAACATTCAAGAATTACAGGTGAGGATTGGAATAATGACTCAGCTGCAGTCATTCAAGTACTTCAATTTTATCAAGAATATAATGGTATCAACCCAAATAACAACAATGCAGCAGCTAAGGCAAATGCAGGAATTAAGGGAAGTATACCATCTAAACCTTCTCAAATTAACTCACAATCTCCTACCAGCAAGTTATCAAAACCATCTCTAGATCATGCACCACAAAATTATCAGAAAAATGTCCTTCAAAATAATAATATTCAACATCATGAGAAATTCCAACCAAGAAGACATGCTCCAATGGCTCCCAAAGCTACAAACACAACTGACGCTCAAAAGACTCCAATGCAACAAAATATACAGAATAGAATAGATCCACAATATTCTGCAAATCATAATGTTCCACCGCCAAGAGCTCCAGGACGTCAAACACCATTTAAACAACCACTAGCATCTCAAAATTACCAACCATCCTCCCAACCACAACCTCAAGCATACGCTCAGCCAAATACTTACAAACCATATCATAACAATACAAACCCTTACTCAAAACCTCAGGTGTCACCAAACAGAGATATCATAACTCCCCGTGCTCCTCAAATCTCAACTGCAAAATTACAAAATAAATATACACAACAGAGAAGCCCTATTTCTCCTCTGGGTGAGAAACCAAAGGTGAATCCGAATGATCTTAGTGCAAAGGCAGCCACGATAGCAATGAGACAAGACTTAAATCCAATGAGGGCAGCTCCTACTAAACCCACAGCAGCGCCATCTGAACCTAAGAAGGATGTTGCTGTCACTAAACAAAGAAAACCATCTAAGCCAACGATGTCTAATGCTGAAATAATGAGCAAGTTGAAAAATGTTACATTCAATACCGACCCTTCACCATACTTCAAAATGATAGAAAAAGCAGGGCAAGGTGCATCAGGGTCTGTCTACTTAGCGGAACGTGTTTATCTTCCTCCAAATATCAACAATCGTTTGAGTAGATACCAAAATGGTGAATCTCCAAATGTTAGCATTGGTGATAAAGTAGCTATAAAGCAAATGATACTTTCAAAACAACCTAGAAAGGAACTTATTGTAAATGAAATTTTAGTCATGAAGGATTCTCGTCATAAAAATATCGTTAATTTCTTGGAAGCATACCTAAAGACTGAAGACGATCTATGGGTTGTCATGGAATATATGGAAGGTGGTTCTTTAACTGATATCATCGAAAATTGTCAGGCCAATACAACATCTCATTCACCACTAATGGAGCCACAGATCGCATATATAGTTCGTGAAACTTGCCAAGGTTTAAAATTTTTGCATGATAAACACATTATTCATAGGGACATAAAATCTGATAATGTCCTAATGGACACACAAGCTCGCGTAAAGATTACCGACTTCGGTTTCTGTGCTAAATTAACTGATAAAAGGAGCAAGAGAGCTACGATGGTAGGTACTCCATATTGGATGGCTCCCGAAGTTGTAAAACAACGTGAGTACGATGAAAAAGTTGACGTTTGGTCATTAGGTATCATGACAATTGAAATGCTAGAAGGTGAACCTCCATACCTGAATGAAGATCCATTAAAAGCGCTGTACTTGATTGCTACCAACGGGACTCCAAAACTAAAATATCCTGAGACATTATCTCTTGATATCAAAAGATTCTTGAGTGTCTGCTTATGTGTAGATGTTAGATACAGAGCATCAACTGAAGAATTGCTTCATCACAATTTTTTTAGCATGGCTTGCCAACCAGAAGAACTTGTATCATTACTGGAGTGGAAGAAATAATATGGTAACTGTTCAGTTATTCTTTTTACACTCTGAAAACTTTATATATAGACTCTATATGCTTTATTTTTCATCTTATGAAAAATTTCATATTTATATACAACTAAAAATTGCATAGAATTACATTTTTACTTTAAAAATACTTGTTGATTTCAAAAATAATTACCAATATAGGTCATATATAACTTGATATACCTTATACAAACTATTGAGATATTATTTTGGTGAAAGCTAAAGACATCCTTAAAACTTTATCTTGCAGACCATCAACTTTGTGAGATATAGGAATTGCCCTCAAAACTAATGGTGCTAGGAGTAGAATGTTTTTAAATGTAATCGAGCTAGCATCTATATTTTCCAGGTCAGGATATTCATCGATTATATCGCACAACCCTTTCAATAAGCACAATAGCTCAATTCTTCTTAAACTTGGGATAGGTGCTTTGTTTATCAAACTTTCATCCAGAATAAATCTTCTCAACACGAAAGCCGTCCTACACACCAAATAGGGAACCGTAATGTCTCTTAATTTTTCATAAGCGGTACCTTGAATTCTTACAAAACGTACCAAATCTTCGAGACAGACCATAGAAATTTCTAGTTTATCATAGGGATGTGGCTCGACAATAGATCCGAACATTTCACCAAAATCTGTTTTAGATAATTCTTCTGTAACCTCAGTGAATGTGGGTTTTGAATTCACAAGAATTTCTTCAATTTCATCTAAATGATATATCAACGAGTTTTTCCAAACAATGGATATAAAATACTTGAGTTGTTCTTCTGTTATCGAGACTATCACCTTCGATTTTAGGAATATTTCACGATGATGGCAGTATTCACTTATGTCTTCGTCCCCTAATAGTTCTTGTGTAGCTCCATTATCCTTGTCTATTGTGTTGCTTATAGCTTCAATGAAGATCTCATGAAACTCCTCCATAAAGGATGGGGAAGTACTGTCTTCCGTGAAATTGTCGAAAATTTTAATTACCAATATTCTAAATGATCTGGAAGCTAATATCCATATTGGAGGTTTTTCGTTTGGTACCATGCCGATCATTGATTTTCTTCTAATAATATCAGATAGGTTTCTTAAAATCTTAATAATATGTTTTTCCTTTCCTAATGGCATTTTAACACTCCCACTTGTATCTTGAAGGCGTTCCAACAACATCTCACATGCATTATAACTAATAACCTCAAATGTTGGCACACGGTTCGAAGCTTCCTTTCCAAATTTAGCACCAAGTTTGGCCTCAATTTTCTCTCTTGTATCAAACGTTAGTGTACAGATTCTAGTAATTTGGAACAGTAATAATAATTCAATATTACTCGATTGATGCTTACCAAATAAAGATAGAGCATCAAAAATAGATTTCTGCAAACTGGATGGTCTTTTGTTGTCACTACTATGTTCAGGTAGTAGAGGATACCTGGAGGCAGTATTAAAAACATTCAACGAATCCTCTACAAATGCCTCAGTAACCAAATTCTTATCAACCATCAATTTATAAAGAAGCGGAAATGCATTGATTAATCCTAAGACACAATCATATTCTGATTTACCGTTAAATGGATCCCCTTGCTGCGTATCACCGTACACAATTTTATATTTTGTCCAAATCTTGTAAGCCTTTTCGAGAAGCTTTTGCGGGATATTTTCAACTCCCCCCATTACCCTTAAAAGTTCAGCATAATGTTTAATTGCAACATATTTTATGGAGACTATGGATGATGAAAGAAGAGCTTCTAAAAATTGCTCTAACGTCAACCATGCTTTTGATTGATCATTAGAACCTGTAAAGGTCTTAAAATATATTGGATAAAGTTTCAATAAACCTTTAATTGTAATATCATAAAACTCCATATAATTCCCGGCATTTTCAAGAGCTTCATTTCTAACTAATAACGGTTGTAAAACTTCATCAAATATAATATCCCATGGTGGGAGACAGTTTGTATGTGAGTCAACAATTCTGAAAAATGTTTGAATAGCACCGTTTTTAACATCAGTTCTTTTATCATCAGTACACTTCATTAAATTCTTTAATAAATAAACCCATAAACCATTATAAACTAAGGAAAGTGCTTGTTCATCGGAACTTATAACTTGCGTCAGATTGTCCGATGATAGTAGCTTTATGAAATCGGCACAACTACTTTCTGACAGCTGGCATTCTAGTGTTTTTCTACTTCTCAAATAATCACCAACAAGCCAGAATTGACTAATTGAAGAAAATGATATGTTTAAATTTCTATCTTGACTGACAAAATTAACCAACGTATCAATGACATATCTGATTGTTTCGAGTGGCAAAGATTGAAGGAAGTCATCAGAAATCAATTTGAAAACATCATATGAGATTTGAATCATTTCAAGTTTTTTTTGGAAAATAGCATTAATTAATGCAGATTCTTCTGCATCATCTTTGTCCAAGTTCATAGTATCATAACTTAGGACTTCGAATGGTGAATTAATTACCTTAAAAATTGTCAACCAAGAATGTGTTAGAGCCTCACCAAATTCATTTAATATACCCTTTAATGTTGATAGAACTTGCAACAATATTTCTGATTCAACATTTAGTATACCTTTATAGATTTCATTTTTTGTAATTGTCAATTTACTCAGAGCATCGATCGCATCCATTAACGAACACATGACGAAATCTTCTAACACATTGAATTTTTTGTTATTCTTTTCTTCCTCAGCTGCACGACTAACGTCTTCTGTTGCATTTTTTAAGATATCCGTAAACACTCTGGTAATATATAATCTCAAGGACGAACTTTCAACGGATCTGTTTGATATCAACGATATAAAATAGTCCATCACCACATTCCACGAATCTTTACCCTTGGTACCACTTAGGAACCTGTTGTAATTATATGTCGATATTTCACCAACTTGAGTAATGTAAAACCCTTTGTTGTACACACACTCTATGATTTTCTTATCAGAATCAATAGGGTGATAATTTTCGGTTGTATTATCCATGAATAAAACTTCATCAGATTGCTTGATGAGGCATTTCAGTAATATCTGAAATGACGATGAAGAATAGGCAGAAGTACTCTCAAATAATTTTAAAACACCGCTTTCAATACTGGAGATGTCATTCTTTGATATAACAGGTGCCGACGGAATATCTTCAGAATATGAACTTTCCATAAAGTCTATGGATGGTCCATATATATAATAAGAAACCCATTGCCATGTAATGAATACGTACTCCCAGTGTGTAGATTTTAGATTTGACCCTAATGAGATAGATAACGAAATAAGTGCGCGGAAAAGGCTGATATGCTTCGAGTTAAACGACCTTTTGTGTAATTTCTTTTTCTCAGCTTCCTCATTCTTTACGGGTTCCTCATTATTGGTCCCAATGAGCGTCTCACTAATAACATTCAAGTAACCAGATGTGTTACCTGTCTGAGTACCATCCTGATCATCTCTAGAGTCTGGTGTTCCTTCTTCCTTTATGGTTGCAACGTTGTTTACAATTGCATAAGCAAATGTTTCATAACATTTGTCTAGTGGTTCTGATATATTCAATATTCCTGCACTATATCCAAGTTTTTGAAATGCTCTAACTATAGAATGAAATAAATGTGAATCAATAGCAGTCGAATAAAGTGATATTTTGAAAATTTTGAATAATTCCGGGAAAATACCATTATAAAATGGTATCATTTCATCATTGTTAGAACCTTGCTGTTTAGTACTTTGATCAATAAGTAGAGTGTTAATTCCTTCTGACCAACGACATGTAAAACTCATTATTAACCAGATTATATAACCATGATTTGTGGATGGTGCGTTATTTTTATCTAGAAGTTGAAGATATTTAGGTTTAGAATTCATTTCTTCATTTGAAATATGTGTCATGTCCATTTTTTCTATAACTGGTGATTCACTTAAATAGGCAATACATTCATCCGAATGTAAAAGTTTATAACATTCTTGTAATAAGTTTGATAATACATGTTTTTTATCTTGGAAGTTATCATATGAAAAGAAAATTGCTGATATTATTCTAATATCCTTTGAAATTTCATTAAAGATCTCTAAGACCAATATTCTTTGCCAATTAGGTAATTGAGACGCCAATGAAAGATTATGAATCAATAGTGACAATATAACTTCTAATTCTATTTCTAGGATAGGAAGATATTCCTTCTTTAACAACAATCTTATACAACGGCAACTTCTTACAACAATGGCAAAACTTTTTGAATTTGATACTGATCGTAATAATAACGGGATGGCTTTAATTTTTAATATAAATTGTAAATCCTCATATTTTACAAAAGTCTCAGAATTATTAGCCAAGATTGATTCTAGAATCTCCAAACCATAACCAAGTGGTAATTCATTTACATTTAAATATGAATTAACATCTTTTGAATTAGTATTATTACTATTCTTAGGATCCAAAGAATGAAACAATGCTGCAAATAATTTATTTGCGTCATATCTATAAGTATTGACTTTAACTGTTTCTGAATTATTTACAAGGACTTCAAACTCTTGTTGTGGTGATGTAGATCCTGTACTATCTGAGGATTCTAATAATAGCGACTTATCTGAGAGACGATCGAAAATTTCATTAATTAATTGTTGTAAAGTAGCACTAGCGGTTCCTGCTACAATGGAAGATTTATGTGGCGTTTGTAACAGGTTAGCACAACATTGTAATAATTTTGAACACAATGGACCTGTTACATTTTTTGCATAAGTTTTAAAAAAAATAGGGACAACTTGTAATACTTTTAATTGAATTTCCATAGCTAAATGTGTAGCTTCCATAAAACCATCTAGAACCTCTGAGAGTCTTATTTTAGGGATACATTCTGAGGAAGATAAACCTTGTAAGCATTGAATGGCAATTGATGTCAGTTTAGCATTTCTCGAGGAACTTGCTAAAATAAATGGAACAACAAAATCTGGATGTCTCAGTAGATCTTCAGCACTATGGACCGTCTTTAATATCTTAATAGATTTATCACTTGCACTTTTAATCTGTGGATTTCTGCGTTTGGACTCCGAAGACAACGAATGTAATTCAGAATCTAATTGTTTCTGCAAAATGGAAAATTGATTAGTTACTACACTCATCTTTAGAGAGATACATGTACAATATGCTTACTTTTATTTTTGGTTTAACAACAAAGAACACCCACTGAATAATCTTAGCTTACCCTTATATGTCTATAAATGTTTGAAACTTCTGTAAAATAGAGTTACTAAATAAAAGGGTTAGAAGCTTCAAAAAGTGTGATTAAAAAACCAAATAATTTCAATTTTGCTCTCTCTTCTCTCAGTTATAAGCACACAATGTCTCTATATACCCAATTAGGAACGTTACCGATCTATGATAATGTCAATTGTGTCGACTAGATAATGCATTTCTTTTATTTTAAATCATTATCTCTCGTTTACTGACGAATATCATTTGTTCCTCTAATTGTTCGAAGTCTGTCAGGTGTGTTTACACTCAGCGAGGCTAACGCACACGTGCAAAATGATGTTCCGCTTGCACCCGTTATCTTCACCCACATACACTTTTGCCCTTTCTGGATGAGATGTATCTTATTAATAAAGAACAGAACCTATCCAAGAGTAAGGGACTGATTCCCGTTACAAGAGAGAACCAAGAGTATTATTATTATCCCATCAGGTCAGAAACTGTTAACTATCGAGAGACCTGTTTTGTTGATTCGAGGATATATATTAATAACAAACAAGCTTTTTTTTGGTCCTCTGAGAACAACTTACGACAACCAAACTTCTATATCGTCTCACCATCTATCCCAGATTTGACTACCTCAGACATATTTTCAGCTACGCACCCGTACATATAAAGATATCTAATATAAATTGAAAAGAAAAACCAAAGAGATTCAATATTTCTACATATGTTATTTCTACGATGTATTTGTTGACCAGTTTTAGATTGACCAAACAATATGTTAGGAATCTAATCAGTATAAATAACAATGAAATGTTTTCATCAATACCTCCAATGACTAAAAGATATATATCAACGTCGAAAGGGAAACAACAAAATAAAATTAATGAAAACTGTAATGAAGCTACAGAACAATCTACTTCAAATGCAACAATGACAAATAACGTATCAAACAATAGCCAAATAGTTGCAAATAATCACAGACCAAATAATATAATACCCAATGAGAAAAAAAAATACAAACTAGTACCGAAAGTGCCAACCACAGAGTATATATCAATATCAGATATTGAAACAGAAGGTTTATTTGCAGGGTATAGACCCTTATTCCTTGGGAAATCTACGTTACAAGGATCTGAATATATTTCGAAGTATGATACAAATTCTATGCTAACTTCTTTATCAAATTCCAAACTTGTAGATATTATAACAACTTCATTAGATAACCCTGAAAAGACTGCCAAATTAGAAGAACTTTTAGCAGAGATAAAAAATGGTGAATATGATGAATCAGCTATAAAGGGGCCCAAATCTTCTGAAAGAAAAACACCAATAGTTCCATGGGATGCCTCAATTGGAGGTATGGTATATCCAGATGATCCATTTAGAAATGTCCCAAAGAAAATCGTATCACAATTAAAACCCTTTGAACCCTTAGCAAAAGAAAACTCCAAACAGGAGAATAATGATGTATCAAATTCTATGATAGTAATGAAAGTCCATAATCCAAGGATAAATGATGATTTAGAGATGGTCAACTTGTTTGATAAGGACTCAACTGACAAAAAATCATTCTACAAGAAGTATAATAATAATAGGACAAACTTAAATGCATTTAAATTAGACTTCAAAAAAATTGCCAAACAGAGGAAGGCCTTTAATACTGAAAATAAAAAAATTGCTTATGACCATAAATTTATTAATGATGATCAACACATATTGAGGTCAGAGATTAAAACTTTATTAAATTATTTATCTGACGTCTTCTACGAACAAAGTGGTTTAACCGTCTATGCTGATACAAAGACTTGTGTTCTACCTCTTCATGCATATATTGAACTAACGAAGTCATCTGGTAGAGCGAACAGACGGTTCTTTAGGAAGACCATAATTGATCAAATTTTCCCGATTTATAATACTATCTTGGCAACTTATGAATCACCCACAGATATTGAAAAGTTTAAGAGATTAACACTGACAAAAATTAATCAAAGTGTTAAAAATTTATCGCAAAGCATACCTTCTGTCTGTTTCACAGATTCAAGCAAATCAGTCGATTGCCTAATCAGATCCAGTCCCGTACCTGGTTTTAAAAGAATGTATTGGTTAAAACCAACTAAGAGACATTACACTTTTTGGGGCCACAACTCAAGCAAAGAATACTCGCTTAGGTTAAAACAAAATGAATCTATAACCCGAAACGGTGTTAGATACATGAGATATCCGAACTACATCAATTGGCGAAATGTTAGCGATGCCTTCGATAATTGGGATTATTTTACTAGATTATGAACCAGAGCCAATTACTATTTTTCTTAATCCTCTACATACTGCATAATAATATTCTTCTTGTCTATAATATTTTACATAGCCATTTTCTCAGTTTCACCAGTACCTCTAAATAATCCGGATACAACTATCTAAGATATATACAACAACAATAATAATATATTCCATGAATACTTAGAGGCAGTATTATTAATGAATTATGAATATATAAAAAAAATGTATTTCTACTATGCAAAGCTAATTATAAACGTATACATTGTCGCAGAAACAGTATATCTAAGTGTCTGTGTCATTCTCCAGATCTGAATCAAATTCTACATCTTTTGTGGAATACACGTAGACTTTATTTGTCATATCTAACCCAATTCTTCTTTTAACTTCATTTTTTTCTTTTTTAGAGTCTGAAGAGCTCTTAGAACTACTGCCGAATGAATATGAACCTAATGTTTTACCAATCTTATCGGAGAAATATACTACGTTATTAACTGTATTGTCAAATGTCGAATGCGCGATATCCTTATAGCTTCTCTCTGTATTAAAATGTACTTGATTAATACTTTGTATATCACGAATATCATCAGTTGGCGCCAAGGGATCACCACTGTCAACATCATCCCCTTCTTCGACTTCAGAAGTCGATGTTCGAACTCGTATCGTCTTTGTTGTTGAGAGGTGTAATTTACTCATATAACTTTCATCACTCTTATTACTTGTAGGATAATCCTTAATATTTGACGATTTGGTTATTTCATCAGAACTAAATGTCGAAGAGGATACTTTCCTCGTAAGAGCATCTTGTACTTTTAAAGTATATTTAGCAAAAGTATAATTTTGTTGTTCATCTTCATATATTGCTCTACCTAGGATGCTTTGTGCTTGTTCTCTCTTTTGAATAATTGACAATCGTTCTAACCATTCCCAAACTACAAACGTACAACTGACATAGAACGTCGTATTAAATAATTCACTAAATTCATATATCCAAAAACTGGCCAAGTCAGCAATGAAAAATCCCGGTAATAATAATATTACTAGGATTGTTAATAATGTGAGTAAAGTTAATTGGGCAGTCTTGAAACATTGATGTCGTTTTCTAATGATAAAATTTATGATAAGACAAGCATAAGATGCTGCAATAATTATCTTGAACATATAAACAAATGGGGGTAATAATTCCCAATTATTGTTTTCATCCTTAACACTAATTCCATGTACGATTTCATGATACCTTGGAACTGCCCATAATAAATTCGATACTATAGCTAAAGTGATCCCAACAAAGAAGATAACTTTTTGTTCTTTTTTACGTTCAAATATCCTCATTAAAATAAAAGTTTGACAACATTGTAATATAAATGTTGATAGAAAATCTAAAGTGACAAAAGTTGCATTTAATTCAAAAAATTGTACCATGTAAAATTTACCCAATATACCATATTTTTCATATTGATGTCTTAATAAATTTATTAAATTTGAAAGAGATATTGCTAAATTAACTGTTGATATGAGGGAGCCTATCTTCAATAGACGTGATGCATATACGTATGGTTTATCATTCATTGATAGGAATATTAACACTGTCAAAGTAAAAGTAATAATGAAATTTGTTGTGAATGAAACAATCATTGGAAATATTCCGAATTTGAAGGAACCGGAACATGAGCCATCAAGAGCGAGGAACATGTTCCAATCTGCCACTACAGATTCCAAATATGTTGCAGGAATATCATATAATGTACCTGACATGAAGGCTGGGCTACCACTATAGCAAAAACTTTGGAAATATATATCATCTGCAAACATCACTGGAATAGGAAGTGACTCACCAATCAACATACCAGATCCCTGATAGTTTATATCACAACTTGGATATCGTAGAGTGGGACTATTACTAGCAGCTCTCCATAGATTCCCATCCATATTGCAGTACTAATATCAAAATTATCTTGTATATTTTTTTTCGTTATCGAATACTAACTTATTTCAAAATTTTGAAAAAGTAAAATAGAATGAAAGCACTTCGTTCTTATTGCTCTCTCACCAAAACTACCTGTATACTTCAATCTAGTGATAAACTGACGGTCTATACCTAGTAAATACCATGCTTCTGGACCTTACAAACCGTATAATGGTCTCTTTGTTCAACTTATTTACTATCAAATTGTTTCTCTAAATAGATTTCATGCCAAGTAATTCAGTACGGATTGTGAAAAAAAAAAATAATTATTGTTTGCTGGAAATGCAATCATCTCGTTTGATCCTATTGTAGGTAAAATTAACGAAGGGGGAATGCGAAGCTACCTTTAGATAGACACACACACATATATATACACACCCATGTATCTATACTGTAATCCGATAATTGAGATGACATAAAGTCATATTTGGGTAAATTGGGAAGGTAATTTTTTATAGCAGAAGATTATCATATGGGTTACTGAAATAATATTTATAAAAAGTAGTCCCAGAAATCCCTCTTTGTGTATTGAACGAGAGTAAATTTGAAATCTTCCTAATAATTTACTGAATCGATCTTTAAATATTTGGTAATAGATAAGACAATTGCATTGATTAAACATACAAAGAATTATTTCTACTAATAAAAGAACAGTGATGCAAAAGGAACAAAGTAGAATATCCTATAATGGAATCCAAAATGGCGGATTAGTTAAGCCACCGGTCTTCATACCCAGAGTGATACCGAGATCACCATCTGTACCATCCTTACAAAATGATAGATCCTTTAATGCACTTAATGCAAGTGACCCCATGTTAAACAGACCATTGTTTGAAGATTCTACAAAATTAACACCATCTAATAAGACGCGATTGGAACCGGATTTTAATCCATCTCCTGTACAGGGATCTCCTTCAACAATTGGTGGTAATTCTAATTTAAGTGTTATTGACATGTATGGCGATGACACAGAATCTCAAATGGCATCTGAAGAATCTGATGATTCTCCACGTACGAATAGCTATACCCCAATTAATGAAATATCCGATAACAGTAATATAATAGATGACAAAAATATACCCCAATTAATGCATAGACTTTCATTGTCTGACACTACAAATAAAACCAACAACGAAGATAACGATGATGAGTATCATAAACAACCAATCCCCAAATCTCCAAGGGTAAACATATCTAGTAAGGATGCTGAAAATTTCGATCGTTACGGGTTTAAGAAACAAACTACATATATAACAGAACAAGAATACGATGTATGGTGGAAAGAATACTATCAATATTGTAACAGAAGGAAGAACAAATGGATACAATTAATGGAAAAATATGATCTTTCGACTAAAGATGAATCTATTAGAAGGTTTCCTCCAAAGAGTGAAAAATTGAAAAGATATGTTAGAAAAGGTATACCTGCTGAATGGAGAGGTAATGCCTGGTGGTATTTTGCCAATGGTCAACAACTGTTGGATGAAAATCCAAGTACTTACCCTCAATTACTCTCGAAAATAGATCATATAGAGACCTTACCAGATAAAGAAACCAAATATCCCGATCTGGAGATTATAGAACGTGATTTAAATAGAACGTTTCCCGATAATATTCATTTCCAAAGAGAATCTTTTCAAAATACCGAACCTGAAATGATTAAGTCGTTAAGAAGAGTCCTTGTAGCATTCTCATTATATAATACAAAGATTGGGTATTGTCAATCTATGAATTTTTTGGCAGGTCTCTTATTACTGTTTCTAGACGAAGAAAAATCCTTTTGGATGCTCGTATTACTTACATCTAAATATCTTCCTGGTGTTCACAATGTAAACTTAGAAGGTGTAAACATCGATCAAGGTGTATTGATGCTTTGCGTACAAGAATATTTACCTGCTATATGGGAATATGTTGTGCCTTCTGAGAAGAGCAATACTAATAAAACGAATCTAAACAAATTGATGAATTCCAGGTTTACACCTAATCATTCTCATAATAAAGATCCGAAAAATGAGTTCTTATTCAAACTACCTCCCGTTACATTATGTACAGCAAGTTGGTTCATGAGTTGTTTTGTAGGAGTATTACCTATAGAGGTTACATTAAGGATTTGGGATTGTCTATTTTATGAAGGTTCCCATTTCTTATTTAAAGTCTCTTTGGGTATTCTAAAATTGAGTGAAGGAGAATTGTTGAAAGGAAAACATTCCAATTCTTTAACACATTACACTTTGAATGGAAATCAGAATAAAGAAAGATTAAATAATCCTGAAGAAAATGAAATGGAATTATTTCAAATAGTGCAAAGTTTCCCCAAAAAAATACTGAATCCTAATGATATATTTGAGAAGATTATTTTCAAGAAAAGAATAACATTCAACAACCTAGACCAAGATGAGATTGATAGATGTCGAAAATATGTAACGGAACAAAGACAGAAACATATTCCTCTTTCTGATAACAAGAAATCTTTAAGTCATACAAACATAAACGACAATTCCAATTCAGAAAGATCCGTATCCTCTCAAATAGGCGAATCTGGATATAAGAGTCTTAATGTCCAGAAATCAAAAACGATGAAGCAAGAACACAAATCTGATGAACAATTATCGGGATCCCAAAGCGAAGGGTACGGTTTCAAAAGAAGCATTACGTCAGTCAACTGGAATAGTGGCCTAAAACAGAGAGTACGTCAAATCAGGAGCAAAAAAGATTAATACATTAGCACTACAATATTTAGCATTCACAATACATTTTATACACGCCATATGATTGGATATTTTATAAAGAATTCATAATTTAATACGTATTTTATAGATTATTAATTGTCATTCTTATTTAATTTTCCTCTTTACTCATCGCCCAACTTGCTCATCGAAAGTCATCGCGCAGACTCGAAAATTTTCAATAAGTATAACTAACTATAAAGAAATCTCGAAATCAAACGTTAATGATGAATATAAATGAACCATTACATAAGGATATTGCTACCAAATACGAATCCATACCATACCTACAATATTAGGATATCTATTATTGCAATAACAAAGAACCAGACACACATACCCAGAAGATGAACGGTATTTTTGCTATCGAGAAGCCAAGCGGCATCACTTCCAATCAATTTATGATGAAATTACAACGATTACTTAATAACAGTCAAATATTCTCTAAGGAAATTGCTAGAGCTACAGCTGAAAGAATGCAACAGTATCAACAACAGACTGGTAAGAAAGCGAGTAAAAGAAAATTGAGAAAGGTCTCTAAGGTGAAAATGGGTCATGGTGGTACTTTGGATCCATTGGCATCGGGTGTACTTGTAATCGGTATTGGCTCAGGTACAAAACAATTATCAAACTATCTTGGGGGAACTGTTAAAGTATATGAGAGTGAGGCACTATTTGGCGTCTCTACAACTTCCGGTGATGTTGAAGGTGAAATACTAGCTGAAAATTCAGTGAAACATTTAAATAAGGAAAATCTATTAGGTTTAAAGGAGAAATTCGAAGGTTCTTTAAAACAAACACCACCAATTTTTGCTGCATTAAAGATGGATGGTAAGCCATTACACCAATATGCCAGAGAAGGTAAACCTCTACCAAGAGCAATTGAACCAAGACAAGTTACCATTTACGACATGAAGTTTTTCCCAGACTGTTTATCAACTGAACATAACTATCCTTTATTGAGACCTCCTACAGATGATGCTAAGGAGACTATCAAACTATTAAATGCCAACTTAAAGGATGATAAACTTTATTTCTCAAAAGAATATTGTGATAAACAAGGGTGGGATACTCAAGATGCCAGAGTTGAGGATCCAATACCACTTACAGAAGAAGAATTGAAAACTATTGAAGAGAAGGCTGATACTTACCGTGCACCTTTGCTACATTTCAGAGCGAAGGTATCTTCAGGTACCTATATTCGTTCCTTGATTAGCGATGTCGGGAAAGCAATGAGAAGTTCTTCATACATGGTAAAGTTAATCCGTTTACAACAGGAGAAATGGTCACTTGAAGAAGGTAATGTATTTAAATTTGAAGATTTTAACGAAAGGGATGAAAAAGTCTGGAGCAAAGTTTTACAAAAAGTTATTGATTTAGGCCCTGAGGTCAAAATTGCTGATGAGATCCAACAAGCACAACTTGAATTTGATAATGAGAAGAAAGCCTCAGAAGAATCATATACAAATGATGTCAATGAAAATAATCCTGAATCCGTTGAAAAGCCAAAAACAGAAGAAAATGTAGAGGAAATAGGGAATTCTAAAAAGAGATCTGCGGATGAGTTATAATTAGTTATGTAAATAATAACGAAAATTCAAATAAAAAATAAAATAAAATAGTATGTGAAAGTAATGCATTGAAGTGTGGTCTATTTGACTCAAAATGATGAAATATATGTATATAATTGCGAATTATATAGTTTCCGAGAACTCTTTACCTTTTCACATAAGAAAAGTTTAAAAGAGTATGAAGTTTCTAATAATTTACGGTTTCTGTATCATTACCCATTAAATTACAAGAAACGAAATCTGTATTACCATTATAAAAATTGTAACTATTGAATAGTAGATCCGGTGTTTTTTGAATATTAGGGCATGAAAAACCAAAGTCACTTGGACAATCTCGAACAATTGCATAACACATATCAATACATGGCAGAATCTCATAATAATTGCTTAAAGGTTTGATATCATTATCGATATAGGAATTTCTGTTCTTATCTTTATTTCTAAACATGTAATATGAGGAAGTACCGGTTGTACATCTCGGAATTGAAACAGAACATATCCAATTTCTATAGGATTCGGCACAATCACTACATGTTCTTAATGGTGAGTATCTTGCATCAGATTCAGTATCACAAGGAATTAATTGTAATGCTTTACTAAAGTTAGCATAAAGAGACCGAGATATATTTTCATAAGCCTCTGCCAATAAAGTTTTGTTTCCAAGATATAAACTAGATGTCGGGACAGAGTATGCAACATCCTTACAAAAATCTAACGAATGAATAAGAGAACAAGTGTTATCTTCTTTTGTTTCGAATAAGACATGTTCGAACACAATACCACCAACATCAGATAAACTTCCACTCTTTCCGATTTTTTTCGTTAAATATGCCACATAAGATGTTGAACGATTTAATCCTGTAACATAAAAATATTCATTAGTACTATTTGTACCATCTTTAATAATTTTTTGAATGTATAAGTCATTTCTATCCAATTGAACATCACTGGAGGCAACATTACCATATGAAGATACCAAATAATTTCCATTTTTGATTGCACAAAGAGATCTATTAAATTGCTCAGCAATGATTAAAGACTCATTATAAGAATAGACATATACGTCATACATGGAAGTGTCATGAATAGTGAAGTTAGAAAAAGTGAAATCATAAGCTGCAGTAGAATCTGCACCTGTAATTAATAAAGCAGAATCTTCATCTGTCTCAAGCACGTCTAACCAAGTTCTATAATCCCATTGATAAACCAAATCATTCTCTGAAATAGAAAGGTGATATTCCCAACGAGTATCTGGATAATCATCAGTATTCAATGGTTGACCTGTTGTCTTATTACGAGGCTCGACTGCCACATATAAGTATGAATAAAGAGAAGTAACGTTCAAGGATGTGTCTGTTTGAATCGGACTCACAGTAAGACTTTCCATATACCCGTAAGTGAAATTTACTGTGATACCACTTGATGAATTCTGTGTTAGAGTATCATTGAAAGCATAAGTAACAGATAATTGTACGTCATCTGGAAGATCATCTGTATTACACAAATTACCACTTAAAAAAATCAGAATATCATATGTTGGTGAAAACCCACTAGAACTACTACTTGTGCTAATTGTGAAAACATATAAATCCTTCTGACCTGCAGTTAGATTTGATGAAATGGGTGTCCATTCTGCAATGTTATCAGAATCAATGATAGAGTCCTTAATATGTACTTTACCATTATCATCATATTCATAACTAGCCTCTCTCTTCACATAATTTGGCATCGTTAGGGGATCAAAAAGGGCATCATCTCCTATGAGGGGTGAACCATTTGTGATATCATCATTCTTATATTTCCAACAATAACTTGGTTGTAAAAACCCCCAAAGTATAAACAATAACGGCGCAAAAGGTATCATTTGTGGGATTTAATTAACATCAATATTTTGGGCAACAGTTTCTAATATATATTATCTTATTCCAGTAAAATTATTTCCCTATTTAATCCTTAATGTATCACTTCAATGAATCTATTTAAAGATAGAATTTCAACAACCCATCGAAAACTAGGGCCACCAACTAGGGCCAACTATTTTATTTCTCTGTCTCTTTGCTTTCCTCAGATTCGCGTAATAATTAAATTTCAGATGAAAAGAACGAAAGAATTCTTTTAATCGAGATTTAATAATGGGAGTAATGATAAGTTTTTTCTGCTACGTTTGCCAATCCAATTAAATCCTATCGATTTCTAAATACGTCATTGGTAACTAGATAAATAATCTGCAGTTTAAGAGGACAAATTTGAGTCTATTCGTAAGAAATTTCAGCCATATCTGACAACAAGCTAGAGGAGATCTAATAAAAAACAAAAACACACACATAATGAGCACACAAGCAGATAAAAAACGTGAAAATTTACCATGGGTTGAAAAATATAGACCTCAAACATTAGATGATGTGTATGGTCAAACGTCAATTGTGACCACCGTTCGTAAATTTATTGAGGAAGGGAAATTACCTCACTTGTTATTTTATGGTCCTCCAGGTACAGGTAAGACATCAACAATTGTTGCATTAGCAAGAGAATTATATGGGAAGAATTATTCTAATATGGTATTAGAATTAAATGCATCTGATGATAGAGGTATTGATGTGGTGCGTAATCAAATCAAGGATTTTGCATCGACAAGACAAATCTTTTCAAGTGGATTTAAATTAATCATCCTTGATGAAGCTGATGCAATGACAAATGCAGCACAAAATGCTTTAAGAAGAATTATTGAAAAATATACTAAGAATACTAGATTTTGTATTCTTGCAAATTATGCTCATAAATTAACACCAGCGTTATTAAGTAGATGTACTAGGTTTAGATTTCAACCATTACCAAGTGATGCTATTGAACGCCGTATTGCTAATGTTTTAGTCCATGAACATATTAAATTAAGTGACCAAGCTAAAATTGCGCTATTAAAATTATCAAAAGGTGATATGAGACGTGTATTAAATGTATTACAAGCCGGTAAAGCAACATTAGATGATCCAGAAAAGGATGAAATTACAGATGAAACGATATATGAATGTTGTGGTGCACCAAGACCTGCCGATGTTACTGCGATTTTAAAATCTATATTAGAAGACGATTGGAGTACAGCATATTATACATTAAATAAAATTCGTCAAACGAATGGTTTGGCATTAATCGATTTGATTGAAGGTATGATTGAAATATTAGAGGAATATGAACTACAAAATGAAACAACTAGAATTGAACTTCTTACAAGATTAGGAGATATCGAATATTCTATTTCAAAAGGTGGTAATGATCGTATACAATCTAGTGCAGTAATTGGAGCCATTAAGACAAGTTTTGAAAACGAAGTCCAGACCCAATAGTTAGCATCCATGATCACCGCCACTTTATCGTTAAATAGAATGGTCCTAAAAATAGTAGCACTTTGTAATATACACATACAAATAAGACAAAATTCATCCCTCATTAATATAATATTTTAGCTTATATATGAACTTTCGTCTAAGAACATACGAAGAAATATACCGTTAATCATTCTTCTGACAAGAAGAAACGGCCAAACTCTTGTAACTTATTTATAACATTGATTTATGAAAGCTCTGATCGATACGCCAAAAGAGACTCAGTGACTTGAATAAAATATATATTTCTATCTTGAAGTATATCACCACATTTCACGTAGTTCAGTTGTTTGTTGCATTTCGCGTATTACTACATTTCACCAAATGATATAAAAAAGAAGCGTCGCGAATTGTCTGTCACTCTGACGCGAAAAACTACTTCGAAAAGTAAGACGGTCGTACGCAGTTTTCTGTTTGTTGTGTCACATATACAAATATTTCAAAACTACATAATAATACTATTTATTCACAGAATTGAAAGAGGATATTAGATCATGAGCAACTACCTACAAGGGTAAAAAGGGATCACAAGTAAATACCGAAAATACTCAAAGAAAAGAACCTCAAAGAGAGGGATCAGTTCAAACTACGATTTCTTTTTAGTTCTTGTTCGGAGCTCTAATGACCATGCCATTGCCTTATGTGGAGGAATCACGAAAAAACATAGACTTAATGCAATTTTTAATGAAAAACAATAACAAAAAAATGTTTTAACGACAGGTATTAGTTATAATAATTCGGAGAATTTTAAAGTGTATATCAGTATTTAAATAATTATATATATAAGATAGAAATAATGTGGACGGTATTTCCTTTAAATAATGAGTACCTTAAAAACATTTATATATACATTTCGTTAAAATTTTAAATGACAGTAAACCCAAAACTATTTTAACTATTAACTATGTCAGACGAAAGGAGAGCATTATATTCATTGATGAGAAGCAATGTTACTGAAGAAATGATAATATTTCTTACAGAATGCACATCACAAGTAATTAAAACAGTGACAGATATAAAATATCCAAGTCCACCAAATTCTCCAAATACTTTCAAAAACAGTGGATCTGAATTACCAAGTTTATCTCAGTTTATTAAAAGATTAGTACAACAAACTAATGTATATACGCCGACTTTATTAACTACAGCCACATATTTACGTCGTTTAAAAGCTGTATTACCAAAGGACGCAACGGGCGTACCATCAACTACACATAGAATGTTTTTAGCATGCTTAATATTAAGTGCTAAAAACCATAATGATTCATCACCATTAAATAAACATTGGACAAAATATACAAATGGATTATTTACATTAGAAGATGTTAACTTAATGGAAAGACAATTATTACAATTATTAAATTGGAACATGGTAGTAAAAGAGGATGAATTAATTGAATCTTTACAAATTTTAATTACTCCAATAATTGTTAAACAACAACAGACATTACGTATGAAATCTTCTTCACCAATAGAAAACGCACAAAAATCTAATATATATAAATTACCAAGAAACGAATCTTATTCATCAGAAATCAGTAGTTCCAGTACATTGATTGGCAGCCAAACAGATTTAAGAAGACTCAAACAACAAAGAGCTATCCCAGAGGGATCTCGTTGGAACCTGGAACAAGTAATGAGCAGGTACGGTTTCTAAGCAGAAACAACCACTAAACGAACACAAACAAACAAACAAATATATACCAATATTATATACATTCAATGAACCCACTTTAATTAATAATACATCTAATTTACAGACTAACCTCTAAATAAATAACTTAAAGCACAACTGTTGACGTACGTGGAATTTCAAAACTGTTCAGAGGTAGGAAACCCTAACAAAAAAAAGAATGCTGAATGTGGCCGGCAAAGCAAAGCGAAAATTTTTTTTTTCTGTCGCTTTCCAAATTTATGTTAATTAGAAAAAGTATATAAGGCGAAGGAATAAATTTATAAAAAGTTATAATTGAGTTTCACTATTCTTTAATATTCTTTATTATATAGGAATATATACGTGATATGGCTACAACAACAACACCAGCAATCTATTGCGTATTCTTCTGTATTTGGAGAATGTGTTGCTGCTGTAACCATTTCCGGTACTTTTCTCTCGATATCTCATATCGGTTGATGTGAGAAGGCATTACATCTTTCGAAGCTACGAATAATGATGCTTTTTTATATTGTTAAGAGACGGTACAAAAACAACAACATCTAATTGCAATACACAATGTAATTTTGTGAACTGCCTCGAGATGTATACAAGAAAACTGTATTTTATGTGATGATAAAAACGCTGTGCACCAGTCTGATAGGAGCCTAACTTTTGTACTCAGGCTCCTCTGAAGCATTAAGTATACCCAAATTTCTGATCTTTACAGTTCTCTTCACTCTTTAGTAAATTGTAAGTCTTGAATTGATTCATGAATTAATAGTAGTTTAATCGATATTGTTTAAATTATATTGTTAATTGATTGGAAATATTTTTTCAAAGTGTCTCACGGTTACCCGGCTTTCCATACGATGTCTTATCACTTGGCACGACACTGTTGACCCGGTAGTTCTTATTCTTTTTTTCCATTTTGAATTTTTGCTTTGCCCTTCGGCACCACCAGCAAAGGAAATTGAAACAGACAAGGGTCGCCACTAGAAGACTGACAACTAACAATAAACTTAATCACGTATACTGGTTAAAATGGAAAGGCCAGTTTGACATATTATTTTAATTTTTATAGTGATATAAAGAGTATATATGCTTTACTATTGAGTGATAAAACTATATACAACTCACTTAAAGGTACATTTGTCATTGTTTCTATTCGAAGAAAAAAGAAAAAAGTTATTGTTTATAATTGTTAAGAGTAAACAAATTTTTGCATTTATTTTTTTTTTTGATCTATTAGAAAGAAGAAATATTATAATTAATTCCATTCCTTTTTTTTTGTTAATCTATTTCTCTATTCTTTTTTCCATTTTGACTTATTTATAGACATATAAACTGTGAAATTTTAATAATAATTAAGTGTTTTTTTTTCTTTGCATATCGAACTATTTTCATTTTATTTCATCATTATTTGGTTATTTTTTGTTTTGACTCACACACACACATATATAGTTTGTTACTTTTTTAGCGATGATTAATAATAGAGGAAACACTACTACTACGACTACGACTAGTACGGGAATTGCTACTGCTAAACCAACAACAACTGCTGCATCAAATAATATTCCTGGTATTATACCTAATATGCATTTAGCACCACCACCAGGAGTAACAGCTCCCCTTCCATCAACAACAACTGGTGCACAATCTACCCATGCTTTAGAAGATCCAAATGTTTATCACTGGATTTGTCAACTAACTTATGGACCTCAAAAAGAACAAGCATTATTAGAACTGGGACGTAAACGTGAACAATTTGATGATTTAGCTATCGTTTTATGGTCTTCCTTTGGTGTAATGACATCTTTATTAAATGAAATTGTATCAGTATATCCAATGTTAGAACCAACTAAATTGTCAAATCAATTATCAAATCGTGTTTGTAACGCATTGGTATTATTACAATGTGTTGCATCACATCCAGAAACAAAACATCTTTTCTTACAGGCTCATATTCCATTGTTTTTATTCCCATTTTTAAATACTACTTCAAGACAAAGAACTTTTGAATATTTAAGATTAACTTCTCTTGGTGTAGTTGGTGCATTGGTTAAAAATGATTCTCAAGATGTTATTAGTTTCTTATTAAGAACCGATATTGTTCCATTATGCTTAAGAATTATGGAATCTTCTTCTGAATTATCAAAGACGGTAGCTATTTTTATCCTTCAAAAAATTTTATTAGATGATATTGGTTTACAATATATTTGTGCCACTGTAGAAAGATTTTATGCTGTAACAAATGTTTTAAAAGAAATGGTAGAACATTTAGTGGTGTCAACTCCACCTGGAAGACTATTAAAACATATTATTAGATGTTATTTAAGACTAAGTGATGATTTGGAAGCACGTAGATTATTAAAAATGGTTTTACCTGCTAAATTAAGAGATAATACATTTACTGAAGTCCTTAGAGATGATTTAGGTTCAAAGAGATGTTTAGCTCAATTATTACTTACATTAAATGAAGATACTCAACAACCACCTCAACAACAACAACCTGTTCTACAACAACTACAACAATAAGAAGCTTGTCTCTGTACATTTTCCTTTTTCTTTCTATTTTTGTGCATTCATTAGTTGTGTGCCCACAAATTGAATTGTGTTAAAATGGAAACAACAACAGCAACAAGAACCGGTTACGAACTTGAAATCTGAATGAATCGAACTATATGCATATATATATACAAGTTCCTGGAAGTGACATGATTCTTCCTTTCTTTTCAACGTTCCTCTATTTTGCGTATGTGTGCGTTTGTTGTCAGTTACTGCTAGTTTCGCATCGATCGTGATACCTCCAAATGATTGTGCATTTGTAACAAGGCTAGCTACTTTTACAGCCAATTATTTATTTACATATCAATATCACAAGGACCCGCTCTTCCATCCACATCCCTACTCCCATCTGTCCCCCACATAATTATTTCGCATTAGTCATTTTACTTACTCACCAACCCAAAGTGAGAGCCAGTTATATACCGACTTCTCACATTTTATAATTAATTATATTACACATTTTAATTCTTTTATGCTTTACATTCCATAATGATCTCAACATACATAGCTATTTATATTTATAATCTGTTCCCCATTATCATGTTGAACGACTTTTCTTACACGTAAATATTTGGTTCAAGGCGAGAATCACAGCGAGAGGAAGGGAAAAACCAAAAAAAAATATCGAGCCAAACGAACAGCAAACAAATTGAAGAGCAAACAGGCAGGGAATGAAACTGCTAGGAGCTTCAATTCTTAATAATATACATTTGTAAATACGGTAACTATCAATCGAAGACTAAGAGACAAGTGTACATATTCAGTTCTTTAGTTAATTGACTTAAGAGATTCTTTAGTTAGTTGACTTAAGAGATTCTTTTGGTTTTGAAGAAAGTAAAGGAAAATTTAAATCTGTCCTTTGTTTTTACCTTTTATTATTGTTGGTAGGTGATCCCAATCTGAAACACTTTGCAACAAAGGAATAAGAATACTAGAATAGAGCTTTTTTGCTGTCGTCCATAGTATTAGACAATTATCAGGTTCTTGGAAGATTATTAATATTTAAGACAATTTCTAACCTGACAATAGATTGATCCAAGATATAAAGATGTCTACAAAGACTTACAAAAAGTTCGAGAATGCCGGTTCAGGGGATTTACCTGATAAGATGACCGTCTATCAGGATTGTATGAACACCTTCAACGAATCTCCAGTTAATCCAAAAAGATGTCGTATCCTGATCTCTAGATTATTAAGATTATTATCTAATGGTGTTGCATTCCCAGAAAATGAAGCTACTGCTTTATTTTTCTCAATTTCAAAATTATTTCAACATCAAAATGATGCTCTAAGACAAGTTGTTTACCTTGCTATCAAGGAATTGAGTGGAATGTCAGAGGATGTTCTTATGGCCACATCATCTATTATGAAGGACGTTCAAAATGGTTCTGATTTGGTCAAACCAAATGCCATTAGAGCTCTAACTTATGTCCTTGATGAATCGACAGCATTCTCAGCTGAAAGATTATTAAAGAGTGCTGTGGTCAGTAAACATCCGGCTATTTCTTCTGCTGCTCTATGTACTTCCTACAACTTGCTACCAATTTCCGAGGTCACTATTAAGAGATTTGCTAATGAGGCTCAAGAAGGTATTAGTGACCTGAAACAATTTCCAAACATTCCTTACGATGAACACAGTCTCTTAGTTGGCGAATTTTATCCAAACTCTAGCTACATGGCTCAATACCATGCCATCGGTTTAATTTATCAATTGAAGAAAAATGATAAGATGGCTATTCTAAAGTTAGCTTCCCAATTAGCTGACAGCAACACTTTGAAGAACCAATTGGCTAAAGTTCAAGTGGTAAAGCTAATTGCAGATTTGATTAATAGAGATCCACAATTGTTCAATGAATTCCAATCAGTTTTGTTTGCTTGGTTGACAACCAAACATGAAGCTGTTCAGATCGAAGTTGCAAAAGTTATTTCAACTTTTGCTTTACGCAACCAACGCCTTGTCGCACCAGATAGTTTTGCATACGTTGTTAGCACTTTACAAGCTTTACTAACCGTCCCAAGAGTCTCTACTAGATTTGCCGTTTTAAGAATTCTTAATAAAATCGCAATGGTTGCTCCAGAAAGGATTGCTCTATGTAACCCGGAATTAGAAACGTTGATCAATGATACCAACAGGAATATTTCTACTTATGCCATTACCATCCTTCTAAAGACTGGTAATGCTAGTAACATTGCCTCTTTAATTTCTAGAATCTCCCGTTTCTTCCATGACGTTTCTGATGATTTCAAAATTATTATTATTGATGCTGTTCGTACTCTTTCCTTAAATTTCCCTCAAGAATGGAAGAGTATTGTCAAATTTTTGATGGATGTCTTGAAGAACAGTGAAGGTGGTTTGAAATTTAAAAATACAGTGGTCGAAGCTATAATTGATATCGTTTCTTTCATCCCAGAATCCAAGGAATTAATCCTTGAAAACTTATGTGATTTTATTGAAGATTGTGAATTTAACGAAATCTTAGTCAGAATTTTACATTTACTAGGTAAAGAAGGTCCATACACCTCTAAACCATCATTATATGTTAGACACATTTACAACAGAGTTGTTCTAGAGAACTCAATTATCAGATCTGCTGCTGTTGTAGCGCTTGCTAAATTTGCTTTGACAAAGAATGATCCAACATTAAAGGAATCTATTGTAAGTTTATTGAACAGAATTGCCAACGATCAAGATGATGAAGTAAGAGACAGAGCAACAATTGCTCTAAGATTGATCGAGTCGGCTGACGGAGACAATACAAATGTTGCTACTGAGCTAATTGAACCAAAATACTTCTATGATTTACCATCCCTAGAATCAAAACTAAGCAATTATCTAAACACAAACGACGATTCTTTCAAAACTGCATTTGATTCATCTAGTGTCCGCAGATTTACCGAGGATGAAGTGAAGGCCATTGAATTAAAGAGAAAACAAGAACAATCATTGGGAGCTACTTCTGAATCATCAACTGAAGCCGGTACCAAGAAGTCTAAGTTAAATGACAAAACAGAAAATAATGTATTCGGAGGTTCTAGTGTTGGTGAAGACGAACAAGAGTTATTGAACGCTAAATATGCCGAAGAGTTATTAGCAATTGATCAATTTAAAGAATATGGTAAATTAATCAATAGCTCGAAATCCGTTTCCTTAACCGAAACGGAAGCCGAATTTGTTGTCAACGGGATTAAGCACATATTCAAAGATTACATTGTCTTACAATTTAATATCACTAATACCTTACCTGACGTTGCCCTAACTAACGTTTCTGTTAGTTGTACACAGGAGGATGCCGAAACTTCTCAACTAGAAGAACTGTTCAGTATTGCTATAGATAAACTATTACCAACAGAAGTTGGTGCATGTTACGTTGCCTTTCAAAAGACTGATAACTTGGTCATTGAAGGTTTCTTGAACAACTTGATTTTCACCACGGTGGATATCAATCCAGATACTAACGAACCTTATGAAGGTGAAGAGGGCTTCCAAGATGAGTACGAAATTGATTCTCTATACATTAATGCTGGTGATTATGTGACCGGTTCGTTCATTGGAAACTTCGATACAGCTTTCGATGAATTACCAGCCGAAGAGATTGCCGTTTTCAATATTCAAGAGAATCTATCCTTACAAGAAGTCATTGATAAAATTATTACAAACTCCAACTGTCTACCTCTAAATAACACACAATTTGCCCCAAGCGATTCAAACTCACATGTTCTAAAATTGTTTGGTAAGAGTGTTTTGAGTGGATCGAAGGTTGCGTTACTTATTAAAATGATTCATAGTTCAAAAGGTATTGCTCTGAAGGTTCAAGGTAAGGGTGAAGATGCTACATTGTGTTCTGACCTTGTCAATGGTTTGATGTAGACTTACTTGACCTAGAGTTTGATAACGGTTCTTCAACAATTTTATATATTAGATAATGCCACACACACACACTGTGGATTCTTCAAAAATCAATCATATATAGATTTACGTAATTTATTAACATGAAAAAAGAAAAACATTTTAGATATCAGAAAAGTTGTTATATAGGAAGTTTAATTTCTGGTCGTAAGTATTATTCTTTTGGTCATGTGAAAGTAGGGGACGTTCTTATTATGATTCGCGACGCCAATATTAAATTTTCAAGAAACCAAAAATATAATTAAGTAATTCATCAAGAGTAGCACTGCTGAGACTATAGGGCAAAACGGAATAATTTATGGTTCTTAAAGTAATCTAAAGTTATGAGTACTACCAGTAATGAATTTGAATTACAAGAGATATTAAAGCAAAGGAAAAAAAAGGAGATTCAGAAAAGAAAATTGGAAATCGAAGAGAGGAAACTACATCAGATACAGGAACGAAAAGTTAACAATACCTCTGTTTATATTTCTAATATTGATATTTCTAGTTTGGCTACAAAAGAAGATGCATCCAAAGTACGAGAACAGCTCGTGAAGGAGTTTTCTAGATTTGGGGTCATACGTAAGGATGAAGACGGCGTACAGAAATGCACCATGTATAAAGATGAAAATGGGAAATTGAAGGGGGATGCATTGGTTATTTATGCTAACCCTGAATCAGTACCTTTTGCAATTGATATTATGAATGGATTTGACTTTAATGGGACCAAGTTACATGTAGAAAAGGCGATATTTGAGCCCGTAGAAGCATCCATTTTGGAAGATAAGGTTAACTCTACTCTTTTACCTTCGAAGCGATTAAAAACAGATAACCACCATCCTGAAAGCAAAGTTGAGGATAGGTCAGTGGTTCTTGCAAATATCATCGATATATATGCCGATTTGGACGATGATGAACTAGAGGATATCAAAGAAGACATCAAAGAAGGTTGCCAACAGTTTGGTAAAATAGCTGCCTATAAATTTTATGAGAATAAAGGTGAGGCCACTGTAACATTTACTTTAGAAAAGTCGGCTCAAGAGTGTCAAAAATATATGGATGGTAGATTCTTTGATGGAAGAAAGGTTCTTGCTTTTATAAGCTCTAAGGCCAATATTGAACAAGGTGTGAGTGGAGAGGATTCAGATATTCCAGATGTACAATATGACGATGTTATAGAGGAAAATGATGTGTTTATTCAAGGTGATACTTAATCATCGTTTTCGTGACACTCGACTAAGGTAACGAGCCTGAATGAGATATTGCCGGCTTGAGAGATTGTGCTACGATATTATGATGTTCCATTTATAGTATTTTTCCGAGTTGTAAATAGAGATGCCGATGTATATGAATAATATGGAATCGAAGATTATTCTTGCATCCATGCAACATAAATAGCCAAACCACTACATTGGCATTTTTATAATTCATGCCTTCAAAGTATAAAGGACATCTTTCAGAAAGATTTCGTTATTGAAGTCAATAGTAGCTCTGGTTTCAGCCAATTATCTGGGTGGAAGACACTCCTTTTCTGAAATATCTATTAATATTAAAAATCCAATAAAGTTCATTTATATATTTTCCTTAGATATTATCGCGCCCATTAGCCTGGCGATAGGCACCAAATAAGGTTTGTAGCAATTTAATTTCTTTATTGAATTATTTGGTCAACTGGTTAAAATTAATAGGTATTATACATTGGCAGTCTGTTATAAAATTTCTTGCTGTAGTTGAACATTATGATATTCTAGGATGAATTGCAGTTCACGGCGAAGAAAAAAATTTGAGCGGTACGAGAATCGAACCCGTGTCCCCACCTTGGAAGGGTGGGATGATAACCACTACACTAACCGCCCAAAAACGTAAAAGGCATAATTTTGCATCAATCCAAAATCGAAATAAAACGTCCGGGTAACGGCGTTGTTATTTCTTTATGAAAGTATTAATAGGTCTTATTCTCTAGCATATTACACCTAAATGACAAGTGGCTTAAGATGATATGTTACATTTTGAAACATGTTACATTATGAAACAGACCACGTTACACTATGAAACAGTGTGCGGTTGTATCATGAAACAAAAATGTAAGATATGTTTACAAAATGAGAATAATCTTCAACTGTCAGACGATAAGTATATAAATGGGACTTTTATCCAAATGTTAATTTATATACTTCTACGTACAATAGAAAAGAAATACACAAAATATTATATAATTGTATACGTATAATATGTCTCTCACTAACACTTCCAATTTAGAGATACCTCGACAATTTGAGATCTCTAAACTGCGTCAACATGATACTATAATTTAAGATAGTTGGAACCTGTTAGGGCTTAATAATAAAGTCTATTAAATTTTTGAAAAGGAACAATTCATTGTTAGCTCCATAGAACCTATAGAATTTTATATTTAATATTAATTCAACAAATGAGTATAATTCAAAGAGAGCTGATCATTACATCAATTCAGTAATGTTTGATGATGTATGTTTGATGCTGTACTATAGATTATGTTAATTGTACCCCGACTCACTCTTCGTCATATGAGTCTACATGGCGAGAGTTTCAGTGTTTATCTAATTATTGAATTCCTCTAGCACAATGTATTCGGCAAAATATTATGTCCTTTAAAGTAGATTGGTTCTCGCATGGATAAATGGTGTAAATATATCTGTTCCTCCTATTCATAGGTTGTTTGGAAAATTCACTCCTTTAACTCGTTGGATTTGAATTGTCAAATGAAAATAAATAAATATAACCAACGACCTGGCAAACAAATGAACTAAATTAGAAAAATGCAACCCTCACATCATGATTCAGAAGAAACTAGAACATTCCTTAAATTATTATGGGAACAATAATTTTATTTTTTCATTAGAAATAGGTAGTTTGATTCTAATGGCAAAGAGGGTTAGATTTAAGTTTAAACTTCAGTCGATATGTAGGTTAATATTGTCTAATATATCTTTGTTGAGGAATTGATCGTGCCCAAGTCATCGATAAGGGTGATTTGTAATTTTGATAACCAAAAATAAGAATAGTTATATCAGTATGAAACGCCGTGTAGTTACGTACAATTAGCATGATGTGTTAAAAAGGAATGTGGTATTTATCAATGCCTCCCAAAAATAAGGGAGCTTGACAATTATTTCATTATATTTTGAGGAATTCTTGTTACCTCTCCTCTTTACCCTATTATTTTGATCAAAACACATAACAAAATCTGTGAATTATATAACATATAATTTCATAGTAGAATTCCAGGCATTTTATTTTAAAAATCCACTTTTAGACGGTACTATATAATACAATTTTTGAATTTTTTTTACGTTGGGTGATGAAGATGAATAAATTAAATGGATAATTAGTTACATAGATAGATATATACAAGTGATAGGACATACTCCTTTTTATATAGCAGCTAATTTTTATCACAACATAAGCAGTTTGAAGTCGTGAATTCCGTAAATGTGAACTTAATTAATTGCCTTATTGAGATCCTGCTTGTTTTTTAAATTGATCGAGTGTGAGAATATTTGACGTGCTCTCATATACAACATTTGTTGCAGTGGGGTCCAATTTGTCCAGTTGTTTCTCCAATTCACTTTTCTTATCACGACTCTTTGAGATGTTTTCCATACCACTGCTCTTGGCCTCTTGTAATTTTTGATAGAAAGGGTCATTCTCTACAACGAGGTAACCTCTCTTCTCTGGATCACTATAAAATCTGATATCTCTTCTTTTTATAGGTCTAGGTGGTAATGGCAATCTACCTCTTTTCTCCAAGAAATATTGAGGGTTAAGATGAGCTTTCAAACTTAAATCAGTGAAATACTTGGCAACAAATGAACCACCAGCTTTCTCGATGGCACGGATAGCTTTTTCTGATGCAGCGCTTGCTTCGATTTTTAATGGTACATTCATGTCGAATTGACCTTTAGCCAATATTTTCACCCCGTTTTTAATTGAACCAGTGATAACTCCGACATCTTTCATTTTCTTCATTGTTAACACTTCATTTTCTTGTAAGTTTAATCTTCCCTTTCTATGGAACCACATAATCCTCTCTAGATTAATTGGAATTAGAGGTCTAGCGTGGACATTCTTAAAACCAAGTTTTGGGAAAAGTTTGTATATTGGTGTTTGACCACCTTCAAACCACGGTTTTACCGAGCTTCTAGCCTTTTGACCTTTTTGACCACGTCCAGAAGTCTTACCTTTATTACTGGATGGACCACGACCTAATCTTTTGAATGTTTCAGTGGAGCCTGGAGATGGTTTTAAAGTACCTAAAATGGAAATAGGTTTTGAAAATTTCGGAAAAAGTGGTTTCACTCCAATCTTCGAGAGAAGCATTTCGAAATGAACTTATTGCGGTATGCTATTATGATAGGAGTTCGATAATGTCTTTAATCAGGTTGAACGTTGAACGCTCTTTGTGTTTTTCTTATAGAGCTCTTTTATCTCCCTTTAATGGATTTACTGTTTCATTTCAGTTTTCTCTGCGAAGTTGAATCATGAATTATATGAGCTCGAGAGAAAACGCTCCGAAGATGCAAATAACATATAATATACGCACCGTAGAAAATGATACTCTTTATACTGTTGAGACATACTTCAGTAATATTAACAGATGAAAACTTACATAAAATACAGATGTTGATTCCTATAGTCAAGTTGGAATTCTTGTAAATATATTTTCATAAATTAAGTCTATAATGATATTTATGATTATGTATATAAGTATGTACAAAAATCCAAAATATGTTTGAATGTTTGAAGTCGTTAAATGATATGTTATCTTCATAAGAAAAAAAAATTCTATTTGAGGACACTAATCAGCAAATAGAAATTCTATCTCAAAGGAGTTATAATTAGAACTTAAACAGAACTCGTAGCGTGAAGAAATAAGAAAAGTTAATAGGTACATGTGTCCCGTATCGGTATATTTGAATGGTGACAAAGATTAAAATTAAAAATTAAATGAATGGAATGTAGATATTAGTGTTAGCTTGTTTGTATTTTAGGGGAAATTATCTTTGTTTTAATTTATAAAAATGACAAAATAAATTCTCCTATATGAATGATAAAGCATAATCATGATGCAATTTAATTCATACTAATGTGTAGATAAAAAATTTGTTAATTTAACTATTTTCTGATATTTTCTCATTATAAGAATGATCATCTGACGATCTTGATAGATCGACATAACTGTCATCAAGGTTGAGATTGTTATCGTTTCTACTAATAAATTGTTCCAGTTTATTAGTTTCATGCTTTGCCAAAGAATTGTTATCATCTGGGTTAACAATTCTCAAAGGAGGTCTTTGTTCCATCATATCAGGAAGTGAAGATGTGCTAAATCTTTGATTTCCTGAATCGACAAATGGGATTGGTTCTTCAAATACAGTAGATGGATGTTTAATCTTTGGGGTTAGGTTATGCATGGAGGTTCTATTGATTGTTGAATTAGAATTTGCATCTAACATTTCATTACCATTTTTCAAAGGCATTGAGAAATTACTAAATGATGAATTAGTATTACTACGCGTGTTAGTATTTGTAGTATTATGTCTTGATGGAATTCTCCAATTTGATGTTGCAGATGAAGGTGGTAAAATGATTGGTGTAGCATTCTCATCACCAAATGAATAAGGTTGATAATGTTTAGTTTCTTCCAAATCAACACTATTATCCTTTCTATTACGTCTATGAAAGAAAAAGAAATATATTGCTAATATTGCAAATAAAGTACCAAAGACGACACCAATGACAATACCTGCGATTGCGCCCCCGCTCAAACTTGAACTCTTTGAATTAGAGCTATTTTTATTGTTTAATGATTCTACTGTTGGTGAAACAGTTTGAACCAAAGATGTTGTAGTGACATAAATTGTAGCAGGTGTTTGATCAGATGCTGAGACTACAGATTTTGTAACGACCATAGTAGTGTATTGTAACGATGTTAAAATAGTAGTTGAAGATTTTGACGATCCTGAAGAGGATGAAGTTTCTGAACTGGAACTGCTACTACTAGTAATGCTGCTGCTGCTGCTGCTGCTACTGCTGCTACTGCTGCTGCTACTGCTACTGCCGCTACTGCTGCTACTGCTGCTGATGGAGTCGCTATCACTAGTAGATCTAGAAGACGTGACTGAATTAGAGGATTTACTCTGGCTGTTAGTATTACTAGAGCTTTTACTGCTACTTGATGTAGAACGAGAGGAGGAACTTGACGATGTAGCAGTAGATGATCCAGATGATTCAGTGTTTGATGCAACTAAAGCTGCATCATTCCCATAAACATCCATAGCACTTGGTCCACCACATTTATCATCAGGCCATCCGTTGCAATTTGTTGAACATTCACTTGAATCTACAGTAGTTAATTGTAAAAGGCTTTTCAAAGAGTTACCACAATAACAGTCTCCACCATCCATTAAGCCATAAAACTCATAATTAGAACATTGATCTTGACAATAGGAAGGCGATTGATAAGTGTATGAACCTTGTGATTCTAAAGAAAGCGAATCCATATCAGATTTTGAATAACAACCTTTAAAGGAGAATACATCCTGAGACATTGCTAATCGGAGTGTTAATATTAAAAGGAGTAATATATGAGAGAATGCCTTCGTTGTTGATTTCAGAAACATGATTTTATAAAAATAAAAATGTTGTATCTTGATTAAAAGTGAAAGATTTGTAGAGGGAAAGGGATATTTTTAATAATAACAATAATGTTTTTTGGGAGAAGACGTTTTGGTTGAAGTTGTAGAAAATGAGGTTGTTTGTTTGTTTTACTGATCCATTAAAAATTGATAGGATTAAAAGATATAGTGGGTCAATGGTATTCAAATAGTTTAAAAGACAAAAAAACAAATGTTAGTTTAAAGTTAATGGCTATTGATACTATTTTTGATATTATGTTAGCAAAGTAATTGGTAAAATATTGTTCTGATCAAAATTTTATCTAGTTAATTCAGTTTCCTTTTTTTATCGTTACTATTATTAATAGACACTTCAAAAGGATCCTTGATTTTACAACTTTTAGAATAATAAAGGAAATCTAATTAAGTGTTTGCTTTATTATGGTATTTTGGACCAAGAGAGTTACTGTGAAAACAAAAATAAAGAAGAATATTTTAACAAAACAAAGCCATAAAGGCTTACATATTGAACGTTTTACAACAAGACCGAACTATTCATAGAACAAGAACAATTCTAGACTCTTACTCGCACACACCCACACACAGGCCTAAGAATCCTCTGCAGGGGATCCCGCCATGGTTGTTGTTGCTTCCATATGCAGTCTCAATTGATTCCATTAACTTGCAGTCGTTTTAAGGAAAGTCTCTTCGTTCTTTAAAACCTTCAAAGTTTGTTGTCGTTTGTTTGTTTGTTTTGTTTTCGTTTGAAAATTGTCACAAAATTTGACTGAAACAAATAGGTTTCCCCGTCTCCACGGTGCTTTGTGTGCAAACGTGGAATTGCGCGAAAAAACAACAATAACAACAACAACAACAACAACAACAGAAAATCGGCAGGCCGAAAAGTTTTGCCGCAGACAAAGCGAGAGAACAATGAAGAAGGAAGAACTTTCAATCATTTTTTTTCAGCAGGAAAGGCGAGCCCGGAGAGGCGAGTGACGTGGTGCTGGCGAGAAGCTGCGCAGTAGCAATGGACATGTTCTCCCTTTGGGCGAGCAAGAAAATGTGTTTCGCGCTAGGGCTTGCCGTTGGGAGTGACAGGATGAGGAGTTAGGGTTGGGCATCGCTTAATTTCACAGATTTTTTGCTTTTTTTTCTTGCTTTCACATTTTGCTTTTGGTATGAAGAAGGGCCCAGTTGAAAAGGATGGTTTGGGCCCACAATAAGGCCTGTGACAGGGAGAACATCATAAACAGGTATATTGGTTTATATATATATATGTGTGTGTGTGTGTGATAAAAGGATAACTACTTTGAAAACAAAATATAGAAAAGAGATGAGTTCGCTGAAAGCCATCGATAAGAGAGTCGCTAAACGTAGACAAGTGTACAAAGCGGTATTATCAAATCCATTTGTTAATGAGGAACAGTTATGGCCACATGTAAAAGATCAACAATTAGTACAAGAATTATTACAAAAACATGTGTTAAATAAATTGCAACACTTACGAGAAATGAATATACCGAAGCAAGAATGGCCATTTGACTCAATTACAGACTTTAATGAAGTATATTCATATTTATCACAAAAGGATTCCAACGAAGAAGTCCTATTGTTTGTTTGTAATAAAGATCCAGATGTGCCATCAGTAATGTTACAACAAATTCCATTAATGTCATATATATCATCAATTAAAGTCACATTAATACAATTACCTAAGGGATCTCTAGCAATGATACAAAAATTTATTGATTTGCCGTATGGGTTGTTATTGTTACCCACAAAACATTTAGATCCAATTTTTTTACAACAGATTCATGAACAAGTACTGAAACAAGATCTTCCTTGGTTAGCTCCATTAAAATATAAATCCACAGATATTAAACTAGTTAAATCATCAGCTCCCTTAAAATAAAGCTGCATTGCTTTCCCTCTCTCGATGTAATTGGTATATGTCTTTTGTTCGAACTTTTTCAGCCTGGAAAATTCTCGCCTAAAAGAAAATTCTAGAAAGAGTCTACGGAAGAGCCACTAAGTGCTTTTTCTTTGCTCTGTGTCTGTGTGTGAGTGTTCATTTTTCACCGTTTCGGACCCAATATTCAGCGAGGTGAAATTTTCAATATTTGATGAATTTGCTTAACAAATTAAAATAAAAAAAAGAAAACTTACATAAGCTAAACTTATATCGAAGTTTTGTTCATTGGTGATATCGTTGTTGTTTGATACATAAGTCGGTAAACAGACTATACAGAGCAATCTAAACTGTTCGTTAAACAAGAAAACCTTCTTTTTGTTGCACGGTAGTGTGTGTATTATTCTCTGTTACCAATTTAAAATTGAAAAAAGAAAAGAAAAGAATAAAAGTGTGAGAGTTTTATTATTTCTAGCATGGCAGTATTGAATCCAAACAACTGGCATTGGGTTGATAAGAATACCCTTCCATGGACCAAGGATTACTTTAATGATAGGATTAAAGGGTTTGAAGTGAAAAAGGATAATGCTTCTTATTCAGGGTATAAAATTGTTGAAATCAATAAGATTACAGGTGATTCAAATGTCTCACAACGTAAAGGGAAACCAATATGTTATTTCGATTTGAATGTTGAATTGAAATTAGAAGTAGTAACCTCATCTGATGATGACAAAGAGGATGAGGAAAATGAGGATTTAAATGGGACAGTAATCCTTCCTGAATTTATGCATGACGACACAGATTTTGAAATAAAAATCAGTGGTTTGTCCAACGATATTACTAAACAAGTAAATAATGAATTTATCCCTGATTTGAGAAGCGTTCTTCTTCAATATCAAAAAGATTTATTGGAGACTCATTCACAGGATTTAAAAGATTCTTAAAAAAAACGTCTATATATATATATATATATATATATATTTGAATAGGTTCAATTTTATATGTGCTTTATTTTATTTTTTTTAAATATTACACTCAGTATACATATGGAATGATCTTATAAGGAACCTTCTTTTGATAAGTAACCCAATCATCGCCATATTTTTCACTACATTTTTCTTCATCTCTCTTTTGTCTGTGAAATAATAAGATGGCAAAATATGCAGAATAATGATAAGTTAAAGGTGTAACAAACCAAGTAGTTAAACACCAACTTAAAGAGATTAGCCAATCACCCATATAATTTATATGTTGTGACATCCCCCACCAACTATCACATAATAATTTTGTACCACGTTTTGTTTGAATGCTTTTTAAATTTGGTAATTTACCTTGTTTAAAATCTGATTTTTGCTTATTAGCTGAATGGAAAATATAATAACCTAATGCCATTAAAGATGTAATGAAAATAACTTTATTTTGACCTAATTTATTTGCATTAACACTTAAAAATCTTGCTTGTAAACAGAAAGTAAAAGGCACAAAAGTTAAATCACCAAAGGATAACATGAATCCAAATCCATCGGTTGCAATATCCATCATTGTTAATAACCCTTCTTCATTCAATACACCATCAAAGATATAAAATCCTTGTAAAATATTAATTAATAATAATGCATCGTTAACTGATTGAAATTGGTTAACGACAACGTAATTATGATGGAGACAACTTAAATTGATTAATAACCATAATAGCATTCCCGGTCTTAATTCACAAAATAGTTTAATATCAAAACAACCAATTCTTGGATTTAATTCTCTACCAATAAACCAATCATAAATAACGTTACTAGAATTACCACCTAAAGCCAAAATTGGTTCTTTACCTATATAGATAAAACTCTTTAAGTAACAATATGTAGCCAAGTAAAAAGCAAATAACACACTAATGATGTTTAATTCGACATGATGTTCATATAGAAATACCAACTCTGGCATGGCTCCTTCAGTGATTTGCCATCTTAAACCTAGAATCAAAATTAATAAAAAGGAATTACTAATACCATTGATCTTGTACTTTAATTTTGTATCATCTCTAAGTAATGTACCAAACATCGTCTTACCAGGTAGGATAATATCAAATACTGCTAGACCACCAAACCAACATAGATATGGAATCCAAATCCCTGCTGAACGACATGGATTTAAATAATAAAATGGATCTGTAGAAAACTTAGCATCTGGAGTTAACTGAAGGTTAATAAAAACAGTAAAAACTGGTAAGAACAATGATAAGAATAAAGCCCCAAAGAACCCACCAAATTCAAACTTGGTTGTCTTAGGGTTCAAAGGTTGTTTCTTTTCCGCTACGTTTTTAGCTCTTGCCATCTCGTAGAAGTAGATCAATTCAATTCTCTGTAAACGAATATTAATAGAATAAGATTCAATTCTAATCGTAAACTTTAAGGGAAGAGCAAAAGTGTGGTTTTAAATCAAATCAATTATATGGAAAACAACCTCATATATATATATATATGAAGCCTTTTGTTCTTTCCGGAGGTTTCGAAGCTCAACTTTATGCGAGTCCCCATCGTTTAGTTCCAATATTTCATAGGAACGAGTCCTTTAGCTTGCCGGTAAGAGCGATTCAAAGTATTTGGCGTAGTAATACATAAAATAATATAGAAGTTGCTACTATACGTGAATGAAACTTCGCCTCTAATTTTAAAGCACCTTAATAATGCATTATTATGTGATTAGATTTCTATATGTAGCCACAATAGGTTGTCTTAACTAGTCATTGTGATCATCAGTCATTGATTAGGCAGTCTACTAATATTGAGACTTCATCACGTTATACGGGATATCTTGGAAATGCGAAGGAATAATAAAACAAATTTGGAAGAAATGCCATACTATTAAAAACAAGAAACCAACGTAAAGGTTAAGAAGCAAGAGAAACTATTTAGTGCTGTTGGGATCTATTTGGTGGTATCAATTCAGTGAAGAATTATTTAGCAACTTTGAGGTTCAAATTTTGATTTTCGAGAGAAGAACAAGCAAGATGATACATTACGTGGAAGAGCTGGAAAAGCTTAAATTTAAAATGTTGGACGAACTAAATAAACTAGGTGAAGATTCTCTCACAAGCAACACTTCAGAAAATGACAGTAAAGATATATGTATGGAATGTACTAAATTTGTTATGCAATTTGAATCGACACTTAGATGTGCTACCGTTGCAATAAATCAAAGTAATAAAGCCATCAAACTTACATATGTTCAAAGCCAATCGCTAGACACAATGGATACTTTGAAAGTTGAAGGGAAACTACAAGAATGTAAGAATGAAACCGCAACAGCGATTCAAGATATTATTATGTTAACTAATTGGAATTATGAATATAAGGAGAAGATGAGAAAAATGGCAAAGGCAAACTATTATCATCAATTAAATCAAGTGGATCAATTGAGGAATGATGCTATTGATACACATACAAAGTCAACAATGTCTACAGAACAATCACACGATACACGTACAGTAGATATCCAAGGGACCTCGACAAAAGTACAATTGCTATCACAAACTAAGAAACTAAGTAATAATTTGATTAAAGGTAATCAAATTCTACAATCAAGTATTTTACAAAGTAGCCTAAATCTAGATGAGCTCAAACAACAGACTAGTTCTTTACAAACCGTTGATGATAAATATGATCAATTCCAATTGATAGTAAACAAGACTTCCTCCCTAGTAAAATCGTTGGAAAAGGCCTCTAACCAAGAGAAGAGAGATGTATATTTGGCTTTATTTTTCTTAATAGCCTGTGTATCGTGGGTGATTTGGAGACGTATCTTAAAGATGCCAGTAAAATTATTCATTTGGGTGTGTTTCAAATTCTTCAAAAGCATTTTGGTTACTATTGGACTGGTTCAATCCACTATCAGTACAACTACTATGAAGGGTAACACCATAACGACTACGAGCTCTTCTGTCATAAAAGAGGCAACACAATCACTTGAACAAATTGTTGACGAGGCTATGGACAGAATACTCTCCTCTCATGATGAGTTATAGAATGTAACGGGCCATGCATAATCATTTACTCTCTAACTTATAATAATAGATAGCATCAAATAGTATATATATGTATATATATATATAGTTACCACTATTTTAATACCAAAATTTCATCATCCTTAACGACGCCCGTTCACTTCTGAGTGAAAAATTTTTCGATGAGCCCGATGAGCCTGAACTTTTATCGATGAGGAAAACCATTGCACAACTATAAGTGTATTGAAGTGTAAGTTATAATTATATTTGACGTGCTATTTTTATATCTTATCATTGAATTAAATTCAATAGGAAAATTGACCACTTTAGTAGTGTAACAGGAAATATAACATAATCAGTAATGGCTCCAACAACTAAGAAAAATAACAAGCGTTCTTCACCTCAATCTTCCAAGCCAGCTGCTAAAAAAGCTAAAATCCCAGTTGAATCTTCATCTGAGGACGATGAGCTTGATAATGTCAGTTCATCTGATGATGATTTAGATGAAATTGTTTCTGATGACAGTGACAGTCAATCCATGTCTGAACAAGAAGAAGATGATGATAATGATGAAGAATCTACTGAACCTAAGAAAGAAGGTGAAGGTTCTGATAACCATACTGAGCAAAGAAAACTTCTAAAGGAGAGAAAACTTCAAAGAAGATCAGGTTCTGAAATTCAACAAATTAAAAATGTCTGGGAAAGATTACGTGTAAAGTCTCCACCTCTACCAAAGGAAATCCGTGAGAAATTATGTAATGAAATATGGGAACTTTCCAAAGAACATTTTAGTGATTTAATTCTAAAGCATGATGCATCTCGTATTGTTCAAACTTTGATTAAATATTCCTCAAAAGAACGTCGTGAAGAGATTATTAACGCTTTGAAAGGTAAGTACTACGTTTTGGCAACTTCTTCCTATGGTAAATATCTTTTAGTTAAATTATTACATTATGGTACTAAGAATTCTAGACAAGTGATAATTAATGAATTACATGGTAACTTGAGAAAATTAATGAGACATAGAGAAGGTGCCTACGTTGTGGAAGATTTATATGTCCTATATGCCACTTCTGAGCAAAGAAATCAAATGATCAGAGAATTTTGGGGTTCCGAATATGCAGTCTTCAGAGATGACCATAAGGACTTGAAAATTGAAGATATTTGTAACAGCAGTGTTGAAAAGAGAAGTATCATTTCAAAAAATCTTTTAGGTACAATTTCTGCCTCTGTTGAAAAGGGTTCTACTGGTTTCCAGATTTTACATGCAGCCATGAGAGAATTTGTTAAAATTGCAGATGATTCACAAATCAGTGAAATGATTGAATTATTACATGAACAGTTTGCTGAGTTAGTTCACACACCAGAAGGTGCTGATGTCGCATGCACCTTAATTTCAAAGGCTTCTGCTAAGGAAAGAAAGTTGATTTTAAGATCATTAAAGGAACATGCTGATAAGTTGATTCCAAACGAACATGGTCACATGGTTTTCATTAACATCTTAATGGTTGTTGATGATACTGTTCTTGTTTTCAAGACATTTGGTGCTGCAATTAAGGATGCTTTTGCCGATTTTGCTACAGACAAATATGGTAGAAGACCATTGATTTATTTATTAATGGGTCTAAATGGTAAATATTTCTCACCAATTATTAAAAAGGAATTAGAACGTTACTTTGAAATGGCCTCTAAGACTTCTAAGAAGGATCCAGTCGTCAGAAAACAAGAATTAGTAGCAAAATTTTCCAACATTTTATTGAATGGTGTAGGTACTAAATATGCTACTATTCTCCCAGATAATATTGGTTCTCAATTTTTCTCAGAGTTATTAACATGTGATGAATTTTATGCTCAATTAGATGAAAAAAATGTCGCCAAGTATGAAGAAATCTTAAATAGTGTTACTGTTTACTTCAAGGGTGACGTTACAGAAAAGAAACACCCTGTACATGATGCGTTCTCTACTAGATTTTTGAAAAGTTTGATCAGTGGCGGTAAATGGGACAGCAAAGAAAGGAAGGTCATTCCATTCGAACATATTAAGGGGTTGGGTGTACCATTTGCTACTAAATTTTACGATGAAATAATTGACTCAACCAATCTTCTTGTATGGATCAATGAAAAAGATTGCTCTTTCACAATTGTAGCATTGTACGAAACTTTAAACAACACCGAAGAGGGTAAGCAATTCATAAAGGATCTGAAGTCTGTTAAGAAGAACATAAACGTTGATTCTTCTAACAAGGGTGCTCAATTGCTACTAAAACTGATGAAATGATCAGAGACGGACTTTCCATCCCGTAATAAACTTGCATTTAATTAGATTCCTTTAATGTTCGAAACAATCTCAATAACATATGTATAGATATATACAAATATAAATAGTTGTATGTGCTGGTGTTTCGATCATCAATTTGTATATTAATTTCTCATATTTCTTTCTAAAACTTTACTTCATTATGTTTTATAATATAATTGGTATATGCGAGATTGCATTGATTTAAGCGAAGGTTGAAAACTTCATAATTCATAGTGGCTCAAATGACATAATTGTTAAAAAGCTTAAATGAAGAAAAAAAAACTACAAACTAGCATTGATCAATTTTAGGAAGAAACTTCAATCTAATTGTATGCATATTTTTCAGTTAATATAACGGTAGATTTTGTTTGGATTATTAAAGCCAACTAAGTTGACTCAGTGCTATTTATTTCAGAAAGAAAATTATGAGCATAGAGGAATCAGAGAGAAAAGAGTCAAGTCAAGATCCAGATAAGCATGAAAACGCATTAAATGAAACGCAGAATACAGGACCATGGTACCATTTTCCCATAATTAATAACCTCCCGGATGATATTGAGATAAGTGTGATTGAATCATATGAAGAACATATATATATTGGAACTAGTTCAGGGGAAATATTGCATTTCTTCGAGATCGAGTTTGGTAACTACTTACTCGTCTCAAGAACTAATTTTGATGATGATATAAGCAAAAGGCAGCCAGCTGTTAATAAGATAATAATACTTCCGAAAATCGAAAAAGCATGCATACTCAGTGACTCTGAGGTGATATTGTTCTTATTACCTGAGATGGCACCCGTCCCAAATGTTGAAAGGCTGAAGGGTATAAATGATATTGTATTGAAAGATTACCCCAAAAAGGATGATAATAAGTTTAAGAACAAGTATGAATTGCTATTATTTAGAGATTCGAAAGTTACAAATCTGGTAATTACAGAAAATGAATTTAAGCAGAATACAACTTTCGATTACAAATTTATCCAAAGTGGTCAATGTCACGACTCAATGGTCATGAGTGCAAAATTGAATAACTATGAGCTTTTAAATTTAAAATATAATCAAGTGATATCACTGTTTCGTATTAGTGAATCCGTTGATGGCAATAATAATGAGGCTACGTTGAAGCCAATGATACGAAGTTTTAATAACGACAGTTTTTTAGTTTGTTCTGGAGGCGCATCATATGAAGACAATGCAATGGTGCTCGTGGTGGATCATCATGGGGATATTACTGGAATAGCGATGGAACTTGAACATTATCCAATAGACTTGATTGTAAGTTACCCATATCTTTTGGTACAATATAAAGATGATCAATTTCAAGTTTATAAATTTCTAGATGATCAAAAATTAACAGTTCAGAAAGTCGAAGTTCCAGATACTAGATTGAGAATATTTAAGACTCGCAATACAACCAAACCTTCTATAAAACCAAATTCAGATGATTATGAGACGTATTTAACCTTAAGGGATGCGATGGTTGACAAACTAATGACGGTTCCGATTAGTAATAGCTCAAGTACGACGACATATGATATGGAGTATAAAAAGAAAGAATTGGAGGCAATGTGCGATTTTTCTTCCTCAATTCTGATAACCGACTCCTCGTCAATATATTCATTTATTCCAAAGCCACTGTTTTTAACCATAGTAAATTTTGAGAAATCACAAATTGATTTAATACATGACTATTTGAAAAATTGTGAAGAACTAAATTTGAAGAGCAAAATATCAAACCTTGAAAGAAAATATTTGATTTTATTGATTTTATTATTGAATATGCTACATTGTGATAAAATTGATATAGAATTGGTTAATATGTGGTGTGATCGTATTAAAAGTATAGATATACGGTTATTTTTGGATCTCTTGGGGTTTGAAACGTATGGTAAACCATATATTTATAAAGGTTTGAAGTCAATTTACGAAAATTTGAAATCATTAACCCTTCGAAATAAAACCGAAAATACAAACGAGGAATTCATTAAATTTTTTGAAACTATTAAAAAAAGGTTAAACAACCTTATAGAAAGGCAACGAAATACTATTCAAGACTTCGAAAACATAATTATCACAATCGATGTTCTATTGTTTAATACATTATTCGCCAATAGTGATCAACAAGAATCGGGATTTGATATCAACGAATATAATACACTAAGTCATGGTGAAATTATCAGGATAATAAAAGAGGATCTTATCCCCAAGGATACTTCAAACAATAATTTACTAATTCAGATATATGAGCAAAAGGGACTGTTCAATGAAGCAGTATGTATTCTGAGGTCTAACATGGATAGTAAGAGCGCCACTACAACAAATCAGTTTTTTGAGTTTATTAAGTCCCACATAGAGCAGTTGCCAAAGGAGTACATATCAACAGAATTGTCTAATGACCTGGCAATAATAATGGAAAATTTGAGTATGTTACTCAACAAGAGAGATCTTCACAGAGTCGTCAGGAGTGCTCTCGATATATTTAGAGAGATAAAAATGGACGTTCATATTTTACTACAAGGTGTTGAGGTGTTTGAAAATGGTACATTTATAAAGGTCATAATTCTTGAAGAAATTAACTTTGGGAAAGATGAAAGGGGTAGTACGGAAGATATTGAATTCCTCGTTCGATATTATATTGAAAAGATGCATTCGGAAATTGTGACTAAAACCTTATGGGATAAATTCAAGTCATTTCAAATTGAATACAGAAGCGATCACAATTATGATAAATTACCAATAAATGAATATTTATTAACAAAGATAAAATTTGACTCCAGTTGTGATCAATTTGTGAAACTTTTTGAAAAAATAATTAGAATAAATGATAATATGCCTAGCACTTCAAAGCTCCTCCAGAATGAAATTACCAAATTTGATGACAATCATATTTTATTTATATTATTTTTCTTCACAGAATCATATAATGATACCATTGATGAGAAGGTGAGGTTAAATATTCTCATTGAGAATAATGCATTTCTTGAAATTCAGTCCCTTGTGAATTCCACAAATATTGTTCGATTGTTCGACCAATATTGCAATGAGTTAGATGATGTTGATCTGGCGATAGAACTTTTAAAGAGGAACAAGATTCTATTGGAAGAAAATATCACAAATTATTTTACAATTCTCGGGAGTATTCCAAAACAATCATCTTTCCATAAATCTGGATCTTTGATTCTAAACATACTAATAAATAGGCAAACAAAATTGGAGGAATTAGAAATAAAAAAATCGTTGTTGAAGAATGAAGTCTCTATTTACAATGATATATTGAAAAAGTTAGATACATGAATAAATAAAATAATATATATAGATTTTAATGACTTGTATTTTATGATGAAGAGGAAAAAAGAGAAACAATTTAAACCTTATTTCTGATTAACTATTGATTTAATTCAGAAAGTGGTTTTAAACCAGAACAAACTTCGAATATTAGATTGAACTTTTCTGGATCTCTATTCATGTCAACATTATTTTGTAATGCAAGTCCTACAGTTTTACTGTTGTTTAGTAAGTTTTCTTGGATTGTTTTGTTTGTAGAGATCGAGTTAAAATTTTTCAATGTGAGGGATGATAATGAGTTATATTTACCTTTAACTGCCGCTATATATTTTACATTATCTGTTTCCATGGTATGATTCTTTAATTGAGCTTCTTGTTGTAAAATTAATGAATTAGCAGGCATATATTTGCCAAAGGAATTATTCCCATTAAATAATGGAGAATATTTAGATGTAGATGAAAAATTTGGTTGTCTATTCACAGGGAAATTAGAGTTTTCCAATTCTTTTAGAGCAAAATTTTTAGCTCTTGTAGATTGAACAGAATATAAATCAGAAGAATATTTTAATAATGATTCTGCAGTATTATCCTCTGGGTAATACAATTCGGACACAATTTCAACTTTAGGGCGTTGTCTCTTTTGGAAATTATTTGTTGTCGTCAATCTCATATGTGGTTTTCTACCTCTTGTATCTCTCTTTCTTTGAACAACAGGTTTTTGTCTGGAAGAAACATTCTTTGTCTTATCTTGATCTTGAATAATATCAATAAAATCAATAGATTCCGATTCAGCATTTTTTTTACCTGCAAATTGAGGTTGTTGTAAAGTAATGTCGCTCTTGACATTTGAGTTTGTCATTACTTGACCCTTGGTAATATTTCCTTCGGATCCTTGTTTATCATATCTATTGAATTTTCTATTATTAAATGATCTCCCTTTATTTTGTGCAAACTTAAACTTTCCATTATTCCCAGTTCTGGTATCACGATTATTATTATAATTATTGTTTTTAATATTGGTATTGTTAAAATTACCTCTTTTATTTTGTGTATGTTGGCTCTTTGCCGCCACGGAATGTGTTGTAGCTTCTTTAGCTCTTACTAATAGATCGTTAATAAAATCTTGGGTAATGTTTGTACTATAACAAGCACGACCTACTTGTCTCGATAACATTCTGGACAAAATTTTAAGTTGATGTCCTTGTGTTTGTCTGTTTTTTTGCACTTACAACTTTGAAAGAAGACCGTTATCAAGACCGTTCACTGTGTCTAGACTTTAAACATAAAAGAGGTTATGCTATGTTTTGTTCATCTCTCTGTATGACATCCCTTTGACAAGCTCACGTTCTTCAAAGAATTATTTTTCGGTCATAAGAGAATCGAATTGAATTGAAGGAAAAAATAACAGCGAGCATGTATTACCCGGTAATTAGGGGCCAGGTCACGTGATTTTGACTAGCTTAACCATTTAATACGTCTATTTAAAAGTGAATCTATATTAAAATGCTAAAGAATATATCTATTAAATTGATCTGTTAGTGTATGTAGTATGTGTCTCCTCCCCCCCATTTCGTATGTTGCTGGTTTTTCCTATTTACATGATTTGAACCGGAGAATGAGGACAACCAGAGAAATATTTTTATATGTGTAGGTATTTTTCTAATGAACAGCATTATTGATTAGGTTGACCACTACCTCCACAACAACCTCCTGTCGATGTAGAGTTTGAAGTCAAGGTATTTCTTCTACTTATATTTTTAATATCATCATTATCTCCTAATTCTGTATCCTTATGTAAATTTAAATGATAAGTAGGTTTCTCATTATTCAACCCATTCTCAATTTTTTTCCCTTGGACAATATTTTTTCTTAAGAATTGAGCAACATCTTCCATTAATTTAATTTGTTTTTCAATGGGTGTATCAGGATTCTCTGGTGTTTTCATTCCTTGTTTCATTTTCTGTCTAGCTGCTTCAAGCAATCTAGTATCCTCATTGAACGCTACTCTTGCAGCCCTCAAGCCATGTCTATACGCTGTCAACGCTTGTCTAGTTAAATTAGAATTCATCTTCAAATGGTTTAGTTCCGTCTTTTCAACTGGTTCTCATTTTTGGTGACAAATAATTAAATTAACAGTTACTGGTGTATTCTCTCACATTTTCTTCTTCTTTTATTCCTCCTTCCTTTAAAATTGATTCAGCCGATCGAACCGTGCGATGCGCAGAAAGTTTGGCGGTGGTTGTAATGGATGGATTGCGAGACACGTCGTCTACAATGACAGTAAAACGAACATATATATGTATATGTGACACATATAGATAATTCCCATATATACAATGGTTAGACAAGCTCAATGATATATACATATATATATATATGTTTGAAAATGTAGAAGAAATAAATAATAAGAAGAATAATGAGAATAATATGTAGATCTATAAAGAATTGAATTTGTTGTTATTGTTTCAATTTTTGAAATTTGAATGAACTAGTCTATAGGATTCAATGACAGCTTTCAAATGGCAAACAGAACCTGCTACCACTAAACAATGGAAAACTTGGTGAGAACTTCCAATAAGGTCAAACCTTCCAGGTAAAATACTTTCAGGTATTCTTAAACCATATAATGTTGCACCAACAATATAAAATAAAGCTTCCCAAATTACAAAAGTAAGATTAATTCTTTTAATAACACCATGAAATCCAAATATATAAAACCCTGTAGCTAATGGAATAATTCCCGACAAACCAAATGTAGCGAAAAATCCTGCTCTTAACGGTCTATATTTAGCAACATTAAATTTTTCATGCATTACAACCATCGAACATAATATTGCTAAGGTACAAGTTAAACCAACAAAAAATTTAAAGTATGCTAAATGATCAAAATAACCAAAATAAACTAATGAAATCATTGAACAAGCAATTAATATTATAATACCTAAATAGTCCAATTTACTCCAAAAATTACTATATTTTTCAGAATGTTGTTTTAAACAATGGAAACAACCACTGCAAAGCATGCAAAAGAATGCACCTATAAGGAAAACGTTAATAAAAACATAATCTGAAGTTGAAGTTGTTGGAAATCTTGGAATTAAAAAAGTATCAATTAAAAATAATGATAAAAATAAATATGCAATTGATGGGATTAAATGTGAATAAATATTCACAGATTCATTATTAAAATAAAATAATGATTGAATACACTTTGAAAATGAATTAGTTTCTCTAACGTAGCCCGTTAAAATTTTATCATTATCTTGTTGCCAAAATGGTAAATCTTGAAATGAATATAATTTCCTGCTAAATATACTACTGCTACGACTACGTACTTGACTAGTTGAACGACTTGTTCCATTACTACTTGTAATAGTATTTGTACGAGTACGATTCAAATTTACTGTACGTTTTGTAACAGTTGTTGTACTTTTAGTACTACCAATTGTAGAAGTACTTGTAATTTTTGTCAAACCGGACATACTGGTAATTGAATTTTTTCTAGATTTCATACTGATAACATCTTCTGGTACCACCATCATCATTGCTATTACTTAAAATAAACAAAAGGTGTCTGTATTTTATCGATAATAATTATTCACACTAACAGTTCTCTTATCTCTAATGCCTTTTGCCTAAAACCAGATCAACCAAAAATAAAAATAGTAGTAAACAGACTGCAATATATATATAGATCTATATTACAAAGGTGTGAAGAATAATATTAAATGTTTTGTTTGAAGAATATACAAACATGCCAGTCTATCAGTAATCAAACTGGCACTATATATATATATATACAAAAGGATACATGACATATGCTCATTCCGGCGTATTATACCTATTTTACCTACCCATCGATAAAAACGAGCAGTATTATTACTATTACTATCTGTGGTGCACTAATATTATTGACTATCTCTCTTTCTGTCTGTCTCTTTCGCATAGGAAGCCCACCGCCAAAAACCGAAAAAAAACGAAAAAATTTTGAAAAAAATCGTTGCGATGAGCAGCAGTAAACACAGTGAGAAGCAATAACAATGACAAACTTGCAAACGATAAATCGATTTGTTGACCAATGAAGAATCGTCAGGCGTGTGTGTGTGTGTGTGTGTCGGCGTTAATTGTAAAGTATCCGGCTAGTATAGTGTTTGTTATTTGAACTTGAACTAAGTATTAATTGTTTTCTAAAGTTTTTAGTTCATGAAGGTAACTTGGGTTGATGGCGAGAGTTCAGTTTGAGATCTTAAGTAATTTAAAAATAATAATCCTGCAGTGGTTCCCGGTATTACAGCTACTGTGTTGCGAAGAAATCCTTTATAAAGCCATCTGATAAATTTTAAATGGTGATCACCATGTACTTGTCTTAGATGGGAAAATGTCTCACGGTAAGCATTACGATATAGATGCATATGTCTACTTCGCCAATTATTTCTTGTCCCTAGTAAAGATATTTGGGATTTCGTTGAAGCTGTAATAGTAATATCAATGGCTTCAAGTCGTTTATGATGTAATTTCTCAATTTTGCTGATTGGATATTGCATTATTTGTAACAACAAAGCTGATGTAACTCCTGATACAAATATAATAGAATGATTAATATATTGTGAATCTCTAAACTCATCTTTATAACGTTCTTTAATATATTCAAATGTTCCGAAATAAATACCAAAACCAAATGATTCCTTAAATAAAGTTAATAAAAATCCACCATAACAACCAATAAGTCCAATTTGTCTCCATTTTTCCCAACCATATTTCCATAAATTAGCATGTTTACTCATTTGTTTAATAAGTTCATCTGCACTTTGCCTAGCAAAGATTGCATCAATAGGTGAAGATATAACTGCTTGAACCACACCAGCACACCAACCAGCTTTATAAACATTAATATAATAACTTGATGAATTCTTTGATATGTCTTTGTTTAGTAACGAAGCAGTTTGTAAATATGATGTATATAATGCAATCCCAGTAATAGAGTTTAATAATAAAGGAGGTAAAACTCTTTCTGGGATAACTTTCCAGCCATATTTGTTTAATGCATGATTAAGTAAATGTAGAGGTGAGCGTTGGTAAAATTTGGTATCTTGAGTAAGGTTATCCTTTGCATATGCAACTCTAACATAATGTAAATAATCAAATCGAGGTGGACGAAACAATTTTAATGGAATTCTTAAATAAAAAGTGGTAAGTCTATAAATTACTGTTCTGGCCGCTGCACTAAATATACCAATTAATGAGTTTGTCTTGCGTTGATCACGATTGGATTCATTTTGAGTTATGTCCATTCCCGTAGAATTGAAACACTATCAATATAATATAAGATGTGGAAGCACTTTAGGGTTTTGTTTTAATTGTTTATTTTATAAATATCAAATTAGAGGATTTTATATTCAGATTAGTATTTTTCTTGTTTTCTGGGTCTGTTTTAAATCATTGACCTTTAAAGAAAGGGACTCCAAGTCATCGTTTTGTTATCGGTCTTAATTTCGTCTCGAAGAGACATCGTGTTCAGGCAAGAAGCACTATATAAAGAGAGATAAAGAGTTGTTTCCCCATAGCCTCGCAAATTTTAATTTTTTGTAAGCATGTGTATTCAAGCAGATATTTAATGGATTACTATTATCATAAAATTAAATTTAATATGTGATTTTTTGCATTCAAAAGAGATAACTCTAAAGTTAAGGTACGGTTTAATACTTTTCTCTGTTGGTTTTGTTGCCTAGATCTTAAATATGTAGCGCATAAATTCATTTCAATATGTTATGGAGTACAGTTACTGATGTTAGTCCTTACTAAAATTTGCTAGGATCAATTGTAGTTACATAGTCATGAAATAGCATTGTCACCATTAAATTTGTTGATGATGTAGAAAATGGTTCATTATATAAAAAAAAAGTTAACGTCAGTTCAAACTGTGTAAGAATGTAACTAGAATATCCTTAAAGTAAAGTATTTTGTACTACAAAATATACAAATGTCACTGGGAGTGATGGTTCTATCCTCGATATTAGAACCATCAGTTCCTTTGAATAATTAGTGCTCAATTTGACGGTTTATTAAAGTAGAGCAATTGATACTATAACTGTTTTTTTAACTAAGTAATTGATATTATTAGAAGAAGTATAAAACATATGGAAATGTCATATATGAAAGGGTAATTAGCTAATACATTTTTAAAGATTTTTACTTAATATTATGACTATACATTTAAGTAAGGATTTAATATGTTATTCTTCATTACACAATAAGATTACAAGTGTTTTGATTTGTGACTTCGACAGACAAGAACTACTGATTCATTTAGAGTTACAAGCGGAATAATGCTTATAACTCTGAAGTAGTATCAGCTGAGCAAACTTTTGCACATGTGGGGAGGGGGGTATTGATGTCGGCGTCCTGTAACCTTATGTCATAGATATTTGATAATACGTTTCTCGCGTCCCTATAGCCTCAATTCAAGCTTAACAAGCTTTGGCCATAGAGCACAGTATTGAATCCATTCCTCCAAGTTACATATATTATTTCAGTTTCAATATAGAAACTTCGCTATATTTATTGACTTGTTCAATGTGTCAAATACTTTTACTATTTACTATCGCGAATGGATATTCTCAAAGTTCAAAACGTGTCTTCTTCTTTTAATTTTGTTGTACTTTTGGCAAGATTTGGAGTCGTGCGTAACTTGAACATATACATAAAAAAAGTCAGAACATTAATCTATATTCTGGATCATGGTTGTAGTTATTGATATGTAGCTGTGGGTTCCTCATCTTTTTGGGTGTGCACCTCAGCAACACAGGGGTATTTTGCCCTCGTAGTTCTATCATAGTTTTAAAATCTATACTACTATGTAGAAGACACTTGACAGAAATAATATTATATGAGTATATCTAAAAGGTTTTACCTATAACATAGAAAGAACACGAGAAGGTTACATAATAGGATATTAGTTAAGCGCATTACTAATGCCAAAGTAGGGTACTAATGAACCATTACGTAAGGAAGGTTACCTAATATATGAGAAGGCAATTGAAAGGAATTAAAATTACATAAATACGAGTCAATCTGACCTCACAACTTGAGTTAGAATTTATTTGTTCTGTATATTAAATAAGAATTAAAAAAAAACACTTACAAATGTAAAACAAAAGTAACTCATACATTTGCCTTACAACTAACAATCACCATAATAATAATCATTACTTACCAATAATTATTTCACATGCTCCTTAATCTCAATCTAACATCAATCGGCCCGCTACGGGTTAGATTCCGCAATATTTCGAAAATTAACAATCAATTTAAACATGATTACTAGCAAACTACAATTTTTATGCGTTTTATATATTCAGCTTTAAAAGACATTTTGTAACGAGGTAGGGCTTATGTCCGCGTAAATATTTATTAGTTGAGTGGCAGATTACCCTAAATCGTATTAAGGATATCTACTAACACTTGTTGGTATCTATGTTTGCTCTTATACCAGTTAAGGGATTACAAGGGGCTTATTAAATATATTGCGTGTATAGGAAGACTTGTAGTTCACTGATGGTGATGCTATAATCTTCAACGGCTTAATGTATATTTGAAATAGAATGATCGATTGCGATTATCTTGCTTAAACTTGACTGGTTTCTTTCAACTGAAAGATGAACATTAACATTTGGAGATAGGAGAGTCCCTTTTATAGGAGTGCTCTCTATCCCAGCTGACATGTGTGTGACGTCCATTTGGGTATGTCCCTCGTTGCTCAGGATCGGCATGCTGTGTCCCGAACAACTCATCAACCAGTGTCAGACGAGAGCTCTGATTAGTTGGATCTATACGATGTGTCGAGAGAACTTCGTTCTACGACTCTTTCTGAGTGTGATGCTCATTGGGCTGTCTTTATAGCTAAAGATGCCACTGTCATGGAATAAAGTGTCAGTAATGCCTAATGCGGTTTACTGATCTTATTCACGTGATAGTTCTATTGCAAGATGCTATCAGTAATGCATAAGATGCTAACGAAGGTTAGTTTACACCTTAGTTTTCATTTTTGATCAAGCTAAAGGGTTAACCTTGTTACACATTTTCACAAATTAATAGCGCAAGTGGTTTAGTGGTAAAATCCAACGTTGCCATCGTTGGGCCCCCGGTTCGATTCCGGGCTTGCGCAATTATTTTTTTGAAAATCTACTTCTTACCTTCGTATAAAGCGATATTTTGTTCTGTTTTTAGTACTTATACAAATATATTTAAAGAAACTGTCACAATGAATGCATACAAATCAATTATCCTAGGCTATACATTTTTAACTAATTTTGATTTTAATATTTTTTGATTGTGTCGTTATTGCACTTTTGGAAAAATAAAACTGAAAAAAAAAGAGTACGTTGCATGCTTTATATAAAAATACTTAATTGAAAATAATTTTTATAGATGAGGCCAATTTTATGTATCATATCAGAATAACTTTGCCATCTAATAATAAATTTTTAATTACGTTATACCTCATAACGTAAATACTATCAATGAATAATTCGACATCTTCTTCTAATTCTGGTATAATTACTTCATAAAAAAATTTATTATTTGAATCCTTTTTTAATAATGGATCACTATTTAACATTTTATCATTTGGTCCAATAACTTTAATGAAAACAAATTTATTCCAATCAGGTTCATCAATCATTGAAATTGTTCCTGTAGTATCATTAATTGCTTGTAATTCAGGAGGTAAATGTTTTAGAGTAGTATCATTAAATAATTTTAAAATCATTTCAGAATGTCGTTGATAATAAATCATTTCATCCTTTGATAATAAATCATCTAAGGATTTTAAATTTGAATCTTGTTCGATTTGTCTTAAGTAAAGGCTAAATTTATCGATTTTTGACAATCTACAACGAATATAACTTCTAATAATAAATTTAATTCTTTCTAATTCTGCTTCCATACATAACAATGGTAACATATTATTATTATTAATTGGCTTATTTGAATTATCAATCGTGTTAGAATTTTGACCCATGAAATCCATCGAAATAATTTCTAATCTTTCTAATTGATCTTGAATTCTCATTAACATTCTTGACATTAAATGATGTGGATAAGGTAATAATTCAGGTGAACATCTTTCATTTCTCCATAAAGTCATTAAACTTGAATAATCTTGTTCTGCAGAAATTTTAGTATTAGATCGTACCCCTGGAGGATTTTTATTTGTAGGAATATTTTTATCATCGGGATAAGATGAATTATAAAGGGTTGAGACATTAGTATTTGCAATATCACTTAATGGATTATTATTACCTGAATAATCTACAGCTGTAGAATCTGTATTCAATTCAGCTAAAATATCTTCAATATCCACGTCCATAACTAAAAATCAAGGACTCGTTGTCGATATTAGAACTATGGTCAAAAATAAATGAAAGATATAGCAAGTAGAATAGTAACGATATATCTTATGAATATGTTATTCAGCTGAAAAATATATATATTACTATCAAATCGCAATTCTCTCTGTCTTTACGTATAACGCGAGACCTTTGTTATATAAATTTTCAACGCGTTTTTTCAAAGAAGCTCACTATGTATGGGGATGGAACAAATACACCAAGATATATTGAGTACAGTGAGATGGGGGGTTGTTTGAAATAGTAGTTATTTGCAAGCCGCACGTATCGAGTGCACTAACGTATATCTAAGTATAATACAATGGGGACGGTAACAAGACGTCAAAGTACATATTATTATATTTTTATTCTTCTCTCTCTTGATCAGTTTCCCTTAGCAACATCCGCTCCCGTTGTTTACCTATTACAGCTTTTAATTGCAATATAATTAAAAATCAGTTCCTATATATATCCATTAATACCGTTCTGTATGCCATTTGCTTAATAATACACAACATACATCCATCCTCTTTCAACACGAGGTTGCAGTCCCTCCCTCTCTATACGCATAGCAAATTACCAAAGAGAGAGACAGAGCACCGTTCACAAACAATTTATAAATTTAGATGACTAAGCACCCTCAAAAAATGACGGAGAGACGGAAGAAGAAGGATAATAACGTAAGCATTTGAAGGGTGCGATCAACACTTCTTAAGTAAATCGTTGATACATTGTAGATAACTAATCCTTTAGTAATACAATTCTGGCATGATGAACTGTATCCCTTCTCGTTTGTTTCTGTCTCTCTCGTTCTTCTGGGGGGATTGGTTAACAATTCGCTGCAGAGAGAATTCAGTGAAATTGTTTTTTGGCAAAAAAAGTTTCAATTTTATTCGTTGAAATTTGAAAGGCAGTGGTTTACGTAATTATTATATAAGGAACCAAAGGGTTTGCTTAACTTTTCATAGATATATTTGGAATTGTTTGTCTCTTGGTTATAAGAACACCAATATACATACACAAGTATACATACACAAGTATACATACACAAGTATACACACACATACATACATACAAAAACATACATACACACAGACACACACAATGACTTTTATGCCAATTCCTCAAGCACTTGAACATTTCAAACAAAATAAATTTGTTATTGTAATGGATGATGAAGGTCGTGAAAATGAAGGTGACTTGATTTGTGCAGCTGAAAATGTTACTACAGAACATTTAGCTTTCCTTGTTCGTCATTCTTCTGGTTACGTTTGTGCCCCAATGAGCAACAAGGTTGCCGATAAATTAGATTTACCATTATTAAGAACCGGTATGAAATACGTTTCAAATGCTGATGATAGACATGGTACTGCTTATACTATCACAGTTGATGTTGCTGAAGGTACGACAACAGGTATTTCTGCTCATGATAGAGCTTTGACTTGCAAGAGTTTAGCTCAACCAAATTCTAAACCAACAGATTTTTTAAAGCCTGGTCATATTTGTCCATTAAGAGCCGCTGATGGTGGTGTCTTAAAGAGAAGAGGTCATACTGAAGCGGCTGTTGATTTATGTGAATTAAGCGGTTTACAACCTGTCGGTGTTATTTGTGAATTAGTTAATGATCGTGATGGTTCAATGATGAGATTGGATGATTGTAAAGAATTCGGTAAACAAAATAATATTCCATTAATTACAATTGACGCATTAGCTGATTATATCAAATCTCAACAATAAATTTTATCTGTTTTGTAATTTTCATGTCCTTAACATAAAATAAAATAAAATAAACTTTCAAGAATTATGTATATTTGTAATATTATAATAATAATAATATCATTTTTTCATCTTTAGAATATTTAAAATATTATAGTGATGCAATGGTTTTCTCAAATTCTATCAACAATTTATCACTCTTGAAATTTTGTTTACTGAATTAAACGTTTCCCTTCATATTAGGATCAAAACCAAACTTATATTTTTTATTAATAAACATTAAAAAATAAAAAAAAATTGTGAGAGAAAGGGATAAAATTCAATGAAAAAATTAGCCTCTTAAATGATAATATAGAACGTTTAAATACATGCAAAAATTCATACAGATTTAAGGAACAAGGTGCTAATACATTAACTAGTTTAATTTATATCGAAACGTCCATTACTTTACTCTACAATAGCTTATCCATCCAAATAAATTTTTTTTTTGAACTATAAAAAGGAAATATTGATAAAAAAAGAAAGAGATAACACTACATACAAACTAAACTCTCATAGACTGATACTACCACACATATAAGCGAGATGAACAGGATATTTGGGTACGGTAATAAAAAGAGTCATGATCAACTCATGAAGGAATCTAATCAAGCAATGACTCAGGCTCAACAGGGACTTCAATCAAGAATATCACAATTAGATACACAGATTTCACAAATAAATATGCAATTACAAACAATTCAAAAAAGATTAAGCAATGTTCGATCTCCAGCCGGACAAAAACCTTTAAGAGCACAAGCTTTAAAATTATTAAATAAAAGAAAAAAATTGGAACAAATGAGAGAATCTTTAGATAATCAAGATTGGTCAATGACTCAATCTAAAATGATGAGTGACACATTAGCAAATACAATGGTTAGTGTGAACGCTTTGAAACAAAGTAATATGGCATTAAAATCTCAATATGGTAAGATTGATATAGATAAACTAGAAGACATGCAAGATGAAATGATTGATTTAATTGAAAAGGGAGAAGAATTACAAAATGCTTTAAGTATGAATACAAATTCTTTGGATGTTGATGATATAGATGAAGATGAATTAGATGCTGAGCTGGATGCATTAGCGGAGGATGACCTGATGGGATTCAATGTAGAAGGAAATGATCTGTTAGATACTGGTGCAATAGGCGATGGTGTTCCATCTTATTTAAGTAACGCTATCCCACAATTTATCGATGAAGAACCACCAAATTCTTTGACTAATGACAAAGAACTTGAACATGCCTAGTTAATATTAAAGATACACACATATACACACATACCAATAGTTTTATATCATCCAAAACTTTCTTCTTCCTATTAGTACAATTTTCAGGACAAATGGTTTCTATGTTCAATACGTTTAAAATACTATATAATATTTATATGTAAAAAAAACAATCGGATAACTTAAAAATCCAAACAAAATAAACAGCATTTAGAAAACGTAACCGCCATATAATATTCCAATCATAAAAGTCAAATCAACACCTTTAAGTAGACACAAGGCATACTTTATTCGTATTATATTTATAGCGTACATACGTTGTGCCAAGCAAAGGTGTGGAAATAAAAACCTAATTAAAAGACACACACCTGAATTTTAATCGAAACGGTGATGACAGAACTGCATTCGTTACCGGACTCAGATTCTGAGGTAAGTGAACCTGAATACCTTATGAATACTAGAGAACGTAGATCAAATGCAGGGAATAAGATGAGAGCATTATTGGAACAAGAGCTTGGTGAAATGCAAAAGAGGACAGACCATTTTGATCAGGATGAATTAGATTTACTATTTAAAGAAGATGAAGAAGATGAAGATTTTGATGTACAATTCAATGGTAGCAGGAAATCCAAATCCGTAGATGAATCAGAAACTGAGGTAAACCAAGATGAAGATATGGCATTCAGTAGTGATTCCGATAATGACGAGGAAACAGTAGAGGAATCTGATGAAGAAGCTGCAATTCTTAAAGAAGAAAAATTACAACAGAGAAAGAGACAAAAGAGGAAACGTACAGCTAATATAATTAAGAAGAAAAGCAGTACAAAGAATGATACAACATCAGAACAACCGATAAAGAAGAGACGATACGATCCTGTCCAATTGAATCCCGAGAGTCTCTTACAAGCTGAAAGACGTACCTCTAAGAGATCATCTGTTGTGGCCAACAAATTGAAAGTTTATGAGAATTTGTCACAAGCAGAAGAAAAACGTAAAATTATTCAAGAAAGGTTAAGAAAGACAAGAGAGAAAGCTATCGAACATATACTTACACAGGAAGATAGAATGCGGATTGCCCTTGAAACAGAGAAATTTAATTTATTAAGTTTAAACAAATATAAAGAATTAGAATTATCTAAAAAACAATCAAGGTTAGCATTACAGCAAAGACAAAAACTTAAATTTAAACCTCAAGAAATTGTAGAAACGTTACTTTCTACCAGTTGGAATGTTTCTCCAGAAGTAGAAATCGAAGACGAAAAATATTGGTCTGAAGAACTTAAAAAAAGAGAGAAGAAAAAGAGAAAATATGTGAGAAGGGCTAAAAAAAAAGACACTGAGGATAGCATCGACCCAAAAGATACAAATAACTTAAATACAAAGAGTAGCAATTCATTAGAAGGAGTCGGGCAAAGCGAAACCTTATCAACTCAACCTACTGAGGGAAATAATGATATAAAAAATGTTGCTGAAAATGCGGAACCAGATCCTAAGATTAAATCTGCAATTCCTTCATTGTCTATAACCTCTGAGGAGACTAAAAATAATGATCAAACCAAGGAGACTCATCTAGTGACTACTCCAGAAACCGAGATACAGACCGAATCTAATTCTTCACCTAAGCCAGATAACAATATAAGCGAAACAATCGAAGAAACAAATGCATCAAAGACTTTGAATGAACAAAGCTCTACGATGCATGATTCAAGTATCAAGTTATCCGTGAATAGTCCTGATGTGGCAAACTCGGAGAAGGGGAAGAAGCAAGTAAGTTTCAATACAGAACCAAGCATAGCCATCATTGAAAATGAACCAAACCATTCTTCCCTAAAAAACGAGATATCCCTTTCACCAGGTTCACCTATATCATCGAATGAGAATACACCACCGTCTCTGATATCTGCTGAAGTAGATGACGTTGAAGAACCCAAACCAGTATACCAAGGTCCAGTTCAGCAGGTATCGAAAAATTTCATTACAAAATTTTCTATCACTCCTAATTTAGCTTTTTCAACCGAACTTGAAAGCCCTAATTTTTTTGACTATTTAAATCCTGATAGGGATCAACACGTATCAGATACATTTAAACCATTAATAAAATCAAGGATATCAGACTCAGACCTACTATTCGAAACGGACGGTATTGAAAATGAGAAAATTGAACTTGTTCCTAATCTAGACATATTGACAACATTTCGTATGTTTGGTGAATTTGATAGAAAGTTCGAAAAAGTTCTTAAGGCCACTGAAGTTAAAAATGAAGATCTAAAAATTACCACAGCTGCCCCAATGGGGATATACACCAGCAATAATAATGTCAAAAAGTCATGTCTCATCAACAACAGAAGTTGTAAATATTTTGACCCCAAGCTGGGCGTACCATATTCTGATTTAACTAGTTACAAGATTATTCAAGATCTTCAGAATAGTGCAGAAACAATGGAATATCAATGGTTTGGATTTAAAAATGGTGGAATATATCTAAAAGTTAAAGAAAGACATGCAAGGGGTGTTCCTGAAGGATTTTAGGGAGAAATAGAATACACGTATGGACTTTACAAGATTACATACCTTTCATAAAAAACAATATATGTTATATATAAGTACTTTAGGGATAATAGAACTATTAACTTATGCATTAATTATTTATGTTTTATTAAAGGCCTCTACTAATGTCTTGTAGTGGAATGCTGTGTCTTTGAGAATAGGGTTGTCATTTTCCATCTGGCCAATTTCATTAGCTTCTGATAACAATAAATTCTGTTGTTCTAACATATTGTAAAGATGCATATAATTAACCGAGAGAAATTTCTCTGGAGAATCTAATGTTTTGCTAAACTTTGTTATAATTATCTCGAATACGTTTCGTATTCTTATTATTGAGTTGTACAAAGGTTCTGATGTTTCGTCTGCACCTTGCTCAATAGTATCTATATTTGTAACTGATTCGTCTCCTTCAATGGTGGCTAAACTCTCACGACTGGAATTGGCATTTTCAGGTACTGCAGATGTTGTGAGTATTAATAAACTTTTAAGAAAATAAGCAAAACTAATTGTCAAATCATTCGGCGAAGAATAAATCGTTTCTTTCTTCAGTATAAGTTGGCTAACATCAACTGTATTCAATGACTCGACTTGCCAGTCAATTAACTGCTGAAATTTTGGCCACAAGAGCATTAATTGATCCTCCATGTAATCTTCGATTGCTGCGATAGACCTCTTTCTACTCTCAATGATCAGTTGATTTGCTACCCTAATGATAATCAGCACACCAAATATATCATAAACATATTGGTTAATTAATACATTTTCTGTGTACACTAAAGCCTTCTCAAAAGTTGGTTTAAATATTTGTTCCAATAGACCATGTATTTCTGCGACATTATCTGAAATTTGAAAAAAGTTCTTCATAAAATTAAATTCAACAGTGAAATTATCTAGAATTCCCAAATTTAAATTTTTGAAACCTATCTCTATAAAGTTAACATTGTTGTTATGTTCTGCTATTTGCGAGACCATCACTGTATTGTCCTCCTGTGTTAAAATTGTCAACCTTTTTAATATTTGAAAATATTCGTTTATCATATCATTTGTAACCGTGGTAGCAAAATTTGAACCAAGATAGTTACTAAAAAGCGTTGATGCATAACTGCCTCCACCATTAGCGTTGCTACTATTGATCAACACATTTCCTAACGAATACTGAGTGTCAATATTCTTAAATTGCAAAATCGTTAGAGATCTAATGTAACGACCAAAATACTCTTTGTAATACCATTTCATGGTGTATGCGTACGCTTGACGAATTTCCAATGCTAATGAATAGTTATTTTCAATAATAAATGAATATATCTGTTTCACATGTAGCATTTGTTGCTGTACACGTTGCGACGGGATGGGGCGTCCACTTCTGAGAAGTTTAATCCTTGATATTATAAATTTTTTAGATCTCTCGAGAATAATATTTTTCAATATTTCTAATAATTCACATAGGTTATCAAAATCCTTTGGTAATATAGTCACACTAGAATTACTATCATGGTTTGATTCGGAATTACTCCTTTCCTTTTCATACTTGGCGTATATTTCTTCCTTATCCTTAATAAATAATATATTATCCTGCCACGATGATGTTATTTTATCATGTATGATAGATTTTATAATTTTTGGAGGAATTATTAAATCATTTACTAGTGGGCTAATTTTTGAAAGTTTTCGAGAGTTATTATCCAATAGATTCTTCAATTCTGCAGATTTATGTCTAATAAATCTTAATTCGGTAGTGAAATCAGAGAGTTGTGAATTAAAATTCTTCAAATATGCCTGTAGTTCGGGAATAACATTTTCAATTGATTCATTGACTTGTGTTTCCTTATTTTGTAAAGCTGTAAGATCTTTTGTCAGAGTATGCCCATTGTTCAAAGATGGATGACTTTTTGTAAACTCATTTGTGTTATCAATAAATGACTTATATATGTCCTGTTTATCTTGAGAAGTATCTAAAGTGACGTCTTCAATATTTTCGACATCTAATAGTGTGTTTAGAATATCCATACCGATGACGATTCGTAACGTTAAAAACACTAATATTTAAAAATTATTGTTCCAAATAAAGTTCATCAAATAAAGATAAATCAATTAATGAACTCCTCAATATATAATTATGAAGAATTTAATGGACAGAGTTTAATCAACTTGTCTTCCTCCATCATCAATAAGCATCGTTAAGAAGAATTCTATTTATTTCCAACTTTAAGTGAATAACTGTTAACATAGTGTACACCCATACACCCTAGTGTCGAGTGAACGAACAAAAATAAAGGTCGTACCCGGATTCGAACCGGGGTTGGTCGGATCAAAACCGACAGTGATAACCACTACACTATACAACCTAATAATTTATAATTTTGTGGTATTTTGATACTCAGATCAAAGTCTTAAAATCATATATTGGTTTTTTTCTATTTCTATATAAATCCATTATATAAGCGAGAGACTCATAATCTGAGATAAGCACTCTTTATATAAGATATAGAATTATATACTTAATATAGTTAAGCTCGTTTACTCCTCTAATTCCGTGTTATGTTTACCTTGTTTCATATTTCTTAGTCATTGTAAATCATTCCGTTTTAGTTCATTGTTAGGTTTTAGACATGCTTCAACCTAATTGGTTGATTCGTTTGAGTCTCCATTCGTTAGTACGTGACAAAGTGTCACTTAACTTTTAGTCTGTTTCAAATACAATAAATTTCAGGGTGATGGAGGCTTATAGAATAGATCAGAAAAATTGAAATTTTGGTGTCGAAATAGTAAAATACCTCACTTTCTTAGGGTAGGTTTAGCTTGTAAAAGAATACGGGAGATGAGGCGTGTGATCAGATATGGAAAATACAGCTGAATAGTGGATAAGCGTCATGGAAAGTTACATACAAAGGATATGAGTGGTGTAATTTTACATATTTTCGTCATTTCATAAATTATTTAAAACAAGGATATATATCAGAGGTCATGAAGTCAAATACTCACTCAAGGGGTAAGTAGTCAATGAACAGAGAGTGTATGTAATATGGGGTATAGCAGCTCGGTAAATACCATAAACTAATGGGAGGGCAAATTGTTACATCTAGATATGAAACCAATGTGATGAATTCATCAGTAATGATTGAGAAGATTCGTCTAAATACAAATGGAGAACAGGACATTAAAACATATAAATAAGCTTAATATCGGAGAATTACAACATAATGTGACCGTCAATATTAAATGATGAATAAATAAGCACACATATCTTGTAAATTAAATAACATAATAAAATAGATTATTTATCACATTAAGGGGTAGCATGATGAATCATCACTAACAGATAATAATTAAACGAATAGAAATATATTCGAAAAGTATATCTCAGAGACTCTGCTCTAATCGCGGTACAAATGTTAAAACTATGATAGAACTACGAGGGCAAAATACCCCTGTGTTGCTGAGGTGCGCACCCAAAAAGATGAGAGACCCACAGCTACATATCAATAACTACAACCATGATCCAAAATATAGATTAATGTTCTGACTTTTTTTATGTATATGTTCAAGTTACGCACGACTCCAAATCTTGCCAAAAGTACAACAAAATTAAAAGAAGAAGCCACGTTTTGAAATCACTCAACATTCGATAACAACTACAATGTTCTAAGGCTACCTCGGTTAACCTGTCCCAAACCAAGTGACTAATGAAACAATTTGTTCCATAAATTATCTATTATTTATGCTTTGACTTCTCTTCTTTCACTGCAAAAGAAAATTTTAGAAATCCGAAAATCGACAGTGCGGAGTGTAACGAACTTTAAGGGTCATTGAGTGATATATTTATATATAAAGGGAGCCCCCGATGAAGGAAATAATAACAGGCAGATACTTAAATACATACACATAGAATCTCAGTGACTTATTGTTATTAATAAACACTACAGATATTTAAATACTGAAGTGAACATACATGACGTGGATGTCTGATCTTCCTGCTATTGAATTGACCAGGCCAATCATTAGTGAACTTACAGGGACCCTCTCGATATCATGTTGGATTATTGTTTTTATTCCACAGATATATGAAATTTACAAGACGAAATCTACTAGAGGACTTTCTTTACATTTTTTGGTGCTATGGCTTATTGGTGATATATTTAATTTGTTAGGATCACTGATACAGGGATTATTATTCACTGTGATTTTATTAGCTGCATATTATACTTTAGCAGATTTAGTATTAATTATGCAATACCTTTGTTATCAACAAAGGGAAGAACAATCAAATAATATAGGTATAAGAAATCTCTCTAGTAACGAAGATTTTGCTGATATGGAACCTATCTTATTATCACCAACAACATCGCATATTGATGAATTAGAACCATTACTTTCCGATTTTGATCCTCATAGGAAAAATAATAAAAATAATTTAATCTATAATACATCTGCAGTTATTACTGTCCTTGGTGCAGGTTTCTTGTCATGGTATATTTCATTTATAAGAGAATCTCGTAATGGAATTGAAAAGGAACCAATTTCACAACCACCACACTTAACCGTTAATATATGGGGGCAAATATTTGGATATATTAGTGCAATATTATATTTAAGTTCACGTATTCCACAAATTCATTTAAATTATAAAAGAAAATCATGTGTTGGTATATCATTACTATTTTTCCTTTTCGCTTGTTTAGGAAATATACTTTTCATTATATCTTTATTAGTAATATCAACAGATTATCAATACTTATTAATAAATTTGTCCTGGTTGTTAGGAAGTTCAGGTACGTTATTAATGGATTTAACTATCTTTATACAATTTTTCATATATGATGACCATGATAGTCATCTCAAGAAACCAAATTCTGGGTATTCTAGTACATCGATTAACACGAAATTAAAAACACCTTCTCAAGTATATGATGATATTGACGATCTAGACGATTCAGTTGTATGACACAGTACACATATTTACAATACTTCAAACATCATTCCTTCTTCCTCTTCTTTGCATTTAATGAACATATCTATCTATCTATCTAATTTTTTCTTTATTATTAGTATTAATAAAATAATGACATCTTCCTTTTTTTTGCCTCGTCCTTTTTTCTCATTGTCGAGGAATAAACAAAAGCGACACAAAATCAAGAAATTAAGCAAACAAATTTTTGATAATTTTTTCTTCTTAAATTCAAATAATTTAAACTTTGAAACAAAATCTACAGTTTAAAAAGTTTACATTCGAATTTTGACCCTCCAATACTTTCGTTTACTTTAATATTTCTCAACTATTAATATTAAGGAACCTGAGAAAAGATTACCAATATTTTTGAGAAATATGACTCATTTCAATAAACTTTCTGCATTAGATAGTCTGTTTGATGAAAATGACAATATTTCAAATTTTAAATTATCACCATCTACCTCTTTATTGTCTAAAGAAAATGTGTCCATTAATGATAATAAAAAAATATATGGTACAAATGGTTTAGCATCATACGTTAATAAGAAGAAAAAATTGTCGTTCTTTAACTTTGATAAAAATGAGAAAAAAAGAGTTAAAGATGATGTTATTAGAACTTTCTCGAAAAGAGGCACAGAAACGAAAAAAAAATGGTTAAATTTACTTGAACAAACTTCAATTAGAAAGACATTAGCAAATGGGAATCCATCTTCAAAGAAATCAATCAACAGTCCATATAGAACAAATTCCACAAGAGATTCATTTAGAATTTTCTTTGATAATTTTAAAGATACTTCGACAAGGAGTTCTTTGAACTCAAAGAGTAAACATACCAAGTCAATTGATGAAAACATTTCAAAGGATAATCTTAAGAATTGGGATCATGATGATTCCACTGATCATATATTCAAAGATGCAGTGGATTATAATCTTCCAGTCGCACCACAGCTAGTAAATATTAGAGATATCGAACACGGCTTATTTCACAACGCAACAGTTCAATCTACGAGTGGTATTGATAATACTGAAACTTCGACAGACAAGAAAGATCAATTAACTTTAAAAAACAATACAATAAATAAAATATCTGATAAAAAAGAAGAGTCTTGTGTTATTAATATCAATGAAACAGAGAGTGGCGAAATAGAACAATTTCAAGATTCCTTGCTTAGAAGTTCTGTGATATCTGGCTCACCATTAAAACGTAAAATGATAGAGATGGATGCTAGAGATCCATATAAATTTGTTTTCGAAACTCCAAATAAATATAGTCCAAATTCTGATTTTGCTGACAAAGAACAAATAATGGATAATTTAAAATCAGTTTGGAGATTATTATCTACAGAGAATGATGAAAGAAATAATACATTTATTTCTACAGTTGATATTCAAGAATTAAGTGAAATGTTAATTAATGTAACAATAACAAAATTAGATTATCATGAAAGAAAACTTAATGATTTAGAGAAGCAAATAACAGAGAAAGAAGTTAAACAAAACTTTAAATTCGTTTCAGAAGATACATTTAATGAATTAAAAAAAGAAAATTCGGTGAAAGAGGCAACAATTGGAAGGTTAGAACTCGAAAAGCAATTAGATAAGAATAAAATAGATCAATTAACATCAAATTTACGCAAACTAAAACTACAAGAACAAGCTAAAAATGAAGCAACAAATCATATAACGGCAACAAGAAATCATAAAACAAAATTAGACGAAGCCAAAATAAAAGAACTTAAAAAACATTTAAAAACTTTATCATTTTTCAAGGATATTTCCATTCAATTCATGAAAAATTTATCACAGAGATCAAAAAATGTATTACCATATCAAACAAATAAAACTTTTGAGGATAAACTTGAACTATTAAATTATAATATTTCACTTGATCAAGAACTAATAAATGATTTTACTAATGATAAAGAATTTGAAAAATCAAAGACATTGATAAGCCAGTTTTTTTCAGAAAATACAAATATACACATATCAAATGTACTTCTCATTAGGTATGGCCAATTATTTAGAGCAAATAAATTTTTAACGCAAGAACTTGCAAAATTTAGAAACAAGACTCAATTAAATTTCCTACCCCAAAGTACAGCTGAGAATGATGATACGCCAGATCAAAAGAAGTTTAAGACACAAAGGCGAATTGTCTCTACACTGCATGAACAAAATAATATTTTCGGGAACCAACAAATTATAGCAAGATACTGAAAAGTAGAGTTAAGCACATTGAAAAACAACCACATTCGCTATCTAATAAGATGTTCAAGGTAAAAAGAAGCTGTCCTTGAGATAAGTATAATATCTTTAAATAAGTTAGAAAACTGGTTATATAGAGATCAAAATTGAATAAAATTGACAAATAAATACAAAATGGAACTGGTTATCTCCGCCCGGAAATAATAAACCCTCATAATGTGACATTCAAAAACAGACTCAGCTTTGAATGTGTTTATCTCCGACCCCGGACAATATTTCCTTAAAGGTCCGACAGGCAAACATGAAAAATTATTGTTTCAAGCTTATATAAGGGTTGATAATATTACTGAATTACTAGATCTCCCAAAGTTTAAAAGATATTCATTTCAATGTTTCAATTGAGACAAGTTTACTATATATCAAAATAAATATATAACGACCATTTTCTACAATGCTACATCCTCAATCAACAGAAATTTCATTCAAGTTAAACAATGGTGTTAGTGTACCAGCTTTAGGGTTAGGTACTGCGTCTCCTGCCGATAGATATTCCGAAACAAAGGAAGCTGTCAAAGCTGCTATCAAAGCTGGTTATAGACATATTGATACAGCTTGGTGCTATGGAACTGAGCCATATATTGGCGAAGCCCTTAAGGAATTATTCCAAGAAGGAGAAATAAAGAGAAGTGATGTCTTCATTACTACTAAAGTTTGGCCTGTTTATTGGGATAAAGTGAGTGAATCCCTGGATGAATCTCTTGAAAGATTAGGTATTGATTATGTTGATATGTTTTTACATCATTGGCCACTCTGTTATCCTAAAGTTGAGGATCTAGTCAATGGTATTAGTGATTTATCTAGAAATCCAGTGGATTCTATGAATAACCCAATTTATGATCCAAAGGGTGATTGGTTACAAACTTATAAAGATATGGAAAAGATCTATTTAGACCCATCCGATCATAGAGTTAGATCAATTGGTGTCTCTAATTATCCAGTTGAATACCTTCAAAAGGTTTTGAATCAGTGTAGTGTTAAACCAGTTGTTAATCAAATAGAGATGCATCCCCGTTTACCTCAATTAGAATTGAACAAATTTTGTCATGATCATGATATTTTGCTAACTGCTTATTCACCATTAGGTTCTAATGGTGCTCCAAACATTAAGATTCCATTAGTTCAAGAATTATCTAAGAAATATGGCGCCTCTGCTAATGATATTTTGATATCTTACCATATTAGAAAAGGTAACCTCGTTATTCCAAGATCTTTAAACGCTCAAAGGTTAGCTACTAACGTTGGATTTGTTTTCTTAAGTGAAAGTGATATCCATGATTTGGATAATGTTGGTAAAACTTCTCCTTACAGATACATCGATGAAGACTTTGCTGCTGTTGTCCCCGGATTTACTGGAAGAGATAAGGTTGTTGGTTAGATAACATATACACTTTAACTTTCTTTTCCTTTGATTATCTATCTATCTATATTTTATTTCATTTATCTAAATAACGAACGAACTTAATACGAAGTATGAATGTATCTCTCTCTATACATATAAATTAATTAAAAAATCTCTACATATTCAACTCTTCTAATGTTTTATCAAATGAGAAATTTCGATCGTAGAAAAACTCACTGTATGCAAAATGATTGAAGAAACCATCATCATTGTTGAATAAACTATCACGCGATTCTGGTTCATTCAAAGTTTGTTGGGTTGAAGAATATGTATCCCATTTAAAGGGATGCATAGACACTACATCGTAAAGATCCTTGAGATTTGGAGTAGGGTTTCTAGTCAATTGACTAGAACTCAATAAATATTCATCGGATTCAAGTAGCTCTAAAAATTCTTTAGTAATATCTGTCAATATCATATTTGAACCGTTCCCGATGGTACTAGTTATGCGTGACTTGAAGACAGATACTTCATTTTCCTTTATTTTTTTCATTAAATCAGTCAATTTTTGAATAGTCTTGTCATAATCTTCAGGATGGAAGTCGTAAGAATCAGCAAGATCATTTTTACTATTGAATGAAAGCACAACCGATTTCATTAAAAATGCAAAAATGAATAAATCAGCAACAAATTTAACACTATCAGATACAAAATCTTCTTCAATAAATTTAATCATGTAGTCAAATGTCTTTTGCAAACTTTTAATAACTAAAGCATTTGCAATAAATTTATCTTTATGCCCTTGGTTATCTATAACATTAAGAATAAGGGTGAAAATTGCGCACATAACATACTCACGGATCTCTAAGTATCTTATTGATACATTTGAAAAGTTACGAAATATAATCAATATTTGTTCAGCTGAATCTAAATACTGACTTTCAAATGCTATCATAAGTTTTTTAGCATCCTTCTTTGATCCCATACTTGCTTCAACATTATCACGGATCATACCAAGAGCAAATTGTGCAACAGTTAAAGACAAAGAATAGAAATGAAGATGGGATGTAAGGACTCTAGTACAAAGACCCTCATATTCGTGATCAATATCTTTATCTCTTTTCTTCAATTTTAATAATATAAAATATTCCTCATAAGAATCCAGTCTCATTGCTGGACTTAACGATTCTAACCAAATACGTAAACGATCATTTATATGTACCACTTCATCAAATTTCTCCTCAAATGAGACATTATTTGTAGTGTTCACATAAAAACATGCTTTATAAACAACTCCGTCTAGCTCAAAAAGATGAAATCCATGATAATTAAGTACGAATGGAATGTATTCGGGATAGGAGACGAGAATGTCAATACGTTCTCTTGTATCTGAACATTTTAATATCTTTTGAAGATCTGCCTCTGTTATGCTACTTTTTTTACCGTTTATTAAAGTTGATGCTGAATGAAAAGAAATGACCTTATCGAAAATAGCGGTGTTTGCGTCACCAACTTTAAAATCTAGAAATGAGTCCTTTATCAAAAATGGTTTTGATAATTTCGATGCTAAACTTCTGTCTCTACAGATTAAATATGCCCAAATACCCATCTTAGTGACAGCCATATTTGGCGACATATTCTGATATGTTTCATCCCTATTCAGACCCAGTGCTAATGCAACACGTTTTGCCTGCTCTAAGATCTCGTATGCAATTTGAGTATTTAACATCAGATGACATAACTTTGATAATACTAAAAGACCTTTGAGGTATAACAAATCCGAAGATCCTTCGTTTGATATATTATAGAATAACATCAAATTACAGAACATCTGTGTTCCAAGATCTTTTAAAACCTTGATGTCGGGTAGAAATGGTCTGTTTACCCCTTGGAAGATGGCAAATTTCAAACCACCAAAGATGCAAATACACATAAAGAATGTTTCAGAGAAGCTCAATGTTTCAGGTCCGTTAATATAATATTTTTGCGATATTTGGAAAATTTCCATCGAAGAAATATGATCTATTAATGAAGTATGAACAATTGATTCATAGAAGCACCTCAACAATATATCGGTTGTATCTCTCTCTGGTAAAGGATACATATCCAGTTTATTAGTTCGATTCAGAAATGATGAGAAATTTACAATTCTTTTTTTTTGAATTGCATACCATTTTATTGAATGATCGAACATTGCTTCAAGAGGTTTAATATATTCTTCTGGTGATTCTTCCGTTGGGGTTTCTCTTAAGATCCACTTCATAACTAAAGGAGTTATTAAACTTTGTGAGTATTTTCTCGGTACCATTCTAGTTACAAATTGGTATTCATTAAAAATAGTACCATCCGTTGAAACCAATTTGTCAAGCATTGGTTTCATATTTTTAGCAATATCCTCTGCAACCTTGACTTTTCTATCCATTTTCTGAACTCTATTATCCATTATTTTAATAAATTTCTTAACCCTTGAATCACCTGAATTGGCTAACTCTGTAGCCAATTCAATGTCATCTACAACAATATCAGCATCTGCCGAATTGGATTCTGTACCATTATGATTTTTCGCAGTTGGTGATACCTCTTTTAAATGAGCTTCACGTTTTTTCCTCTCCAATTCCTCATGAAAGAAAAAAGTACACTCAAAATCATTTTTGAAACAGTTTGTGCATTTTTGCGTATCTGGGTTAACAGGATCACATCTAATTTTTCTTTTCCTACAATAATCACATGCTCTTGTGACTCTTCTCTTTCCTACATGTTGTACGTGTTGTTGGTGTTGTTGCAGCTGTTGCTGTTGTATATGTTGCTGTTGCGTAGGATATTGTAATTGCATCGGTACTCCTTGAAATTGTGGATTTGTATTATAAAGATGCATCATATTCATATTATCATGTAGTTCTTGTGAACGAAACAAATATGGGTCTTGAACCATGGTAGGTTCCATTGTTTGATATGGTTGATATTGTGGACCCATTGCACTTCTTACGGTTGAATTCATCATTGCACCAGCAAATGATGTTGGATTCATTATATTTGTAGAATTGTTAATTAATCTTCTAGGCAAATAATAAGATGATGTCCCTATGTCAGTTGTCGATTGTTGGTTCTCTGGAACATTTGACTGATATATACCACTTGGGTAAGGATTTGCCGAATTAGTAATTCCTGGAGGAAGATTTGCATTGAAATTAGCACCGATTCTGGTGTGTGTAGTTCCAATATTTATAATATCATTACTGATACCATTGTTATAATTTATTCCAACATTTGTGTTAGAGTTTTGCGCGAGTTGACCATAAGGATTATTATTATTAGTGTTATTTTTGTATAAACCTATATTGTTATTTGACAACGGATTTAGTAAAATGCCATTATTATTACTATGGGTAGTATTAGTTTTATTATTGTAATTTGGATCTTCTAGTCTCATGATTACTAAAGTTGTGTGTGTGTGTTTTAAATTATTTTAGTCTTTGATTATTCAAAAAAAGAGGTATATCTCAAACACCTATAAAATCTATCAAAAAAAGAAAAGAAAAGAACTATCTGCCACTAGAAATTAATCATTAACAAAAAAAAATATAAAAATGGGATATATGTGGAGAAGACAGCAGTATCGTATATTTGGTATTCTGTTATCAATTAATACCAACTATAAATCAAATGGAAGTTATCGATATTTTAGGATGTTCCAAAAAATGAACAAATAAATAAAAGGCAAATTCCTTGTAGTTGGTAGCAATCCTTAAAGTGTACCCTAATCACACAGTTCTAAAAATTCTTCTACTTAAGAAAGAATACAACTACCGATTGATAAACCCTATCTATTCTATTGTTATTATCAAAATCAGATTTCTCTCTCATTGCAAATTTCAATTTTTTCAAATTTCTTTGAAGAAATAATAACAATAAACAAAAAAAACGGTTTAAGCCGTCGGGTTTACGAACCGAGAAAGGTGCAGATAATTTATGTAATATTTCAGATGGTTATAGAATATTTGAAACTCGATATTTGGATTAGAAGAAGGAATGAAGGTTGTTGGTCTGGTTGTTGGAACTTTGATTGTGACGCCTAGAAGGTTGGAGCTGTTGTTTGGCAAATATGGGTATTACAGATTTTTTTAGAGGTGATCGTACTGCTGTCAGTAAGGTTGAGGCTGAGCAAGTGAATGCTGTTGCATTAGCTGAGATTCAAAAGGAGATTGAAGTATGTAAGAAAGAAAAGGATGATAATGGTGATGAGACAGGATCTGAATGTTCAGGTGGTTGTGATAGTGAGGACATCGAGAATGGTGAAGCTGTCTTCTCTAAATTACAAATTGATTATGATACCCCGTTATTGAATTCATCAAAATGTCCAAAATTACATTTTGTTGTTCCTAGTTCAAAGATTGATTGGGCTCATGATGCATGTATGGAAAATGTGGATTCTGTAGAGTATAAGATTAGTAAATGGTGTGAATCACATATGGAACAATATGAAAAGATTGGTGAGGGCCAAAGTTTAACATGCAGTGTAACTTCACAACCAATTGATATAATGGATATTGATGTAATGAGACATAAGAAGAATAATGTTTTAATCTTACCATATTTTATTTGGATTAATGATTTGAAAGCAGATCGAGTTGATGAAACATTGAATGAATTGGTTCCAATTATATTAAATAAAGAATTAACTAAAGAACAAGTAATTGAAAGATTCCCAAACATTTCATTGGCTAGTGATAAATCCTTTGTTTTCATTTGTTCACATACAACAAGAGATAAAAGATGTGGTGTTACTGCACCATATATGAAGAAAGTATTGGATAAACTGTTGCAAGCACATGGTTTATATCGTGACAATTCGGATTTTAGACCCGATGGTTGTAGAGTAACTTTCATAAATCATGTCGGAGGTCATAAGTTTGCTGGTAATGTCCAAATATACTTAAGAGATACACAGACTTTAATTTGGTTAGGACGTGTTACTCCTAAATTCTTGCCTACCATTTTTGAACATTTAATATTACCTGAGAATCCAACTTTACCATTACCTGAAAAGGTTAGATGTGTTAGAAAATATCAGAAATGGTAAATAAAAAAGTTTCTCTATCAAATAGGTAACTCTTCTCTCTCCCTTAAATGCATATGTACATATATATATATATATATATAGTATAAGCAATGAAATAAAAGATATTCACGTTCATGTATAGTGTCCATGTCTGAAGAGAGATGCCCATCACTTCAACTAAATAAAAGGGTTTGTGTCTGTCTGTCTGTCTGTTCACGTTTTTTTTTTGCCAAGGCGATGGATGGTGCTCGGTAACATTTTTAATTTTTCACCTTTCAAAGATAGATGAATAGGCATCGACTATTTCAATGAAGGGGGGAGGGAGAGAGTCAGCATATTATTAACATATATATGCCGATATCCACTATCACGTCGATTAGTCGTTTGCAGAGATATCATCACTCAAATACCTTATCTCCGCCCCCCTCCATTTACCCAAAGAAAAGTCATGTCTGACAGTGAAGACACCTCCTCAAATGATTATAACTCATCTAGTGAAGAAGAATCCAGTTCTGAGGATGAAATTGTGCTTCATAAACCTATCTTCTTAAAACGTAAAGGAAAGGATCTTGATTTGAATGATTCTGAAAGGGAAGCAAAATTACTTAAACCAGGAAATCCCAATGATTCAGAACCAGATCAATTATTAAAGAGGATTGATTTTGAAAATAATCAAGCTAATAAAAGAGAAGAAATGGCATCACAAATAACTAATGATTATACTACTGATAAGGATTTACTTCGTCGAACAATCCTGTTAGATGATGATGATACAATTGATCCAGAATATGAAAAACAGGAATGGTTGAAAAGAAAGAAAAATAGAGAGAAATATCAAAGAGATAAACTTGTGGCCAAACAATTAGAATTTGAAACTAAAGAGGCAAACAAATTAAAGTCGAAGGAAATAAGTAACAAAGATTTAACATCTCAAAATACAAACTTTAATTCCGAAAAGACTGCCACCCATAAAACAACAGATAAGAATTCTAAATTGGATAACTCCAAAAAAAATTATAAGCCACAGGTTGCTCGTGATCATAACTTTGGTACATCCATTGGATCAAAGGAAGATTCAAAGATCGAAAATGAGTATTCTATATTGTAAATTTAGTGACTTTGAATAATTATTTATAGTCTTCATCGCACTCTCACTGACTCAATATTAATTTTATTTCATCTTTTTTACCTTTTTTTTTCGCAGTGCAGAAGAACTGTTTACGCTATGAGAAGAATCACTGATAGATTTTTATTAGCAGGCTCAGTATAAGAGAGGTTTTAATATAGACGAACAGAGAGTTCAAAAAAAAGCATACATTGCCTCTGTTATATTTATAAGATGTCTTTAGATCCTATTAAGCCGGATTTAATTCCCTTTCTATCCTCTTATTTACCTCCTAGACAGCATGATACAAAGGAGACGAAACCATTCGTTACACTAACATACGCACAATCTATTGATGCTCGTATATCTCTAGGACCCGGTATTAGAACTACTATATCAGACGTCGAGACGAAAGTAATGACACATTATTTACGTTATCATCACGACGCAATTCTAATTGGATCCGGGACAGTGTTGGCAGATGATCCTGGATTAAATTGCAAATGGCATAGAGATACTAGAGATTCTAAAATGGATGAAAATTCTCCAAGACCTGTTATATTGGATCCCTCTCAAAAATGGAGATTCAAAGGCTCAAAGATGTATGATTTATTTAAAAATGGTGAAGGTAAACCACCGATCGTTGTTGTTCGTGGGAAACCCCGGTTAGAAGAAGAACATGTTAAGTATCTAATAATGGAAAGTACACAAGAGAAAATTGATTGGAAGATATTGATTGAAAGACTTTCGAATGAATTTGGAATTAAATCAATTATGGTTGAAGGTGGTGCATTTGTTATTAATGATTTATTACTTAGAGATGATATTGTAGATTCTTTGATTGTTACTATTGGTTCTACTTATTTAGGGGAGAATGGTGTACAAGTAAGCCCCAAGAGTGCAATTTCATTAATGGATGTGGATTGGTGGAAGGGTAAAAAGGATTCAATTATGGTAGCAAGATTAGAACCAGAAAAGAATTGATTTTATATATTTTATATTTTTTGCCTTTCCCACCTAGGGTTTAATTATATGAAACAACAGATATGTAATACAAAAAAAAGTTAATTTAATGATTCTAATGATAATAATATACTAATAATATATGCCTACATACAAATTCTGTAACTTGCGTAACGACCGGATGTTTCACTCTTTCTGATGATCTTGACGACTTCACCTCTCTTCAGACCCAAATATAATGCTACAGGATCAGCTCTTTGGATTCTTGGTAGTTGAGACTCTTTTAATCTATATCTTTTCAATAATTCAACTTTTTCTTCCTCACTTAATCTGATATGTTTTGGAACCAATTCGTGGTGTGTAATATTAACAATCAATGAGGCTTCATTGAAAGTTTCAATTGTAGCTGGTGGTATCGATGGAACCAACTTCATAGCACTTGGAGTGATATTGTTTTGATAAACAAAGATACCTGTTTGGTAATTCTTTTCTTGAATATGTATGACAAAAGTCTTCATGGTCTTAACACCAACACTGATTTCGTCACAGAATTCCACCCACATACTACCCATATCTGGGAACTTTGCAATGGCTTCCTCTATTGGGTTTGCTTGGAAGGACATCTTTTTACGTTCTGGTCTACCCATTGGGTCTGTGTAATTAGCTTTGAAATCTTCCAAGGACAAATCGATTTCTTCTTGTGTAATGAAATAACCTCTATCTCTGACCATCTCCTTCACGGTTCTAAAGGTTCTCCATAACCTACTAATGCTTCTTTCGTTTTCTTGATCCATTGTGTTTTGTGTATTGTTGTTGATAAACGGGACTATGCAATGTTTATATATATAACCCTTTCTTCTGACTGGTCCAAGGAAGAATAACAAACAAGTGGTATAATTATGTAATAAACTTTAATAGTTCACTCTCTAGAGCCTTGATTCTAATATAAAAAGCTAAAATTCACTTTAGTAAACTATGTTAGTTAGCATGGTGATGACCTTTCTTGAAATATTCTCTCTGTAAATTATCTGAAAAAAAAATTTTGAAGTTCAGGAAAGAAGAGAAAAAAAAATTCGAGAAAAATTTCAGGCGGTCGGACAAACCCAAAGGGCACAACGTATAAGGTGATAATAATAATGTCATACAAAGATATAGAACGTAATAAAGAATGCCTGTTGTCTCAGGATGAAAAGAAGTTGTTAATTTGACGTGTAATTAATATTATTGTATTTACATGTTACGAATGTATATGACGTTTGTATATATATATACCTCTCATTGTCTTTCTTAAAGATAATTTTACAAGGTGAGATCTTCGAGACGCTAAAAGTGATAGTCAAGTGACTATCTCTTGACCCATGTTGGAGATTTTCTGGCCTTAAGCTTACCAGGTTTCTTTCTCTCTACACGTCTGTAATCTGTGGTTAGACAGCCAGCTCTGTGTAATCTTGTCTTTAGCAAAGGGTTGAAAGCAATTAGAGCTTTACCAATTGCCAAACTAGCGGCATCTGCTTGACCAGTTGGACCACCACCAGATGTAGTTACAAAGATATTGTAATTTCCAATGGCATTTATAACTTGTAATGGGTACATGACAGATTCCCTATCCTTTAATTTCACAAAATAGTCATTTAATTGTCTGTTATTCACTAAGACTTTCCCTTCACCCTTGACTACATAAACTTTTGCAGTAGCTGATTTTCTTCTACCGATACCGACACTTCTACCAAATTCATCTAATTTGGGAACCTTTACTTTATCAAACTCTGCAGAGGTATGTTTGTAATAATGTGCTAATTCTGCTTTGATATCATCATTCATTAGTTGTGGATCAATATTATGTAACTTATTCAACAAGAATAAAAGTTCTGTGTATTGAGTAGGCTTTAAACGAGAACCACCACCAATCACAGTATAATCTTTAAAGGACATCCATAAAGGACGACTTCCATTTTGGGATTGTAAAATAGTATTAATATCAGAACTTGCATTAGAGTCACCATGCGTCTTTAAAAGAGCATTTTGACTCGGTAATTTGATATATTTACGTAATAAACTTTCCAAACGATTAATATTATTTTCATGCATAGGGTTAGCTGAATAAAATGTTTGTAATTTAGGAATGATTCTTAAGGAATCTGATGTTCCCCTTATGGAAGACGACGACACCTGTTGTAATCGCAAAGTACATTGGGAGAATGACCTTACTCCGAACAGACGATTGAAAAACATCTTCTTATTTCAGTGCAATATATTCGTGATAATGGCCAGTGACACGTAACCTTTATGTAATGTAGTTGGTCCTTAGAAAATGAAATGTAGTTCTATTTGTATATCCTTTTCTTCTTTTATCTAGGTCGCCTTTCGGGTTCAATACTCAATTTCTCTCTTTTTCTGCCTTTCCAACTTTAAACTGGTAGGTCAAGCGAAAAAAAAAAAAGAAAACCGCTCCACACAAGGCTCGAATGGAAGGCATGAACAATGAAGATATATCTAATGCAACCTTCACTGAAGGCATAAAGAGAAGTAGCAATATACATAATTTTTTATACATAACAAAAAAAGAAGATTTGTAAAAAACAACACAATGTGAATAAAATCATTATAGAATTCGTTAACGAGTTTAATGTTTAAAAGCGTATATATGTTTATTATTATCACCAAATTAGTGAATGATTTAAATAAGATAAAATAAAAAATGAGTTAAAATTTATAATTCTTAAAAAATCGCTTATTTGGAAGTGTCGACAACGTATCTACCGACGATTTGACCCTTTTCCATCTTTTCGAAAATTTCTGGTAGGTCAGATAGAGGAGCAATCTTGATTGGAGACTTGACTAGACCTCTGGCGAAGAAATCTAGAGCTTCTCTGGTATCAGCTCTGTTACCGACGTAAGAACCGACAATAGAGATAGACTTGACAACGTGGTCGAAGACATCGGATCTACAGACGGCACCAGCTGGCATACCGACTAGAACGGAAGTACCGTTAGCTCTGACGTACTTGGTAGAAGCTTCAATAGCAGCTTCAGAGACAGAGACGTTGATAACACCGTGAGCACCACCGTTAGTGGCCTTGACAATAGTACCAACAATGTCCTTTTCCTTAGTGAAATCGACGAAAACTTCACCACCAATAGACTTGAATAGCTTTTCCTTTTCTTCACCACCGTCAATACCGACGACTCTGTAACCCATAGCCTTAGCGTATTGGACAGCTAGAGAACCTAGACCACCAGCAGCACCGGAAATGGCAACCCATTCACCGGCTCTTAGGTTAGCAGACTTTAGAGCCTTGTAGACGGTAACACCGGCACATAGAATTGGAGCGACTTGAGCCAAGTCAGTACCAGCTGGGATCTTAGCAGCTTGAATGGCATCAGCAGTAGCGTATTGTTGGAAAGAACCATCGTGAGTGTAACCGGATAAATCAGCTTCTGGACAGTTAGATTCGTTACCTAATTCACAGTATTCACAGTTCATACAAGAACCGTTTAACCATTTAATACCGGCGTAGTCACCGATCTTCCAGCCCTTAACGGATTCACCGATAGCAACAACAACACCGGCACCTTCGTGACCACCAACTAATGGTAGCTTAACTGGCAAAGGCCAGTCACCGTGCCAAGCGTGTAGATCAGTGTGACAAACACCGGAGTACTTAACGTTGATCAACAATTCGTTGGCCTTTGGAGTTGGGACTGGAATGTCCTTGAATTCTAGCTTACCTTTAGATTCGTAGAAGATAACACCCTTTTGAGTAGTTGGAATAGACATTTTTATTGCTGGTTATGTAGTAATATATGTGGATATATGTGTACGGTGAGTTATGAAATAAAAAGAGAAAGAAAATAATACAAAAAGAAAAATAAAACAAGAACATTAAAAGCTAAGTTAAAAGAACAAAAAAGAATTGATTGTGACATGAATAAACCAAAGTTTGCATTCCTTATATACTAAAATAATTTTTTTTTGTTCAAAACCCAGCATCCAAAAAAAAAATAGATTAAAATATAAGAGAGTGAATTCAATTGAGAACATGCAATAATTTTTCTTTGATTATTCACTGAAATTCTCTTGCCTTGAACCCAAATAAAGACCTACGAGATTAATGAAAAGGATAACCTCCCCTCAAACTAAGCAAAATAACGTTTGATAAAAAAAAACAGAGAGAATAAGAAATCAACGAGAGAAATTAACATTAATGTTATTATTATTATTTCATTAATATGGTGATGATGAGTTGTTCAAAACAAAGTTGAGAATATTAGTGATATAATCAGTGTTGTTAATAACATTTAAATTTATCAACAATATTAGCAGTAGCAATAATTTATTACCATACAAAGAATTAAATTAACTAACCTGACGCTATTTGTGTGGGTGCTGGTGAAATACCCACCACCACCACCACCACTAGCTGCAGAAAAATTATATTTTAATCTTCTTATTTTGTATGTGGCACATATTTTT